ATTTATCTATATAAATTATTATTAAAGTATCTAATTATTCTTTAAAGTTATATTTTCTTTCTTTTTAGTATTTATATTATATTCCCTTAGAGGGTAATAAGATATCTATTATATTCTTATACTAATTCTTACTCTTACTATTTTTAGAAGTTAGAATTAGAGATTTCTTATCTTTTAAGTTACTTTTATTATTACTAAAGAGTATATTATTATAATTAATAAATATCTAGCTAGTTTTCTAGTTAAATTATAAGTTATATTTTATTAGCTATAATATCTAAGAATAATATTATAATATTTATTAGTATAATATTAAGGTAACTTCTTAATTCTATCTATTAATAAATATCTTTAGTAATTAACCTATTAAGTTATCTATTTATTATTATACTTAAAGTTATTACCTTTAAGATTATATACTATATAAAATCTTATTTATTCTTTATATAGCTTTAGCCTATTAACTACTAATAGTTTATATATATAGCTTTAGCTCTACTATTTACTAATATAATAAGCTATATACTCTTAACTTATACTTATAACTTAAGTATCTTTCTTTATTTTACTAATTTTATTATATATAAGCTTTTATTAGAGGTAGTTCTTTCTTATATATATTACTTATCTATTACTCTTCTATAGTAGTATATATTATTTTTTATATAGTAATTATCTATAGAATATTCTACTTTAGAGTATTTATTATAGCTATTTCTAATTTATTAATATAGGCTTAATCTATTTAATTTAATTTAATTTAATTAGAAAGTTAAATTCTTTATTATATATTTATCTAATATATATATTAATTTCTTATACTCTATACTATACTTAGGTATCTAGGCTTATTATAGGTTATTATATTTTATACTAAGTAAGATTAGTATTTAAATAGTTTCTTTATTATTATATTTAGGGTTATTCCTCTATATTCCAATCTTCTATTTTACTTTTCTAGGCTTAATTAAGACTACTTATTCCTCTATAATTAGAGAAGTTATATTTCAGTATATTAAGAACTTAATATATTAGAACTTATCTTAATTTTCCAGCTATATTTCTTATAGTCTAATTTATTATATTATAGTACTTTTATAGTAATATACTTAGTAATATCTTTATTTTATACTTATACTATTTCTTATCTTCTATTATTTATATATATAGTATTCTTTAATTTTATAGTTATTAATATACTAGTCGATTAGTATATTCTAGTAGGAAAAGATCCCTTCTATCCTCTAATATATAATACCAACTTCTATATACTATTAATAATATAGAAATACTTAAGTTTCTTTTTAAATATAGATTCTAAATAGTATATTATTTATTTATATAGAGTAATAATTCTAATAGATTTTTTCTTTTTTATATATTTAGTATATATAAATAATATATAATATCTATAAGATTTCTTTATATTAGAATATACTATTACTATTCTTAAGTTATTATCTTCTTATTTCTTTAGAATTATATAATAGGATTTCAGCCTAGCTATATATTATAATATAGATATAAATAGGCTTATTTTTAGTAGGCTTTTATTATTTATTTATAAGGTTATTATATATTTCTATTAGTTTTATCTATATTTAGTTTCTAAGGCTATTATATATTTAGTATTCTTTATAGCTAGGTCTAGAGTTTTATTTATTTTTATTTCTAGGTATTTCTTAATAGGGGCAATAATATTCTAATTAGCTACTAAAAGTTCTAATTTCCTACTAGTATACTTCTTATTCGAGGTATATTATAGAGTATTTTTATCCTAGTATAGAAGTATTATTAAAATCGTCCTTTTTTTAATATTCTTTAGATATTATTACTCTCTTTTCCTATTAGTTGGAAGTGGTATAATAGGCTTAGCTATCTATTTAAAATAGAGTCTCCTCTTTATATTATAGCTATAATATAAGATATATTATTAAGAGGTTTATTATAGTATTAGTATTATTACCTTAAAACTAGCTTCTAGATTTTTATTTTTTAGTAGCTTTATTTTTTCTTTTTTAGTTAAATTTTCTATTTATTTTAATCTCAGTATCTATCTTTCTATACTAGGCAATTCTCTTCTATACCTTCTTTTAATTATTATTTTTAATATATTTAGCTATTCTTTAAATCTGGATTTAAAATTAATATATTATCAAGGCACTTAGCTTTTAGTTTCTACTATTCTTATAGACTCTACTAAACTCTCTATTATAGCCACTCTATTATAATAAGAATTTTAAATTAAATAGCAATTTAAGGTTTATTATTATTATTATACTAGTAATTAGTAAATTTTATACTTCTACCTTCTAGTATAGGCTTATACTTTTAGTTAGACTTTAGGGGTAATATTTACTTTTAAAGTAGCCTATTTTCTACAATTCTAATATTTAACCTTTAAGTAATCTTTTTAAGCAGCTTCTAATTTATAAGTCTAATACTATTTATAGAGGTATTACTCTAGTATCTCTTTCTTAGTTAGTATTATTCTTTTTACCTTCTAGATAGTATATAATATTCCTTCTAACTTTTTAATCTTTTTTTCTTATTATCTTTTAAACTATTAGTTATTAATTTCTATAGAAAGATAATAAGAATATTAAAGATTATAGGCTTACACCTAACTATTATATTCTTAACTTCTAATTTAAGTTCTCTATAGTAGGCTACTATATATACCTCTTCTTTCTAATTTAGGTATAAGATACTATTATAGAATTCTACTATATAGCTTAATACTAATACCTTTTAGATAAGCTTTTAAAGTTATATTTTAGCTATTTATTTTTATTAATAAAACTAAATATATCTTATAATTCTTATTTAAATACTTTATAGCTAGTATAGATAGCTTAATTTTATCTTTTTTATATAGTAAGAATTATTAAGTAGTTCTTATAACTAATTTAAATTATTAGAGTACTTTATTCTTAAGGAGTTCTATAATATAGCAAATCTTAGCTTCTTCTTTAGTAAATTATATAGAGTAGTAGCTTTAAAATACTCTAACTTATATAAGAAATTCTTAAAGGCTAGTAGCTACTCTATTAAATAAATTAAGTTACTTAAGTCTAAGAATTTCTTCTATATCTTTTCTATTTACTATAAGAAATCTAGATAAGTAATATAATTAAGTAAAGTACTCTTAATAAATAAGATTTCTACTAAGATAGTTATTCTATATTAAGAGCTAGTAACTTACTCTATTAATTTATTAATTTTATTATTTTTCTCTAGGTCTTTTTTAGTAGAGATCTTAGCAAGCTTATTAAGCTTACTTTAAGTAATTATTTTACTTTTAGAGTTTATTAAGATTCTTTTTATAATTTTATTATTAAAGTTAGATTTATCTATATTTATATTATTAATAGAATCTTAGCTCTATATTATTAGATAATAGAGTTTTTTCTAATTTAAATAAGATACTTAAGGTTATAGAGCTATCTTAGCTTATTTAAGATATTACTTAGGTTGATATATAATATACTAAATAAGAGCTATTAATATATAATAGTTAGATTTAATTTAAGGTATAAAGTAGATTTAAGATATAAGATATATAATTAAGTAAATTAGAATATTATAGTAAGTAATATAAATTACAATCTGTAATAGTAAAATATAAATTTAATATAACTAAATATATTAATAGCTAATAAGGCTATCTATCTATAAAAGTACTAAGTAAATATATATATATACTCTAGCAAATTATAGGGATTATAGTAGTAATCCGGTAAGTTAGTACTCTAAATTATAAGAATTACAGTAGTAATCTAAGTGATTCTTTACTTAATTAGTTCTTATATTAGAAATTACTAAATTGTAGGAGTAATCTAAGTAATTCTTTATTAATTAGAGAAAACAGTAGTAGGATATTATAATTCTACTGCTTAAGACTGCCTAGTTTTAACCTGGGCTGTAATATAAATAGTAAAGAGATAGTATTTATAAAATTATTACTAAAACTAATAGATAACTAGTTAAACTTATTTAAAATATCCTAAATTTATAGATTCTAAATAAGATAATACTTATAACTATTTAATATCCCTAAAAGCTTATCCTCCTCTTCTAAACTTTATAAATTTTAATAAATAACTTTAAAATACTACTTAGAAATCTTATTACAAATCTTATAAATATATAATAAATAACTAGCTGCTATAGCTATTTTAAACTGTAAATAAGCTATTTATATAGAAACCTCTAATAAAGCCTTACTTATTTTATTCTTATCTACTTTTAAAAGCTTTTTTTATATTAAAAGCTAGTTTACTACTAGAGTTAATATACTATATTAAGTAGAATTATAGAAAAAAACTTATATAAGAATACTACCTTTATACTATTATAGCTATAACTATAGTATATATACTTACTATAATAAGTAGAATTATTAGCTATAATATATAACTTTTTATTTTAGAAATAATAAGTATAAGATATATCTACTAAAGTACTATCAAACTTAATATTAGCTACTAGAAAAAGCTTCTTAATTATTTTTTATAATAAATACTTTTTAACTCTACTTAATATTATATCAGCAAGATATTATAGATATTTAAAGAACTAAATTAGACCAACCTAAAATAAGAATAGAAAAAGGCCTACTTATACAGCCTTAGAAATAAGACTAACAGAAGGGAGATATTATATTACAGCCTAGATTAACTAGGCAGTTAGTCCTAGCAGTAATCCTACAGATACCCACTTTTCCTATCTAATAATATATAGAGTATTATACTAGGGATTATACCTACAATCCTAGATTATTATAATCCTAGGATTATTACAATCTAACACTTTATACAATCTAACCAATCCCCATCTAGTATATAGACGCTTATTTAGCACTTTTATAGACAGATAGCTTCACCAGCTATCAATATACTTAGTTATATTAAATCTACTATTCTACCATTACCAGACCGTGACCTATATTGCTCACTACGACGTCCTAATCCACTCGATCATATACCTCACGCCTCGGACCTACCCTACACCCATAGGTTAGACCCGACCGTCACACTATCAAGCGTGAGTTATTTTAGCTCCCAGCTCGGACATTTCTCTCCCGTACCACCCCAGCAAATCCGCTTACCATTGTATACCTACACCGTCTGTAAGTACCTCATATTAACTATCTTACGAGCACAAAAAATCAAGAAACCAACACAAAGGCTAGCCTACAGCAGACATTTGTTACCCAGTTGCTTTATCAGCTACCTTACCGCCATGGGTGATGTAATCTTTCAGGACCCTCTGGAGTCTCTCCGCCTGTTGCGGAGGAGTGGCGCCAATGTGGACGCAGCAACAAATGCTGGGGAAACCGTCTTGCAAGAATTAGTCAAATCGGGCCACGTTGACGCTGTGGAATGGCTGCGCGAATACTGCACGAACATCAACGCACAGACAGAAGTGGGAGAAACAGCTCTTCACTGGGCTGCTGCAAACGGCAATCCCGACATGGTAGATATCCTACTTCAATGTGGCGGCGATACCAGTCTCAAGACAGCGAGAGGTGAGACGCCGCTTGATTGTGCCAGTCGCAACAAGAACAGCGAAGTGAGGGAACTCCTTGCTCAGAATGGCGCTGGTGTTGCTGAACAGAACCCCAACGCCAGATCAGAAGCACCAGGGAAAGCCAAGCCAGGGCTGTCTCCGGATATCACTCTGTGGGCTGTGCTCATTGGTATCGACGAATACGCAAAGTCCAATTACCAATCAAGCGGCTTCAGCAATTTAAAAGGCTGCGTCAATGACATTCTCCTTGTGGAGGAGTATCTACGTGACTTCTTGGGGGTCAATCCGAGTCGCGTAACGAAGCTTGCTTCAGGCCAAGACGAGAACAATATCCCGACATACCAAAACATCATCAGAGCTCTAGAGTCTACGACAGCCGCAGCGTCACCAGGAGATTCGGTCTACATACACTATTCGGGGCAAGGTAGAGAGATACCGAGTGTGTTCTCTTCGCTGAAAGGAAGGGGGCATCCGGATGCGTCTCTGATCCCTGAAGACATCAACGGCGACGGACAGCCCCTGAGGGATCTCGAACTCGAATACCTGATGAGAAAGATGGTGGATAAGGGCCTTGCGGTGACTGCCGTTATCGACAGCCCGTTTTGTCATGCAGATATGGCTCTCCGGCATGGAACCTTGTCGAGGTCTGATATTGAGGCTACTCCCGGCCAATATCCCATCAATTTTAATGCGATAAACGAGTACTTCGACCCGGAGGCGCCCCAAAACCAGGGAAAGTCTTTCCGTCTTCAGCCAAAGGGCTACACTCTCTTCGTCACACCGCATAGTCAGGAAACTGAAACCCACGGGAAACATTATGGTGTCTTGACTTATCAACTCATCAAGCTGCTGCGCGAAGGGTCAGCAACGGACTGTTCCTGCCGGGTATTATATCGAAGACTACGTGCCTCCATCACGGGTCAAGAGCCAGTTGTGATCGGCGAGCTTGATCGTACTTTTCACGGCGTTAAGGCTGCTGAGATCCCACCAGTACAACAGGTGGAAATGGTTACAAGATAGGAAAGTAGTTCGCGAGTAACGACGGAATTTGTTGGGCAGGTCGTAGGTTGATTTAGTGAATTTACTTGTCATGAATTTGTCCCTACCTAGGAAGCAGAAACACCTGAAGGCGATGTCAGGGTGTCTCCCCATCTTCTATTATGTGGCTCGATATGAACACACGAAGATGGAAAGAATTTAGGACTTCTGCGCCTCTCAACATATTAAACACGCAATGCTACATGGCCGCCAAAGTTAAAGCGATGGGATTTAACAGACCAGAGAATAGAGCAATTTGATGATGCACAATCGAGCCATTCAATCGATCAGATGGTCCAGCCGTGTTCACTGTGATATCGCTGCTTCCGTGTTCTCGAGAGCCGAAGTGCGCGATTTTCTTCACAAATCACTCCTTCACTGAGTCACCTGACCAGACCAATCTGATGCATGAAGTGATTACGGTAAAGGTGACGTGGACAAATCACTGTCCAGCTCTGTGACGAGGTGCATGAGAGCTATACTGCGTTTGGCCTGCAGAACGCGGCACAAACCCGAAGCAACCAACACTTCACTGCTCCACCCTTTGCCAGCCGAGACTGTTGCGAGATTCAATTCATCACTCATGGGACGTTCGCAATAGCCATGGTGCTCGATAAATTGACACGGAAGCTTAAACATAAGTTCCATCGCGGCAAGAATGATTCTGGTGGGTCTTTGAGCACTCTAGACAAGTCTGGACAGTCTTCTATTGTGCCTCCCCACGGTGCGCCGCCTCAATCCCCGCACACAAGCCTTGTAGGACCAGATCTCGAGACGACTCCCGCTCCTGTATCTTCTCCTGCAGATGATGCGCTGAATCATGAATCCTCCACTAAAAACGAGGAGTCCGTCGATCCAGAAAAGGATGTCCCGAGCCAGGAAGAAAAGGAACGAGCGCCAGACTCAGAAACAGCAAGCTTCGAGACCCTTCCACCAATTTCCTCACTCTGGGATGAGGCTTTCGACGGGCTGGAAAGTAATAGCGCCACCAAGGAGCTAATGAATGCATATGAAAGCCTGATCGCAAAGTCGAATAAGGGTCAAAATGTTCCCAAAGAACGAGGTTCGCGGCGAGACCAATTAGACGTGTTTGTCGAGGAGAAAACCGACGAGATCGAGAAGGGGTCCTGGAAGATTCGCTTCAAAGACCATGAATTTCTCGTGAAAGACCTCGTTGAGCCGGTGGTGAGCATCGTTGATTGGGGAAAGGAGTACGTTGGGCAGGCAGTCAAAGTATCTACTCCGGCATCCCTTGCCTGGGCAGGCGTATGTTTGCTACTTCCGGTCAGTTCACATCTCTTGGAGCCTTGGCTCGGCAATTCTCATTAAAATTATATACAGCTCCTCCTGAATCCTAGCGAACAAGAGGCCTCTCGTATTGGTGGCCTTGACAAGATCGCATGCATCATCCGCGAATGTTCCCTTCGCGAGGCCTTGTACAGAAGTCGGTACGAGACACCCGACAACGAACGAATCCCGAGTGATTCCATTGCGGTACATAAAGAATACAGAGAGAGCATCAAAGTCCTTTACTCTCAGATTATAAGCTTCCAGGCCTCTTACGTCTGCTTTCTCTCTGAACACAACACAGCCGTGCAGCTCATTCAGGATATGGTCAAATGGGAGGACTGGGATAGCATGATTGAAGACATCACGGCGAAGAACGAGAATCTCAAATCCCTCGACGAGAAGTGGCAAGGTCTCTCGCAAGAAGAAGAATGGAAGGCCATGACCAAACACCACCAAGAAAACTTGACAAAGCTGGATGCTATCCACGCGGAGATGGAACGGTTCTCTGGGCTTCTGCGTGCCGCTGAAGACCACCAGGAGCGCAAAGAATTGCTCATCTGGCTGCAGCAGGCGGTGACGCCCTCGGTTCATTACGACGCTGCCGTGGAAAAGCGCAGGAAACACTCCACGGGGACATGGTTCTTGCAGAGCGATAAGTTTAGGGAATGGGAATCCGCATCAAATTCGCTCCTGTGGGTGATTGGCAAGGGTACGTCTGGCCTGCAACTCGTCCAGTTCTAGATTGTGAGCATACGTTCTAACCATCCCACAATCTTAGCTGGTGCTGGGAAGTCAGTGTTGAGGTACGTTTCATATTTAACATGTCTATCGCGGTCCTGACGACTCACATGGTAGCTCAACCATCATCCAACATCTCACCGAGACGTATGAAGAGGATCCGTACATCGCGGTAGTCTACTTCTACATTAGTGCCAACGACAAGGCGACTCGCAGCGTCAACAACCTCACCAGATCACTGGTCACGCAGCTCTTTGGTCTCCGACCCGACAAGCCCAAAGTTCTCACCAATCTCGGCACCTACCAGTACGCATCGGGTGCTCCGCCGCAATCCAAGCTTGAGGAGGCGTTGTGCTCGGCAGCAGGAGACTTCACCCAGACGTATGTGGTCATTGACGGACTGGACGAGTGTCCGTCGTCTGGAGATAGCGGATCAGGGCAGGGAGAGCGCCGAGTGCTTCTTGACCTGCTCGAAACGATGCAGGCCTGGGAGTTGAAGAACCTTCACCTACTCACGACGAGCCGTCGCGAACACGACATCGAAAAAGCCCTGGAGGAAATTCCACAGTGTCAAATTCTTGATCTCACCGCCAAGGGTTCTCTATTAGGAGTTGGTGGTGATATCGGTCTTTACATCGACAATGAGCTGCGAAGAGGCATCTTCAGAACCCTGTCAGCGGATCTTAAGGACAAGATCAAGAGGGACCTTCTTGCCAAGGCTGATGGCGTGTAAGTGAATAACTTGTGCTTGCACTTCTCCGAAAGATCCAACAAGCTAACAGGCACCAAATCCTGGGTGTATAGGTTTCATTACGTGTCCTTACAGCTCGATAACTTCCAAGCCCCATTGACAAAGAAGTCAGTAGAGACGACACTGGCTGGTTTGCCCAAGGACTTGGACGAAACCTACAAAAAGGCCTTGGGTCGATTGACAAAGGAGCAAAGGCCCCTGGCCATTCGCGCGCTAACCTGGGTGTCCTTCTCTCTGACTCCCCTCACAATCTTGGGGCTTGCTGCTGCTGTTCCAGTTGATTTCGTCAAAACCACCACGCAGTCCTCTGACACCACCGAAGAATCCTACTCCTTGGAACCGCTCAATCCGGATGACAAGCTTGAACATCCTCTTGATGTTCTGTACCTACTTCCTGGGCTGCATAATCTCCAGAGCAAAGAAGCCTTGAGGAGGGCAGAAAGCCGGCTGAATCCGAGCGAGAAGCCACACCAGGTTGTGGTCTTGACGCACTTCACACTGCTAGAGTACTTGACTTCAGACGGCATCAAGGATGATAAATCACCAGCCGGAAAGTTTGCGCTCTCCAAATCGACGGCCAATTTGCAACTGGCAGAAGCATGCCTTCGATATCACATCGATTGGAGCCAGAACGCCTCTTCCCTAGACAGAAACCAGGCTCGCAAAGAATACGGCCTATGTGACTATGCAGCTTCCTATGGTCTTCGGCATGCTGAGAGCATCGGCCGGATAAACTGGTCGCTTTCGCTACAACGAATGGTGCGATTTGTGATGCAGGACGGAGACGAGCCGTTCGCCAAGCTAAAGTTGCACTCTGACTACAACTCTCGACGGGCACACGATCTACCCGTCCAGTACGCCGTCGACAAAAGTCTGTTGGAGACAGTTGCGTTTCTGTTGGATGTGAATATGGCCGAAGTCAACTTCCAGCCTGAGGTTGGAGAGGCCCTGATTATCCAGGCGGTTAAAAACAGGGACGAAGCCATGGTCCGTCTGTTGCTCGTGTATGGTGCTGATGCAAAAACCAAGACGAGAGCTGGAGAGCCTGCGCTATGCGAAGCCCTGAGAAACAATGACCCGGACATGGTTCAACTACTACTCGAGTTCAACGCTGATATCGAGGCCAAGACCGAGAAAGGCGATCCGGCGCTGGTTTTGGCTGCAAGACATCGAGACGTGCCCATTGTAAAAGTTTTGCTTGAGAATGGCGCGGATGTGAACGCAAGCAACAGGGTGGGAGAAACGGCCCTGTTCGAGGCGGTTCTCAGTGGAAAGAAGGCTCTGGTGCAAGCCGTCCTAGCGAAGAAGCCAAACGTATGCGCCCAGACCAGAAACGGAGAAACGGCGCTTCACAGAGCTGTTGTCCATGGGGACAGAGATCTAGTGCAGCGCCTGCTCAGGCTGGGAGCAGACGCCAATGCAACAACCGAGACTGGCGAGACGCCTCTGCACTGGGCCGCGTCGTTCCGATTTGGAAGTGATGGCGGCATAATGAAGCTACTCTTGGGCAGCGGTGCAAAGGTTAATGAACAAACCCACCTGGGAGATACGGCGCTGCATCTTACAGCAAGGACTTTGGAATACTCTGAGTTAAAGTTTCGTCTTGAGTACGGCGCGGATGTTAATACAGCTAATAAGGCTGGAGAAACAGCGGCGTTTTTAGCAGCTAGAGCTTCTAGGGGGTGATAAGCTATATATTAAATACGGAATTTGCTATATATGATGGATGAAGCAATTACTCGGAGTTATTGAGAAGGTAGGGCACCCTAGTATATGTACACCTAGAGGGGGAACTAGAATAGTAAATTAGAACTGATATCTTTTAATATAACTAATATATATACACAACTTATAGCTGGGTTTGGCATTAGGGGAGAGCTACAATTCTTCTTATTATAACTGTCGTAACTACTTGGCTTCTGTATTCCGTCTTTAGGTAATCCTCCAAACGATCCTCTGGCTCTAACATGTCTCGTCGCCGGGGGGCGTACTATATTATGTGCCTCTGGCCAGATACGAAAGATAAATGATTAATTCCCGGCAAGATAAGCCGCAATAGCGTCGATTTATCCTAGCACTGAGCTCCGGCTCGTGCCCCCCTGAGCAGACCTCCTCTCGACGCTCCTCTCGAAGTTAAAGATGTCAATAATATCAGCCTCGAATTGGGGCGAGATCTGCTTAAGCTCCAGCAGGTCCAGTTCGGTGATAGAGATGCCCTTCTCCTCTGCCTTGTAGATAATAGCGCCGGCGATATAGTATATATAGCAAAAGGACATGCCTTTTATAACTAGATAGTCGGCGACGTCAGTAGTAAGTATATCGGCAGTTAGGGCGGCCTTCATCTTGGCGGAGTCGATCTGCAGCGTGCTCAGGACGCCGGCGGCGATCCGCAGGCAGTGCGAAACCGTCTTGACGCAATCGAGGAGGGGCTCGACTGACTCCTGGAGGTCCTTGTTATAGGCGGTCGGAAGGCTCTTGAGGGTGGAAAGGAAGCCCGATGCCTATGGACAGAGTTAACTCAGGGCATATACAGCCCTTTTATATCTATCAGTACCTACTTCCCTTGGATGCAGCAATAGAGATTTCCGTCATACTCCGTCGATAATTGCCACACAAAGGGGTACGTAACTTTCTGCAATTAAGTCTATTCAAGGTAAACAACGGACTTCTCCCTTGTTAAAACCCCCGTCAGGGTTTAGTTCTTAGCCTTCTCCATAGTCTACATAAACCTAACGTTCGTCGCGTGCTCATTGACGAACATGGGTACAAAGTCAGACACCATGAACCACCTTGGCTTCTGCATATCGTCATGAATATGCTTTCCTCCAATCTTCAAGTTCTCAAATGTGACATTTTCGACCCTCCTCGACGCGTCAAACCCCAAAATCTGCGACGGATTCACAATCCGGGAATTTTCCATGTTGAGATGGATATTCCTCAACATCACGTTGCGGACACCGCGGCCAGGCGCTGTCGTCCACCTTGCATTCTGCATCACCCGTAGATTCACCAGCTGACCTTTTGTTATCTTCTCAATTCTGACATCTTCAAACCTGACGTTCTCAATAAGGTTTGCATCGCCTGCATTTAACGAAATGCATCCTTGATACCACACCTGAGTCTCGTGGTGATCTAGGATGTCGATGTTGCTGACGTGGATGTCGCTGATGGTCTCTGGCTTGTCGGGGTTTCCGTGCGTACCGATTTGAATGGGATGGGCGATGTCCGGAAGTAGAGTGCAGTTTCTGATGGTGATGTTTCGCGTGTTTCCATAGTAGTCCCAGCGGTGGCCATAAATTGCGATGGTATCATCCGAGTTGCGCAGGAAACAATTCTCGACGAGTATATCTGTGGAACAAAAGAAGTCCAGCCCGTCGCCATTTCCGTGTGATGAAAAGGACCGATATCCGTTGATGTGAACATCTTTTGCTTCACCTGTGGTAAGGCTAAAGCCTGTAGCCCCCAGCGACGTGACCTTTTCGACGACAATGTTGTTTGATCGTTCGATGAGAATAGCGCCGCCGTTGGGTCCTTTGTAGATGAAGCCGTGGCCACGGACTCCGGAATTAGAGACGCTGATGAAGTTGAGTTTGGCAGTGAGAAATGCTCCTCCAGCGAGGTAGACTGTCGTGTTGGATGGCACCATCAAGTTTCCGTCAGTGACCTTGGAGTAGGCCGATCCATTATTGAGACCTGGACCAAAGAACCAAATATTGTCAGAATCGCCCGTCGGTGCATCGGAATCCACTTTGTTGGTTAGGATATGTAAGGCTTGCCACTTGTCATTGTTGATCTCAAGCATGACATCGAGTGGTCGATCAAGAGTGAAGCTGATGGTGTTGTCGTGGATGTTCGCTTTGATGCCAAGTGATGTCGGCCGAATGACTGCAGTGTCGACTTTGCCGATGGCGAATTGGGCTTTAATTTCGACAGGGCCATCGATGTCTATTGATGCGACAGAAATGGGATGTTTGTCAAACTCGTTGCGTGTAATGTTGACGTCGGCTACATCCACGGCACAAGTTGAGACAGGATGCCATTCTAGCGGTTGACTCTCGTCTATGGGACGAACCTGCACGACGAAGCCTGTGCTGCCTGTTACGCCCTCGGGTGTCGCGTAAGTCTTGATTCCGGGATTAGTCGACATGGTGATTGTGTTGATTAATTGAAATACGCAGGGGCGATTTTTACCGACGAGGGAATGTATGGAACGGATTGATTGTATTTGACTCCTCTTGTTAGTGAGGCTACCCTACACCGCGAGCAACCGTCGCGGGGCAAGTCGCGGAATAGCTCCGAAACCAACTCTCCAACCCTTGCAGGCGCTTCGGCGTCCGGTCCGATACCTGCTCCGGAGCCGAGGTAACTAGGATTTAACCAGGATTCTCCCAGGATTCACCTCCTCTAATTCGTTAGTTACACAGAAACGAGACCCCGCTCGAGATTGGCAGTACCCCGTGGGGCCCCGCAGAATGGAACCACTTCCCATGCGCCAACTTTGGCAGCCAATTCCCACGTTTTTCTTCCTCTTATCTTCATTTATGACGTCTGTAGTATTTTCCATTGCATTGTGTTGATAGGAATACCTGCGTCATGGGGTCTCCATCCGATGGTGGGAACTTTGACGAGGGGCCGATTGTGCTGGATCACGTATCCCACGATGGGCCTCAACCGAAGAAGCGCAAGGTCGCGGACAAGGAAGAAGGCCCCGGCCCTTCGTGCCACTCTTGTCGAAAGAGAAAGGCGAGATGTTCAAGAGACCAGCCTTGCTCCAGCTGTGTAAAGCTAGGTTTGTCATTACTCCCTTGTCGGGTTTGGGATTGGGTTACAAGTGCTAACACGTCGCCAGGCACAGACTGTGTGTACGATCAGGAAAAGTCGAAGCCCGGTATGCGACCTGGTGCCATCGAGAGCCTGAACCAACGAGTGGGTGAGTATTCAATTGCAACATTTCCCCAACACGGACACTCACATCTCGATCCCAGCCGCACTAGAGAACATGTTCGTCGGACAAGGCGTTCTCTGGCAGCAGATGTGGAACAGTATCAACCACCAAAGTCGCCACGATTCCGGCTTCTCGCCAGATTCCAACCAACCGCTATCCATTCAAAAACAGGCGTCCGACGTGAGAGAATATTTTGCAGCATTGTCGTCCAACCACGCTCATCATCCTGGTTCAACGGAAAGCAGCACCTCCAAGGGCAATGCTAGGACGCCTGCGAGCGGCCACTCAACCCACCACCCTCTTCCATTCATGGACCATGGCGACCGGCATCTCCCCCCCGACGCGCTCGTCGATTCCCTAGTCGAGACCTACTTTATCCAAGTCCACCCCTGGATACCAATTCTACATGCGAAAAAGTTTAGAGCGATGCTCTCTAATCCGTTGGAACGAGCACGAGTGTCGACAATCCTCCATGCAATTGTATCGCTCTGCATTAGATTCTCCGATGATCCCCAGATTGAAGACTCTCCCCACCTCAGATCCTGGTATTCTACTCGCTGCCGCCAGACCGTAATTCTCCAAAGTATGGAGTCCTTCTCGGTCGAAAACCTACAAGCGTTGATTATATGTGCCTTTGACACAATTGGAAGTGGCAGAGGCCCCTCTGCATGGTCCATCATTGGAAGCATGACGCGGACTGTCGAACAGCTACGACTCAGTACCGAGGACGATGAGAATCAGTCGCAATCACCAACATGTAGGGCACTCTTCAAAAGGATGGCGTTCCTTTCACCGTCCTCCACATGGATCGAAGTGGAGGAGCGCCGTCGCGTCTTCTGGAACGTGTTCCTCATGGACCGTTTCTGTAGCATTAGTACCGGATGGAACCTCTCGCTCACCAGCGCCGATGTGAAAAGGAGACTTCCGTGCGAGGGCGCCATGTGGGAAGCAGGCGAGCCAATCCAGACACCCACGCCATATTTCGGAGTCGCGAACCAGTCGTATAATCGCGACACTGACTGTTTACCTGTCGTTCGAGAAAGCGAAGATGGCCAGGCTTCTCTCGGTGGTTTCGCCTTTTGCATCGAGGCAACCGAAAGCCTCAGCCTTGTCACGTCCTTTTTTCTGCAATACGAAGTCGACTTTAAGCAAGTTCACGAGGTTCAGAGGTGGTTGATGAGATTCAAGCAACTCGATTTGCGACTGGTGCAGTATGTCCACGTTTTACTGTGAGTGACACCCCGATAATGAGCTGACGAAAATGATAGATGGAAATTCTTCCTCCCCGAGAAATGGCGAGAAGCATGTGTGATTAATGATGACGGTAATCTGGATCCGAACCTGGTCTTGGCCCACATGACACACAATACGGCTGTGGTCCTTCTACATCAAGGACTGGCATATCCCTCGCCAGAGTGGCAGTCTGTTCCGGTGAGGCTCCCATCCGCGTCTAGTGCAGAGACTTGCCAAGCTGCAGCTGTCGAAGTTGCCACGATAGCCGCGCAGTTTCTCCACAGCTCGGGCATTCTAACCAGCCCGCAATTCGCCTTCTGCCTCTTTGTCTGTGGCAGGATGCTTCTAGCCCACGCGGGATATTACAAAAGCCTTCTGCACTCGGCATTCGACTCTATTGTCATGAGTCTCGAGGACATCGCCCGCCGCTGGAACGGCAACCAGTCTCCAGTGACCAATAATTTGGCGTCCAAGTTTGCTTCTCGCCTTGTTCAAGCACACCTCCATGGAGCCAAGGCGGTTGACCTCCGAGAGGAAGCATTCTCGGAAAAGCAAAACGCAGGCATCTCTTCCAGCGTTACAGATGGAGATTTCAATCCCATGGGACTGAGATCTTTGCCAGGAGCCGGTTCTCCCATCGACCCAATGCTACAAACCAGAGGCTTAAACGAGGACCTCAGTCTTAATGGCCCGCACATAGAGTCCCCGGAGAGTATTACCCTGGCCTTTCCGCCTCTCCCTGTATCGTTCGAACTACACAATGTTGCTCGAGATTCCAAATTTTCGTCTCTACCAAACCAAGGGATTCTGTTAGATGAACCAACAATCAACAATTCAGATAATCTTGGGAATTGTCTTGAATTTTACGGCTTATCCGATCAATCATTCTTACCATCTGAGCGAGTTAGCATGTTGAGTCGATCTTACACAGAGAGTTAGCTTCAAATTCCATGAAAAGTATTGATCCTGTCTTGCAAGAACGCCACACTATATCGCCGTATCAATAGGCCCGTGACGCGAGTCTCTCTCAAGTTTGGGATATAAACCCCAAGGAGGCTTAGTTTGGGGCAGGGGAAGGGTGTTCTTCATATTGGAAATGGAGGCCGATAAGTGTATCAGGTCAGCGCACTTCACACCCTTGCAGCATGAGGTGTTTTAAGAGCGGTCTAGCCATGAGGAATCTGCAGAGTGAAGCGCTGGAGACGTGACATTGCTGGTAATAGGGGGATATCCCTAGGGATATAAACTAACCTGTTCCAGACGTCCTCCGTCCCGCAGTCCCAATTCGTCTTACCCCACGGGGAGCATATGTCAATCACATATTTCAGTGGGGGCAACACCCAGGCCAGTTGGAGAATCTCTGGGGTTAATCGAGAATACCCTAGCTATAAAATTCAGGCTGAATTTCTATTGATGGGATTAATTAATCCTCCGGAAAAACCTGATCAACACTCCTCCATATTCAAGGAAAACCAGGTGCGGGGTACAAGGGCCTATGGAGAAAGACTGTGCGAGTCTAACATGTTGTTTCTACCAATAGTTGGTAACAATTTGCTAGGTCCCCGATCTGGTACATCCATAGATGAATACATAAGATGATCATGCGCGCTGCCGCTTGTTTCTTTGTGCTGGCATTCAACCCGAAGAGACCCTGGTCCAATAATTGCAATAACCATGGTTGGCCTATACAATTTCCTTGGCGTTCTCTGCTTCACGGCGACTGCGCTGTGTGCTTCAAAAAACAACACATCTCCTACAGCCAAGACCCTAAACGGTACCTATGTTGGAGCTCATCTTTCCACTTGGGATCAAGACGCATTCTTAGGAATTCCTTTCGCTCAACCACCCGTCGGACCCCTCCGCTTCAAATGGCCACAGAGCTCCAACACTTCTTTTGAAGGGCAGCGCGATGCAAAGGAGTATGGAAGTAGCTGTATGCAATACGTCTCAGGCTTGACGTTGTCTGAGGACTGTCTCACCGTCAATGTGATCCGGCCATCGGGAACTCCCAAGAAGAAGCTCCCTGTGTTGTATGTGCGAGCCACTTGTGGGCAAGATGCCAGTTGCTAATTACTTCTAGGGTTTGGATCTATGGCGGTGGTCTATACACTGGTGCCACAGCAGATCAACGATATAACATGTCTGGCATCGTCAAGGTGAGCCAGGACATGGGTCAACCAGTTATAGGAGTCAGTTTCAACTACCGCCTTGGTATTTGGGGATTCCTTCAATCATTTGGAATCTTGAAAGAAGGCTCCAGCAACGCTGGACTTTTGGACCAACGCTTAGCACTTCGTTGGATCCAGGAGAATATCGACGCTTTTGGAGGTGACCCAGACCAAGTGGTGATTTGGGGCGAGAGTGCAGGAGCTCAGAGCATTGCGTATCAGATGTTCAGCTACGATGGCCGAGAAGACAATCTGTACCGCGGTGCTATCATGGAGAGCGGTGGTGTGACAGGCGCCCAGGTACGTGGTTCCATGGTAACTGCATGATTCAATGATGTTGACTTGAACAGATTCACGACCTCAGCTACTACAATGTGGCTTTTGAAAACCTTACCCGGACGGTGGGATGCTGGACAGCTTCAGACCAAGTTGCTTGTCTACGAGGAGTTGACCAAGCGAGCCTGTTCGCGGCACATCAATCGCTAACATGGAACCCGATGATCGATGGTGAATTCCTAACTGGATATCCGAGCCAACTCATTCGTGAAGGCAAATACAACACAGTTCCAATCATCATTGGTGCCAACACCGACGAGGCCTTTGCCATTGGCAATCCCAATACCGACGAGGATCTATTTCTTGAAGCTTTCAGGTGGAGAAACTATGCGCTGAGTGCTCCCACAATCCGCAAGTTGATGGAACTGTATCCAAACGATCCCTGCAACGAGCCACCGTATGCCATTACAGACTGCTCCGTTAATACAGCTCGAGGACTGCAGTGGCGTCGCGCCAATGCCATCGGTAGCGACATCACCATGATTAGTGGAAGACGCAAGATGGCCGAGCTCTTCACTTCTGCCGACGCCGCAGTCTACAGTTACCGTTTTGACCAACGGATCTATGGCAGGAGTGAATGGGATGGCGTTAAACATTTCGACAACGTGGCCTACAGCTTTCAAAACATTTCCGGGGCATTAGGGCCTAGTCCCGCATACGACTCTCATGTCGTCTTGGCCAGAGCTATTGGACAAGCCTACATCAGATTCGTGTACGAGCTTGACCCGAATTACAAAGCCAAGTACGGAAAACAAGAGAAACTGCTACCGACATGGCCGCGATACGACAACGACGACCCGAAGAATATCGTCTTGAATGCGACGAAGAACTGGGTCGAGGACGATACCTGGAGAAAGGAAGGGATTGAGTTCATCAACAGTTATGAAGTTGCGCGGGAGTTGTATGCTTGAGATTATTTAGACAAATTATTAGATGATCCGATGAACTTTCTCAATCGAATTAAACCAGACTTTTGACCCGTTGCTATAGTTTGTTGACATCTTTCGCTGTGTTCATTAAGTCCCGTATTTAACTGAACCAGGCAGCCTGATATCCACGGTTTGTTCCATAAGATTCACAGTCAACCATCTAGTGCCTTACGGTACCTGATTGTATCATCTTGGCTGCTCTGCATCATCCGAGAGGAGAGTACTCGAGACCGACTTAGCCGAGTATATTAAATTGGCATGTGACCTTGCCGATACACCTAACAGGGTTACATACCTACCTACCTCTAGTAGAAGCAATGCTACCTCATTATCGTAGGAACAACCGGTCTTCGGCTTTGTCTATTCGTGGAATAAAACGTGGAATCAAGGAGGGAATTCAGCCTAAAATATGTGGAATATTTCCGCTCGGTTCGCATACCTAGCATTAATATCAATTTAATGACCTGAGCATGGGAAACGCATTGGACGGAATATCTCAAAATTATGCATGAATTTAACCCTTGTTTTCTAGTACTATTCAGATATTCCGGATGGGCCAGATCGGAAAACTAGTTGGTGAGTATTGCGGCGTGATTTTGCTTGGACACGGAAATTATTTTTCCCACCAATGATGGGTTAGCCCCTGCTATCATCTCTGCACCCCCCAAAGACATTAGTTCATGTTTCATTAGATCGGAGGTATTTGCCCCTCTATGTTAGGGCTGACGTGTTGCTTTCCTGAAAACCATTGCCTCGCGGGGAAGAACTAATCGCGTTCAGTTAGAAGGTGTGGGTCAGATGGGTTCTGTAGCCATTTTGGTGGATTTCTATACCGTGTATGGGGTCAAGTTGTACGTAGACATGTATGAGCCTCTCCAATCTAGGTGAAGTAGAATGCACAAAGTCTTGCTCTGAAGCACCGCTAATCTATATTATGGTATAGCATATTGCCATCTTAAATGTTAGGGTTAGGGTGAGTATGAAGATCTTTAAACTAGATCATTAAGTTTATAAAAAGATTTAGTATAGAGTAAGGCGGCAGAGTAGACTAGCTATATCAAGTCAGCGATTAACGCAGTGTCTTGTTTTTGATCAGAACTTTATGCTTTTCACTGTACCCTCGAGCAGGTATCTTATATGACGGCTAACTGCCCCCAAGCACCCCTAGGATGCGACTAGCTGCACGCATCAAATTCTCTGGGGTTGAAAGGTCAATTGAGCGTCTTGTTACTGGAAGCCCATTATCATGTCATCGGTACTTAATAGAGCTATACAATAGTCCCGCTTGTACAAGTGAAATTGGCTTGCGTCAAGCAATTACCTGTTCCATTGCCTTTGTATCGTCCACACTTTGATGCAATTTGCCTGAAATAATACTGGTATGCCGCGAGAGAAGACTTACGTACCGAAATGTGTCTCTGTTTCTAGAACTGAGTTGCTGGTACCTTGATCTCGGCTGTTGTTGAGCTCAGGTCGAGGGCTGCTGGGCCAGGGCTGATACCAAAAGGCACCTCCAGACCTAAATTCATGCCGAAGTGTATGCAATAGAATGTGAAGATTTATATAATGCTATCTTCTATTGAGTGATACCACGTTGCATACAACTCGGCTGTCATAGTGTCTGAAATTGGTAACCCAAATATAGGTTTTGATAGGAATAACAGCGCCAAGTCACTTGTTCCTCACCCGTACACACATGCATCCCTCTCGTTTTGATGCCGACAAAGAAACCAGTAGACCCATAATATTGGCCTTAGAAATGGGCGGGTTGAAGAGTGAGATGATGCAGTACCGTGCGAAAGAAAAAATAAACAAGTATTGCCGGAACCAACTGGCGGAATCGAGCCGACGCCCTCCACACATTGCCTTCTTATCCTCCACCCTGTACCTATTATCGTTCACAGGGGGCAGGCTCCGTAGACGTGGGAGGAGACCATTCGCTGGATTGGGCGCGTGCAAGATCTATAGATAGCTGGTGTTTCAGGCTGCGCTGATGGAGAGCGAATGCTATTGCCTGGCTTGCCGCTGACTTGTTTGGGGGCTGTGACCAACAGGCAGAAGAGTTGTCGCACTACTAATGAGGCCTCAAAAGCGGCCCCCTTGGTAGCAATTGAAACAGAAAACTCGGTTATGCCCTTCGTCCAGGCTCGGCCGACTTTTCTTCAACAAGTTCTCCCCCTTCTGTCTTGTCTTGACAACATAGATCTTTTCGTATTTTAGCTGCTGGTCAGCTATCCTACTCTATTGAAACCGCACCCGCCCACAGAACAGTCCTACTAGTCACCATGTCGAGCACACAGGAGGCAGAACAGATTGTGCGGCGCCTAACCAGGAAGTACGGGTTCCTAAACGAAGAGATGATGGACGACATCGAACAGTTCAACTCCGAATACCGTCGGGAGATTGATGAAAACTGGCTCGCGATGGAAAACGCGGTATCGCACTCTGTCAAAATGTGAGTATCTAAGCCAAATCTTTGGCCACGCGTGTGCTGATTGTTCTCAGATTAGCAAAGCAGATCTACGGCAGTGGTGCTCGTTTCGTTTTTGAACTTCTTCAGAATGCCGACGACAACGTCTTCAACAAGGCTACCGCAAGCAACGCACTACCTTTCATCTCTTTCAAAATACATCCGAATCACATCATCGTCGACTGCAATGAAGACGGCTTCACTGAACCGGATCTACAAGCTATTTGCGCGGTGGGACAAAGCACCAAGTCAGCTTCCCACGGATACATCGGTGCCAAAGGTATTGGGTTCAAGTCTGTCTTCATCGCTGCGTCTAGAGTTCATATCCAGTCGGGCAATTTCTCATTCGAATTCCGGCACAACAAAACAGACCCAGGTATAGGCATGGTCAGACCTATCTGGGTCAATCCTATCGAGACCATCCCCAACCCTCTGACTCGCATGACACTATACCTCCACAATCAGGGAGACCAAGGCGACATTCGACATCTGAAGAAGATCATCTCCACGCAATTTGACGACCTGCAGCAAACATGCTTACTCTTCCTCCGAAAACTTGAGAAGATCAGCATAGAAGTCTTCAACGAAAGTGGCGAGCTCGAGCGATCGAAACAATTCCGCAAGCATAAAATCGACGAACATCGCGTGTCTCTGGGGACCACTTCGATTATCAATGGAGCAGAGACGACTCAACACCAGATCTACCACATCACAAGGCACAGAGCGACAGGCTTGGCGCGAAGCGACAATCGTGAGCTTCCGGATACCGACGAAGGTCGAAGAACCTCCTCCACCGCCGAAGTTGTTTTGGCTTTCCCGCTTACAAGCACTTCCAAACCGCTCATTTCTCGAAGGAAACAAGAGCTCTTTGCATTTTTGCCTCTTAGAAAATCCGATTACAAGGTTAGTTTGAGACTCCAATGCCACGACCCTGCATAAGTCAAGCGTTTCCTGACTGTCTTTAGTTTCTCATTCACTCGGATTTCGACACAAATGTCAATCGACAGGACATTGTGACCACATCACGGAGAAATCTCGACCTCCGTTACTGGATCGCGAGCACGTTCAATCAAGCTGTTCTGCAATTTTGCGAGCACGATACCCTCCGCTACGACTGGCCATTGTTTCTCCCATCCCCGGATGGCAGTTCAGATGCGTTTTGGTCTGGCCTGGATCAGGAGATCCAATACTTTGTGCAGAATGGGGCTTTCTTTAGGGCGCGTAAGCGAAATACTTTGCGCCTCATTAGCGACGTTTTCATTCTCATTAGCGGTGCCATGGACGCAGACGGAGAACCTGTATTTGACGACCCACGCAAAGACTGGTACCTTTCACCGAAGTATTCTCAAACGGCGGTGAATGTGCTCAAGGACTATGGTCTCCAGTCGGTGTCTGTTAGTACTTTGCTCATGTTGCTGGAGATCGATCTCCGCAGCGCCAACTCAAAAATGCACGGAAGACACACGACGAACGAGTGGCACTCGGTTGTGGCACGGATGTTTTCTCTGTGGTTCGAGGAGAATAACATACCTGCGCAACAGAGGCTAAGATCACTTCCTTTGCTTCCTTTGAGAAACAGAAAATGGACATCAACTAGGTCAGGGCCAGTTTATTCCTCAGCGACAGGTGACATCAACATTCCTGATTCCTTGGATCTGAGGGTAATCAGTCTTTCTGCATCCCAAAATCCTGATCGAAACACCTTATTTTGGCACCTTGGAGTCTGCGAGGCTACGGTAGATCAAGTGAGAGCCTCGATTAGCAGGTCTTTCCAGTCAAATCGCCTATCATTCGACATTATCAAGTCCTATCTTGATTATCTTTACCTAACACATCAGCCTGGCACACACACACAAGAAGGGTACGCAAAAGTAGAAGTTTTCAGCCAGACCAGGAAGCGCATAGCCCCAAGTAAGACAGACGTTTACCTTCCTGGCACGGCTCATGCCTACAGCCCCATGAGCCTCTTGGCGGCACAAGGCACTGCACCCGGCCTGTCTGTGGAATTTCTACATTCTGAAAACATGGACCATACACCGACCCGTCCGATTTCATCTCACCCGAGTTGGGAGAGGTGGCTCTGTGATTTCGTTGGCATACGACAGCGACTAAGACTTCTGTCACCTAATGGAGAGGCTTTGTCGTATACTTTTCTATACGTCTTTAAGCATCGACCAGAAAAGTTCTTGGGGTTATTTGAGCATCTCTGGTTACACGAGAAGTCAAATTTGTTGCGAAATCTGACTCTTCGATCCAAGATCAAGGATCTTCCCGCCAAAGACCTTTGCGGGGTGAATTTTCCAATCAAGTTGAAAGAGACTTGGCTTCCCTTTACAACCTTGCCCAACTATGTCATGCGTTACATGGAATATCCCGAGCAATTCCCTTTTCTCAAATTCGAAGAATCAAACCTGACGGGACAATTTGTTACCAGATGGAATTTCCTGAACGAGTTCTTCTCGGTCGGGAAAGATGTCAACGTGGACTTCCTTCTTGAAATACTCCGTTGCATTCAGAGATCGTGCCCAGAGCCTTCTTCCGTTCGTCAGACCCAAAAGGTCTTTGACTTGTATGTCGCTCTCTATGCCGCACTCGCCATGCCCGATGATGAACCAGGAACGCGACGCAAGATCAGGTGAATATAAAAAGTTCGCGTCCAGACATGTTGCTGATTACTGATTTACAAATAGGGATTTTTTTGACGAAGAAGGCATCATCTTTCCAGATGAGGAGAAATCCACCTGGACATCATCTTCTTCTTGTTTATGGGTCGCACCCCCGGATATGGAAACGAAATATGCCCTCAGAAATCTCTACTCAAGAACTTTGGGCGATGAGCAAATGGAGATTATCAGGATTCTTTTTCAAAGAACGCTCGAAATTCGGAACGCTTCATTGGATGATTTGGTAATAGAGCTAGAGGAACTTCGGGAGGGGGGTTGTGAGGACAAACCTCGCATACGGGCACTATATAAATACCTGGACGAGGTGATTCCACCTACTTCTGACATGAGGTATGTTCTGATTCAGTTTCTTCCCATCAGCGTTGCTTGTTACAAGATTAACACAAAGACAGAGCTGCATTTGAGACATACAACCTCGTATATTACGTGCCGCGACATGGGGAGTCAGGTTGGTACAGACCATCTGATTGCCTGTGGTCCAGTGAGACAGCGATCCGCGATAAAGTCATCCTAAATGAGTGCTGGGACGGCGATGAGAGCTTTTTCGTTGACAAACTGGGCGTGAAGTTGCTCACCCTACAAATGGTCTACGATGAGCTCCGAAATTCGCCTCAGGGCAGCATAGACGAGATCAAAGTGGCCATCTTGTCATTCAACGGCCTCCTCCAAACAGAACCGATCCATTTGGACCCGGAACCGATCAGAAAAGCCAGGATCTTTCCCATTAGGTATCCGAGCGGGACTGTTGTGTTGGGGTCCATGGATGTGGAATTCGCGATTGGGGATCGAGACAAGTTGAAAACAAGTTTTCAGGACAGAATTAATCTTTTGGACTTTGATCTGGAAGATGTTCGTCGACTGAAGCCATTCTTCGAGTGGGTGAGCCTCCAAAATCGGTACTTGTCCAACTCTGTCAAAGAACGCACTTCAATCTCTAGCAATTCGGGGCGTCCGATCTCATCACGCAATCGTGACCTGAAACGCAAAGCTTACTATATTGCCCGGTACGTACTGAAAGGACGAGAGCTGTTTGAATGATGCTGATTATGCGCCACCGACTAGAGTTGCAGCTACCTTTAACAGTCCTCGATTGAAACACGGCCCAGGTGAACTGTATGGGCAGCTGCGCACAATGACTGTGATGGAGATTGATGGGATCTCTTCTGTATTGGAAATTTCCCAAAGCAGGCAGAGATTCCAAGTCACAGTGGCAACTGCCAGCGAGCATATTGACGACACCTCAGAGAGACTCACGATTTATGTCCCCAAGCAACGCAGAGCGCAGGAACTCTGCTTTGGCTCAGTTCTTCCCAGAAAATTTGCTGTATGGCTGATGCGACACCCGTTGAGTCATATCGACGGAGCTGTCGAAGTTGACGCAGTCAAGGCCCTAACTTCAATTTTTGCCTATGACCGATCCGTTCTTGACGACATTCTCGATGACCAGGGGATTATACAAGTTTCATTTGAGAATGAAGATGAAGGCGATGACGAAAACGATAGCGGAGAGGAGGAGGAGGCGCATGAACATCAACAATCTGACAACCCCTTTGGAAATGACGACGCCTCTTCAGAACATCAAATGATTCCGACTCACTCCTCGGTGAATCGTGGCCCGTTACCATATGTTGCTTCATCCGAGGCTGAGCCCGAAAGAGGCCTCACGGAAACAGTAGTTGAGACCGTTTCTCGGCGGAGCCACATGCCACATCAGCCTCGGCCGGGGGGTGGAGATAACTCCTCGCGACCACTTCTGTCTCACTATTTTTCACAGTTACTAAATCGGTTAAACTATCAGGCCCCCCAGAACTCGGTATCAACCACGTTCACGCGGCCGGATAGTCGATCTTCCGAAGACGTGCAATATCTCGCGATTCTGAACAGGGTTGTCGACACAGCTCGAACAGCAGCATTCCAATCTCGTGGGGCATTCGATATGAGTGATTTGCGGGATGCTCTGTCTGGTGGTGAGGGAAATACAGATGCGTATGAAAGCTTTGACGGAATGGATGTGATCAGTAGGTTTCGGTCTACTAACCAACTAGAGCGTGACAAGAAGGTTGGGGCCGCGGGCGAGTTATACGTGAGTAATTTTACATGCATGACATGAGTTCCCAAGACTGACTGAGAGGATCACCTAGGTCTTCGAGCTTTTGACCCAACTCGACCTGCCAGATTGGAGTCGTGCAAACTGGCAAAGTACGATTAGAAAGTACGTGACGATTCATCCAGACTACAGGAACATGGCGGCATGGAACAGAAGAGAGACCGCAGATTTGGTTTATGCCGATACTGCGGGAGACTTCACAGACACTCTCATTGGCTGTGGTTATCTGAACCATGATGAGTGGCATGGGGCACGACCCAAGTATTACATAGAAGTCAAGACCACGACTGGACCATGCGGTACCCCCTTCTACATGAGTGGTAACCAATACCGACTTGTGAGTTCTTTAGCCAATGTTCCTATCAGCATGAGCTAACTTGACGCAGATGGGACGAATTCACCACACCGAAGATCGTTCAGAAGTTTACATGATCTTCCGCGTGTTTTGGCTGAACAGCGACAGGATAGGCCTGTGTATATATTTTGACCCGGAGCAACTTAGACAAGACGGGAGGCTTGTGTTTACAGGACAGACGTGGTGTGTTACGCCAGCGGCCGGACCGGATTTGGATGATTAAGGGAGACGCGCAATATGTGCAAAGCTGAACGAATACAAAGTCTTGGCCCCAATTTGGTGGCTATATGCAACAGAAGCTCTCCCGCTTTCTTAAGTAACTCAGCCCAGCTCGTGCCGCAAAGGTTGCACACACAGCCCATCGTTCTGCCATCTGTGCCTGATTGTCTCACACTCGCGGTAAAAATGACGCCGGCCTGATGCCGCTGGTACGACTAGAGACTCAAACACCGAGCAATATTCTCTCCTTCCAGTGTTAGTAATTGGCCCCTCAACAATTCCCGTTGTTCTGCGTTGCGGACCTCAAGACGCGAAGTCATTATGCCTGTCTAAACGCAAACCACCTTCAAAATGGTACGGTCTGGTTAAGTCAATTGGACCGATCTCGAGGCTTTTGCACCAGCCACGTCATCGCCATCCGGTCGATGGAATGAGTGGAGCAGATTACTGGCGGCTCTGGATGCAAAGCTGTAGGTACCGCGAACCGACAATGCGAGCTGACTAGCTTGCCATGCTGTTCAACTTTAACCGTCATGGACAATTGAGGGTGAAGCGTCTCGGTGTGGGTGAACTTAATGCCACCGAGGGGGAGGAGAATTCGTTTGAGGGGGCTGAGTAGCAAACAATAGAGCTTGTTTTAGATTGGAGGGGTTTTTACTACGAAAAAGAGGCCACGTTGATGTGAGCGAATGACGATGGTAGCATTGTAGCTGGAAAGCCCGCATCTCGGGAGGATCAGGATCTCGCCACTAATGTTTAACATGCTAATCTCGAGCTACTTCGCGGGAATAGTGAGGTGCTACGAGCCTAGAAGTAAATCTGCAGCTGCTTAAAGCGGCCACAGGCCGCGAAATTTTGTATTCAGTGACCAAATTACAATAAAACAGTTTCTATGATAAAGCCACCGATTTGCCACTATTAAAGCTCTTCACATAACCCTAGTACGTATATCGGAAGAACTTGTTTTCCTTATCTGTCATTGTAGACCACACTTCCGGGGACATATACTCGTCCTCCATCTGTTTGCTGTGATCATTGCGTCTCTTGTTTGCCCAGACGTAGTAACAAAACAAGCTGAATGTGGTGACAACGCAACCAGCCTGGGTCCCCATGACTGCAAGCTTGGCTGGTCGATAATCTGGTGCATCGCGGGCTTGAAATGTCTGTGGTCCAATGATATTGCCCAGTGAGAAAGAACCGCTGACGATTGCAGCAGCAAAGGCTCGCTTGGTTGCACCGCCAAAGTTTGCCGCAGTCCACTATAATGTTATGTGAGTGACCCTGCCGGTTGAAGAAGGGAAAAGAAGTCTTACGCTGTAGAAGATGGTCAAGGGGGCGACGACTGCGTTGACCAGATAAATACCAGCCAAAATTCCGGACTTGTTGCTCTTGTCGAGAAACGACATAAGCGCGCCACCAATGATTCTAGATAAAGATTGTTAGTAGACAAACAACACTGCTTCTGTGGGGCAACTTACGCAGGAATGATGCACGCAATGATCCAGGCCCATCGATGGGACTGGGTTCGGATACCATAGCCAACAGAAAGAGTGAAGAAGATGCTGACCACACCAGAAGGCATGTTCATTAGGGCGGCCCTTTTGGCGTCGTAGCCCAGACCGCGAATTAAGGTGGCAGAGTATGTTGTGACGACACCGCTTGAGACAGAGAGCTTGGGTAGGGTTCGTTAGCAGAGGCTATGGTAGACGCCAAAGAAAGAAACTCACCAAAACAACAGATAAAACCATGAGGTATAACTGAGGATCGCACAATGCTTCAACTATCTCATTTGGGCGGAATTTGCGGCTCTCAATGCCGGTCTGGTTCACGCTGACGTGCTTCAGTAGAGCAACCTTTTCACTGTCAGACAGCCATCGAGCTTGCATAGGCGTGTCTGGGAGAAAGACGAAGGTGCAGAGACCGATGACAACCGTGATCATGCCAAGAGTCACAAACATGATCCGCCAGCCAGCGAGACCAGCGCCAGGACCAATGTGTTGGAAGCCATATGACGCGGCTCCTCCGATGATCTGGCCGAGGCCAAGACCGAGATACCAGAAAGAAAACCGCGGGGCCTGTTCTGATTTGGTGTACCACTGGCTACTGATGAGCATCAGAGAAGGGCCAATGGTAGCCTCGAAGATGCCCAGAAAGACGCGAGAGACAAGAAGGGTCTGGTAATTATGCGCAGCGGCACCACAGGCCGTGGCGATACCCCAGAGCACGACATTGGCTCCCAGCCACTTTGCTGCGGGGACCATTTGAAGAAAGTAAACTGTAGATTGTTAAGAAACAAGAATTGTGCACGGGAAAGAAGGGGAACTGACTGTTGGGCACTTCGAAGCAGAGCAAGCCGACGAACAGGAACGTGGCAATGTTGGAGAATTCATTGCCCTTGAGCTTCAGGTCTTGGTTAAGGCCCATGACTGCAGAGTACTAAAGAAATCTTGTGTTAGAAACTCAGCAGGATCGGCAGCTGGAGCACACACATTAAGGATGACCTTGTCCAGGAACTGCATCGTGTAGCAGCAGAACATCAACGGCACGATGCGCCAATCGATCTTCCGGCGCAATGCATCGATATCGACCGGGATGTCGCCTGCCACCACGTCGCGGTGACGATCAAGGAACGTCCACGCAGCGTCTACATTGCCGTGCATGTCTTTGGGGTATGGCTCTTGGGTGACCTCGACATCCTTTTTCTGGCCTTCTGCCAGTGACATTGTGAAGAATTTAAACTCGTAAAAACAGTGGCAGAAGACAACGCTGTAAACGAGACGACCGGGAACAGGCGAAGGGAGACGTGGAGTGGGCAAGATATGGCCTGAAGGAATGGGATCGAAAGCAATTTAACCACAAGATAAATGAAGTGTAAATTAAACCCGCATGGAGGGAAGAAGCAAGAGAAAGCCGGGAATCAAGGTGGTGTAGCCCAAGATGGTCGCCTGAAACGGCCTGCATACGAGTACTACGCTCATGGTTACATCGTCGTCGCCAAGGTGAGCAACGGAGGATGACATTCGTCCGCCTCGGGCAGATGCCAGTGGGTCGTCTAGTTGACTTTTGCTCTGCAGAATGCGTATGCAGCTGTGAATAAGTCACAAGTAATACGGCATGCCCCCGTCGTCGGCTGTAAAGCTCCGCAGTGGCCTGTTCTCATACCGGGATCTTTTGATCGACCGGCTACGATCTGTTGGTGCTGGGGATCTGGCCCATGCCGAAGGTGGACCCTTCTGGAACTAGCCGGGGCGGTCATCAATTTGTTTCCAACGTCTGTTGGTTGTGTTGGTGATTGAACACGCCAGGAGTGCATTGGTGGAAGGATGGCTTGCCGTCGGGACATTGCCTCGCATGTCACATACCGCCGGCCAGCGAATTGTGTAGCCGAATGACAGCTGGGTTGTGTTCCACAGCATGATTTGAATCAGAAATTATCTTGTGGCAGGGGACGTTGTGTCGTAGCTGGGGGATCTACGAGGACAGCCTTGCGTTGCGAGTGCGAGTGGCTGCAGAGCGTTGGCTGGGACTCAGGATTGCTCCGGTTTATTGACTGTGCGTTGGCTCTCCTTCTGTACAATCCCATGGTTTCTCTAGATTACCATCTTCATGAACGAATTTACCAGTGTCTTCTTCTTCGTCCCTCCTTGACCACTGGCCGTCGTCTACAGCAGCCAATATGGGCTGGGTCCTGAACGCCTCCTCCGACGTCAACGCCAAGTCCCAATATCCAACCATTATTGCCATATGCATCATACTGTCAGAATTATCGAGTGCAGTGGTATTGGCTCGACTATACGTCCGTTTTCGCGCTCGCGGTCTCGCCCACGATGACTACATGTCGGGCCTGTCCATGGTCTTTGCGATTCTCTACTCAGTGCTTTGCATCGCCCGTACGCTCTGCCCTTCTATATTTAGGACACCTCTAATCGAACTACATTGCCACAGAAACGAGATATGGCCTTGGCCTTCCCATATACCTACGACCCAAGAAAAATCTGATCACATACACTCGAGTCAATTTTGCTGGCCGGCCGATCTACCAACTTGGCATCAGTTTCTTCAAGATCGCTTTGTTGATCAGCTACTTGCGCCTTCTTCATGGTACCGACCATAGGACATATCGAGCTATTGTGTGGTTCGTCATCGGGGCCGTCTTTCTCTCGCATTTAGGATGCACCCTGTGCCTCATTTTGGCGTGCAAGCCTGTAGGAGCCATGATGTATGAGAACGAGAGCCATCGCTAACAAATGACAGGTCAGCAGATCATGGAATCCATTAGGGGAAGGAACATGTCTCCCAGCTGGACCATCGTTTACGGCCTATTCCATTGTCACCATCGTTTCTGATGTGGTGGTCGCCTTGCTGCCACTCCCTGTTCTAGCCAAGCTTGAGGTTCGACTCGGAAAGAAGATCGGCCTCATCGCCATCTTTGGTCTCGGCCTATTCACCACAATCTGCTCAGTCTTGCGATACCTGCAAATCGATCGGATCCAACATGGCGATGGCAATTCAACCATGCTCGTCCTCTGGGGAACTATTGAATTCAATGTCGGGGTAAGATTCATTAAACCTGGGAATAATCCAAGAGCTAACTGCGTCGCACAGAACATGGTATCCTCTCTTCCATTTCTTGCACCCATCTTCGTCAAGAAAGCCAAGCAATACCGATCCAAGCATTCTGATGATTATGCCGCTCCCAGTGGTAGAAGTCGAAGTCGGGGGCTGAAGAGCGACCACTACAAGTTAAAGGACATGAGCCACGGCAAGGATGATGCCGTTTTCCATTCAGCGACCGATAAATCTCGCAGCGGCAGTGAGGAAAACATCTTAAGGGAAAACAAGGGCATCGTCAAGTCAATGACCTACACAGTCCAGGTGGAGGACGAAAGTGGAGAGCCCAGTGGTTCCCATAGTGTTCGCTCGATCCGCACATAATTCATGGAGTCATTTTTGTTTCAGTGTAGCATAAAATTTAGACAATCTGACGGCTTTGCTCGCATATCTGCTCAGCATGGAGCATTTCGGGGGAGATGGCTCGGCTAACCACGCAATCTCAGTAATACCGGGTGTGATTCCTGATTACACAGGATGGCCGAGGATGCCAACCAACAAGCTACAACACGACAGATGAGTGATTGTTAGTCTGCGACTTGTCCCACTGAAATCCAAGGGTCGAAGCCACTTGCTGTACGCAAATCCCGCTTAGTCCTACGTAAGGTTTTTGGGATGGCAGTGCTCCTGGGGTATCATGCTAACATTCTTCAAGGGTTGTATCGTATTTAACCAGGAAGACGAGGGCACCCTGGCTCCGGGACGTCCCCGAGAATTCCCAGTCAATGCAGGGGTTGGATCCCTGATCGCGGCATTATTACCCCCAGTCAATGGCCCACTATGAATGAGACAGGAGGGCGTAGATCGCTCCGCAATGATCCGTAGTGAAAAGCGTGTTGGTCGTGAGCCCAACGATCCTAAGTCCTTGCCTGCGTACTTCAGAGTTTGTACCCATCGACGAGTTGACTCCTTTCTCCGCCTTCGACATAAATTAAGAAATCACCTTTTTCTGCCAAGAAGCATTCAATATGACACCCCGGACCGTCTGCTCAGTCGAAAAGCCCATCCTCATCATCGGCGCCGGAATCAGCGGCTTGCTCCTGGCGCAGCGTCTCCGCCAGGAAGCTATCCCATTTCGCGTATTTGAACGAGACGCCGATCTCTCGACTCGCGGCGCTGGCTGGGGCCTCACATTGCACTGGTCACTCCCGGCGCTGCGATCACTATTGCCAGATCACCTAGCTGAACGTCTGCCCGAGGCTTATGTTGACCGCGCTGCTGTCGCTAGAGGAGCATCGTCAGGTTTTCCCTTTTTTGATCTCAGTACCGGTGAACTCAAAGCAAAGACGCCCAAAGCCTCGGAGTCACAGCGCATTAGGGTAGCTCGCGAGGGCTTGCGAAAACTGCTTGGTACCGATATCAACATCGAGGTATGTTTGTGGCTATTTGGTTGGACGGAAGTATTCTTGAACCATCATTAATTTAATTCCACTATCAAGTGGGAGAAGGCTCTCGCTGGGATATCATTCAGCCCTGACTACGCAACAGCAAAATTTGACGATGGGTCGTCTATCATTGGGAGCCTCATTGTCGCGTGTGACGGCGCTCAATCCGCAGTACGACGTAGTCTCTTTCCTGACCAGTGGGAGACTCACAAGTTACCTGTTCGCATGTTGGGAGTGAAGCTGCAACTATCCCCGGACCAGATGAAGTCCATTCATGACCTGGATACATTTTTCTTGCAGGGCACTGCTTCAAGTAACGATTCGTTTGTTTATATCAGTGGTGTGTACTCTCTCATCAGCTACAATAGTTCCATGGTTAGTAACATTGCAGTGCTCGATGCTCCGGAGAATCATGCGCAGAGTTCCGAGAAATACGTATGCCAGATGTGTGTATCTTGGCCATACCGTGACGGCTTCTTCAACAACGCATTGCCGACAGAGATACCCAATTCGAACGAAGAAAGGCGTCGGTTTATAAATGCTCTGGCGGAAACGTGGGCAGAGCCTTTCCGTACTCTGGCCCTCAACATACCGATCGACGAAGATATCAAACATCTTACCCCACAAGACTTTGTCCCAGATCTTGATTTCCGCATAAGCGACAGAGCTGTGCTGATGGGAGATGCATTCCACGTCATGGTAATGTGTAAGTACTCATATTCACCGTGCATTACGTGATGTAAGAACTTGAGAGGCTAATAGCGTAGACTGAGGCGAGGGTGCCAACCATGCGATTGTTGATGTGCTTGATTTTGTGGACCGAGCGGTACCTGCATTGCGGGATAATCAGGACATCACCATCCTAAGAGTGGCTTTGGATGAATATGAGGATGCAGTTATTAAGAGGGCTCGTCCTGGTACATTGGCCTCGCGGCGAGCATGTCTGGATGCCCATGAATGGCATCGGATCAATGGCGACAGCCCCTTGTTAACGAAGCGGGAAATGATGAGTCAATACGTAGATGATGTCTGATATAGCTATTGTATCAAGGGGTTAGGGTGCCCTAGTACACATAGCCAGAGGGGGGACTAGAAGCTCAACAGTAAAAAAAAAAACACCAACAATAGTATCAACAATACTGGGCACCCGATTATGTTTTTATTGAAATACCAAAAAATACTTTCTTTTCGACGTGACTCAATATCATCACATCGATCAAATATTTATTTTTAATCATTTGGGCCAAACTGAATAGAACAACAACGGAACCCCATCGACGATAAAGCCCTCCGCACAACCACTGGAGTATTTCGCCGCTTAGGTCGGTCACGGGAACATGTACCAACCGGAACGAACCGAACTCACGACGCTCAAGCCTAGATTCAAGAGAAGCGCGACTTGATGCGTGAGCTCGTCCGCCTGGGCTGTGGGACGAATCCCTCTCCTGTCTCCTGCACTGTACGTCTCGTGGTGCAAGAGCTATGGGCAGGGCCGATAGGTCAATGAGCAATGTATATGATATTGTGCGGCCTGCAAGAACTGCAATGGCTGGAGGGAGTGGCGCTGCAGAGAGTGTCACAAATGGACTTATGATGTTTCGATGCCTTTCGAGCGGCGTGGGGAGAGAGCGGAATCAATGGCATAAACTCTGCATTTGACCATTTCCCACCATCGACTTTGAGGAGCTCTGTCCGCATGCCTATCTATACCCTGTAAGGTTAGGAAAGCCTTGGGTTGGGTTCATGACTATGGCAGTTGCTTCCTCAGGCAGATGGGAGATCATGTAGGTGAAAAGCTCTTGTTTTCTTCCTACCTAGTGAGGGTCCTTGGGTCAGTCTTATGATGAAACAAAATGATGAACTCGGATGACCTCAGACATCCGAGACGCTCCGGATTCTTCGGGGTCTTGTCTTCACCTAGTTATGGACCTGAACAAAGGAAAGGCTTGGCTCGTGACGTGACCAGTGACGAGGTAGATGGCGATGCACGCCTATGAAGATAGAAAAAAAGGCTCCACTGCTGCAACAGCCGTTGGAAATCGATATCCCGATATGTGACAGCAGTGCTGTGGGATTTGCCGACAAACAACCATATCAGCTGTCTAGTTCTAATACTGAATAACCCCATAGACCTAGAGGACCTGGAAATGGGCAGCTATCTTGAAACCCCCTTTATGAATGGCACGAGTGCCTCATCCACTGAGGCCCACTGTGAACCAAAGCCTTTGGCTAATCCACGAAATTGACAGATTCATTGATGAGGATTATCTGCCAAGCCTAGCTGCTAATGACGAGTATGTTTTACCAGCCTCTCCTATCTTCTTATTTCAATTGAGGAAAATATACAGCTTAACCCTCTCTGAACATACCACGCCAGCATTGCCAAGCAACTAACACACCTTGAATTGCCGCTGGAATTGCCGTTATATGCTCTTGAAATGCCATGATGTTTACCTTGGCATATGGGCGCAGCGTCCGCTATCACTTTTGAGGAAGGAGGGAACCTTATCCTATTGGAAGAGCAGTATACTTCGGACGTTACCTTGCCAGAGAGTGGGGCGTTATCACTTAGTCTGTTTCATTGCCAAGCTCACTTGCATTGAGAATTTAGGAAGGTAATTTAGAGCGAGAGCACTAATGAACCTTAAGGCACGAAAGCTGATAAATCGTCCCTTTTGATCGCCAGATGGTCTTGTCACTACCGAGTGGGATAAAAGAAGATTAGCTATATCAGTCGTTGAAACCTCGCCCCTATTTTAGATGCCAGAGACGCTCAGTGACACTCAAGTTCTGCTCAGCTTGTACTCTAACCAGTACCAGTTTTTCTTTCCAAGGACATTCAAGATGAGAGCATTCATCAAACTTCTAATCCTCACAGTCTGCGCCTCCGCTGCTGCTTCGCCAAGCCGTGTGCTTGACGCAAGACAGGCTGTTGTGACGCCTGCTCCGTGTGAACCGATTGTCCCTGCACCATGCGAAGCAGTAGTCAAGAAAAGATTCAACAAGTTCGCGAACGCGTTCATCGTCAAAAAGAATTTGACGGAAGCATTCGAATATATTTCTAGTACATACATTGTAAGATCGGCCTGGCTTGCTATGTCCTTGTAATACTTCGCTAAACTGAGCAATAAAACTGGTAGAACCATAATCCGTTCGCCGATGATGGTCCAAATGCCGCACTTGACGTCCTTGGTCCAATTTGGCCGTCTCTCAATATCACGGTCCTTCGCACTACGTTCAAGGGCAATATGGGCTGGTTGAACTACAACACTAGTGGTTTTGGTGAAGTCGTCGATCGGTTCAGATGGGAGGATGGCTGCATCGTTGAGCACGTAAGTCGATCCCAAACCCCCCAAGATCTTTGTGGTTCATCTGACTAAAACAACTTCTGTCATGTTAGTGGGATCAAGGCGAAGTGTATCCCACCAAGACCAAAAATGGGTAAATATTAACGGGTGACCATGGAAGGGTGGTGAGCGCCGTACATATATATGTTAGTGACACTTTCAGGCGAAGGCGTTCGTTGTGGGCGCGCAGTTATGAAACTGTCGCGGTGGCAAACGTATATACTTTAGATAAACTTGCTACCCGCTACCTTGAGCAACCAAATTTACTATCCCTCTCCTCCGCAACCTCGATATAACATCAATTAAAAATCAGATGTGGGGTGCGACTGGATATTATATGTGTTGCCAGCCGATAATGGAGAGAGTATTTCCATTCGGCTTTCCGCCCCACCGAAATATTAGAAATACCTCGAGACATTCCATCCATTGTCAATTACCGATAGACTAAGTCAGCTACTCTTGTAACAAACTGACTCACTAACCACCCTCGCTTATACAATGTCAAGCATAGGGAACCTCGTCGATTTTCTCAATGGAAGCAACGAGAATTGGCGAATCAAGTTTCTGTCTTGGGCATGTTAACAGTACTTGATTGAGGCGCATTGATGATGCGTAGGACAAGGGATAATTAATGAGAAAATATAATCAAGTAGAAAGGAATCATGATGAAGACTGGCTTATAGATGCCGAGATGCTCAAAGCTATCATGTTTCTACTTGGTGGCTGGATCTAGGCTGAGCGAGCGTTGTGAGCAGTTCTTCAGCCAAGGCTGATTCGGGCACTTTGGTGATCAGAAGGATGATATGGAGAAGGTTTCAAAGGAGATTTCTTGCGCTATGGAACGATAAGAATTGCATGTACATCCATCTGACTCGAGTATTTCCAAGACATCTGCCCGTCTTGTGAAGTCGTATGATCTGGCCCGTGTACATGTCGCTTCTGTGCATGTAACACGTATCATTTTAGCACTAATCCACCTAAGCTACCTATTGAAATGACGTGCAATATTTTAGCTCAGTTGAGTTGGGAATAAAAAAGTGATAACGTGACAGGAAACAGCCGCCACGGGGCTTAGGATCCCCAATCAGTGGACGTAGATGAATGGTCTCTCACTGACACACAGGTACTGTAGTTGGCTTGGAAACAGCGTTGCTAGGGTTCGTCTTGGAGCAACCATTTGCAAACCCCAAGGCCGTATCATCGACGGCTGCGCTATAAGCCGCGCCGCAATTTGGGTCACTGAAGTCATTAGACACGTTCCACAGCAGACTTTTAGGACATACCTGGCTCCGCCGCTTGCATTATTAAAATACGAGCAGATGTCGTGAGAGAAGCAGTCCTGTGTGTAGGCATTGCCCAGCGCTGTTCCGGTGCACCCAGCTCCACAGCGTCCATTGCAAGAGTAACTAACACGGTCAGGGACAATTCTCGGATGTTCGATGGAAGACATACTCTCCCGACCCGGCACTATTTGCGCCATAGTTGCTACCGACAACACTAACAAAGGTGCAAGATTGGCCTGCGCTGTTCGTCCACCGTGCCGTGGCCGTGGCGCCAACTTGGAGGCAAGTGATGGATCGCTTGGACACCGATGGCGCCGCGGTGGCGACGCACGCAAAGAATAAGGCGATGATGGGAAGCATTATGCTATTTGTTTGATTTGTTTTTGCCTACTGATCAGAGAAAGTCTAATAGTGTATACCTCCTTTATAGCTATAAGTATAGGTGCTCTTCGTTCGTGCAAGGTAGATTTCGTCATCGGGCATGCTGCCAGAAGGGGCAAGCGCGGAGAAACTTTCGGAGAAACACCAGCAATATTGCACTACCATCTATCCCGTTTGGTAGAGATGGCCGAAGAAACAATTGTGTGCTTGAGGAACGGAGGTTCTCAGTCCGTATGGGGTCTTTTACAGTACACTAAGCGTGCTGGTGGTAGGCAATGGGCACACAGCCTGGGGCTCATTAGTAACCACTTCAATAACTGAAGACTAATCATAAATCTCGCCATATGTATTCAGCGGTGGCTGAGGAAGAGATTAGTCCTCACCTAAAAAGAGCGATCAAACCGGCGACTTGTTACACTCTTTCTCAGTTCTCAGGAAGGATATTCTATCAAGTCCCCATACGCCCAATATCTATCACACACAGTGACCGCCATCAACCATTTAGTCTACGGCCGTAATAAGGTTACTTCCATCTCCAAGCAGGAAGAGGATGGGAACACGAAATTCATCGACTTTGCTTAACCGGTACTTACTGGGTCCGGCAGCGGATACCGTTCCGTCGATATTGCAACCTGAAAGGGCTCGGTCTTTGTGGATCACTATTGCGGATCACTGTCCGGGGTACGGGGTAAGGAAGCCAGACTGCATGTCCACGATTACAACAGCAATATTAATAAACTTTTATCAAGTGCGAAGTCAGCATCCCTGCGAAATCCAACAACAGCTTTCCCATCATTCCTTGCGATGTTTCTTCTTGCTTGATTTCTTCTTCGGGATCTCAGGAGGTGGCGCCGGGGGCTGTTTTGGCACTGCGTCCTCTGTCTCGCTTCCACTGCCACTGGTGGAAGAATCACTCTCCGAGGAGGATTCCTCAGAAGAGCTGTCATCCGACGGTTCGGGAGACTTGGGCTTGGTCTTGTTCTTGGAAGACCTTTTGTTCTTGGGCTTCTTCTTCGTCGAGCCCGGTTCATCGTCCAGATCGTTTGTGATGTCGTCGCGGCGGACTTCCGACCCCTTGGCTCGTTCATCGTCCCCTCCACGGACCTTTCCCAGGTATTTATCGAAATGGTCGCTCGCTGTTGCAACTGTCTCAAAATGTCTCCTTTCTAGTAGTGGCCCGTCAGGGTGGCCGTCATCGCCGGAGTATTTGATGTTGTCCCAATCAGCGAGTGCAACGGCAGTCTGAAAGGCGTTCTTGATTTGTCTCCCGTTCCATCTCGATCCTCCCTTCTTTTTCTTCCAATGTCGACGGGAATAGTCCTCAATCTCCTTGCGATCAAATCGTACACGAAATTTGCCATCTGACTTCTTGTTGCGATCCTCGAGAGCGTCCAGATTCATCGTCCAGACCTGGAAAGTCTGGTCCTCGTCCAAGGGTGGATAGTATAGAGCACAGTGAACGCGAGATTTGATGGCCTCGTCGAAAGAGCCGACTCGGTTCGTCGTCAAGATGAGAATCCCAGAATAATACTCCAGAACTCTCAAGAACACTAGCAACAAATTAGCAAACAAGCATGAAGCGGCAAAACGCTTTATACCGCAGAATGAACTCATGGAACACGGCGGTTAGTTGGCGTACCTGAGACAAGACTGTTCTGTCTGATATCTCCCTTTTCTCGCGCACTGAGAAAGACATCGGCTTCATCCAACAGCAAAACGCAGTTCCACTTCCTCGCAAGGTCGAAGAATTTCTCGAGGTTATTTTCAACCTCCTGAGCTGTATTTCCTCCAAGGTCACCGCAAGTGATAGGAAGCAGCGGCTTGCCAGCGTTGGCAGCGACGCACTCCGCAGTCGAAGTTTTTCCTACTCCTGGGGCTCCATGCAGAAGGATGATGAGGCCTCTTCCCTTTCCTTTGACGACATCAAATTCTCTCTTTGACTGTCTGACCTCTGTAGTACCATCTGCAGCGATCTGTCGAGCATGAGTCCTCACAAGGGCGCGCACAATATCCTTGTGACCAGGTGGCAAAACAAGCTTCTCGAACCCATCTTTCTCGCCCGCCTCTAACTTTGGCACCATCTTGACCAGATTGATATCAAGGGGATCTAATGAAACGTAAGCCGATGTTATGTGGAGCATTGAGCTTGGTTAACATACACCACTTCCGGCTAAGGAGCACGTATCCGTAGACTCTAGGGGGAAGCAATAAGTGACGACTCTCCGTCAAAGCACCCGGTAAGTGAGTTTGGAGAAGGTCCGTGTTGTGAGTAAATTGAGACCATCTTGACTTGAGGATCTCCGCGTCGTCATACCATATCCGGGAGTAATGGGAATCGCGTTTCAGGGGCTCATTTGTTTCTTCATCGTCTTCGTTCGTTGGGCTTACAATGATACCACCCCCGAACTGGGGCAGTGGTATTTTTGGCTCACTGTTCCGGAACGCAAGGTCGAAATCTATCATGACATCGCTGTCAATCTGTTTGTACAAGGGCTAGTAAGCAATGCACCATCGTTAAGAGGGTTGGGCAGGGGCAGTTAACGAACCTCCTCTATTCTGTCAAATAAATCGTCCTCTTTTAGGCTAAGCCCTTTATATCTGCGATGGCTTACGTGCGCTAGTTCTTCGAACTTCTTGCCTCTGGCGATGAGTGAAGTCTTGATCGGTTCTTCCTCATATATGAGCGGGTAGACAGGTAGATTGCTGACAGGAAGGAGGTCATCGTATGGCCTGATAGAAATTGTATGGGGCATTGGCCCAAATTGTTTGCCATCAAAGTCCAGGTAGAAGCAATCGATAACGAGGTCCGAAACAGTTTTTTGAAAAGGTGTTTTCGACTCAGCCCTCGGTACCAATGACTTCCTCCCGCCACAGACTTGTAGCACGCGGTAGACTTGACGCTTTGGATGCCTGGTAACAACCTCCTGGCCGGGTTTGAACAAGTACCAAAGATACGAGAATGGCAACCTTGTGATGCTGCTGTCAAGACGGCCGCGCTCCAAGCCCCTGTACGACCTGACGAGATCTTGAAGATCTGTATCCAAAAATTTCACCAGCGCCCGGAGACCGTCAAGAAGAATCCTTGCACGATCTATGTCATCGTTTGAGATAGTCTCATTCGGGGTATCCAGAGAGTATGCCAGTCTCGTGGGAAGAAATTGCTTCTTGCGCCGCACAGCGGGATGGTCGGGGACATTTGCAGCGATATCAGCAAACTCCTCCTCTTTCTCTTTGAGCAAATTTCTGAAGTCATTCTCAAAAGGGATGATGGATCTGAAGGGAGCCACATGATCATGGTTCAGATCGGCAATGCCGATGACTCCTGCCATTTTTTCGTTCAGCAACTCGTTGATAATTCTGAATCGAAAGGGAAGTTCGCCTGGTAAACTGACGCGGGCAACTCCCTTGTCACCGGTGGCATTCAGAACGGTTTGTTTCGAAGATTGATTCGCACTTCGTGTACTGGGTTTTTCGTTCACACCATCCCGTCCCGCCAGGGGTTTCTCAGTGCCCTTCAGGATCGGAGAGGCTGAAGAAACAAAGATATGGCAGTTCACGGCGCTGCAGGATGTTCTCACCCAGTCGTCGTCGGCGACATATATGATCCCATGCTTCCTGGTGAAAAGCTTCTCTGCCTCCAAAATGGCCTTCTTCTTATATCGCAAGATCCTCATTCTTTTAGTGTCGCTCAAGTCTCCGTCAGAATCCAAGGACGGGTCGCCATCCAGCGACTCCATAGTCGAGTCATCGCTGTCTTCCTCTTCGATCACATGTTTTGGGAGCTCTATCTTGGCCGTGGGTTTGACCTTGAGATTCAGGGGATGATCGTCCATTATCACTGATGATATGGTGCTGGGCCAAGTTGCGTTAAGGTCTTGTGTAATGTTCTCGATGTCAATTTGACGTTGCGGGTCAGAACGCATTGAATGTGGCAAGTGTGTCGACCGCACCGACCAGGTTATACTGTAAGGGAGCAACGTCGTCTTTTGCAAGATTTGGATGATCGGCGTGGAGGAAGATCAACGAAACGATGAGACCTGGTTCCAGGGGGAAGAGACAGAGCCTTGTTAATGGCCGTCAGATTCAGGCTCAGTGCCAGCACACCATTTCCTCCATGCACAGCCTGATTATTGATGGCCTTCAAAGCATCGGGAATCGGCATTAATACTTAGAAAGTCGTGGGGGTTGTTATCGGAATCTCCGCCATTAGGTGGTAGTACGAGGCACGGTTGAGCCACTCATCCTTCGTCTCTGCAGGACAGTCGTCATGCTTCTCTGTGACGGATGCAAGCCATGGCTGACCGGTCGGCCACTTCCCAAGCCACTTCAATCTCTGCGGTCTAGTCTGGACCGGCCAAGTCAGCATGGTGGATCAAATGGATCAAGCGAGAGTCCTCCATCACCAACCATCTGCCGTTCTGCGAACGAGCATGCAACCAGCGGCACACCGAGTCTGCACGAGACAAACAGCGTTCCCATCCTCGACCTGTGATTGACCGCGATAAGAGCCGGCAAGGGTCTGAATATGCTGCAAAGGGGTGCTTGTGACGGCGTGTGCTTATATTGCACTTGTTTGGGGGCCTCAAAAATTACTCGGTGAATCGCATCAATGTTTTCATTAGGCATCAAAAGTGCAGTCAGCGCGGATCAATGTGATTAAGGCATCAAAAGTGGTGGGATGAAACTCGAGCGCTGCGAGAAGAGAAAGCACATTGACAATGACAAGGATAAGGGCGTCGTCATTCGTCCCATTTCGGTCCCCCCCTTTTCAAGCTGCTCTGCTGTGCCCCCTCACCGCGTTCGGAGGTTGAAGAACCCGAGCCTCGTCAATGAGGTTAATGCATGTTGGTGTCGTTCGTGCGCCTCAATTTTCGTTTTTCAGAAGAGAAGTCCTCGCTGACCCGGACCGCCCCCATCGCAACTCCACAGGTCCTCCATACTCCTTAGGAAGAGACACAATACGAGCCGACGTTGGCTCACAATACATAAGCTCCATGGGTGGCTTAATGAGCCTGTCGGAGGCTGCTCCACCGCAGAAAACCTGCTTTGCCGATCTTTGACCACTGAGGCTCTTGCGAGACCTACAACTTGCATATTAAGGGAGGGAGCTATATCGACATGTAACGCATCACTCGGACACACGGAAATGTCGCTTCGCCTACCAGCCGTTAATCTTGTGAGCATTTGCTTGACGCCGATTACCAGAGAAGTGGCGTATGCAAACTGAAAAATAGCGCAACGGCCAGCCAATTATTCGTGAGAGAGACGATGTGACACTAATATCTGATGGCCATCGACGGCTATCACCGAGAATGAGGCGAACGCAGACTAAAAATAGCGCAATGGTAAGCCAGTTATTGTTGAGAGAAAATGCGACGCTAATCTTTGACGTTCAGCTTTGTGACTGCATCGCATGACATTCTTGCACATTAGTGAATGGTTCAGCCTACCACCGTTACCCAAGGAGTCCTTATTGCTGACCACACGAAGGTTGACGCAGGCTCAGCCGGCCTCAGAGGTGGAGATAAAGATAAATTACTTGACCAACCACCAAATAAGGAAGTGCTCTATTGCTTTCCTCTCGCGTGGAGGGATATTGCCAAGTCAGTGCCAGTAATCTTGGACGACACTTCCATGGCTTCCACTCCACTGTATCCCGATGCCCAGGGGGGCGTTGATGCTCTGTTGAGAACAGGCTCCCGTGTGAAAGATTACGCCGTGAAAGTGACCGAGAAATATGCCGCCGGCCCTGAGAGCCCTCTTGATGGCAAAATTCACCTCTCGTTGCAACCACCCACCCAATTGGTCGCCGTGATATCCAGCGAAACACCTGCCGTGGTCAACCGACCAAAACTCAGCGCTGAGACCAAGGAAAGCAATGCGTATGTTCCCTCAGAAACAAACTTGCTAAGCGCCATTTTGACATGTTGCTCACTACGCGATGAAGTACGACAGCCGAACAGAGCACAACGGAGAAGGAGGAGCAGTTCAAACAGACGATGAGAGAATATGAGAAAACGGCTAAGCAGAAGTACAGGACTGGAATAAATCCTGACAATAAGCACACTACCAGCGAGGTTGAAGCCATTGTGAAGGAAGCGATCAATAAGTACCAAACCGAAGACACAAGAGGATTCTGGGGAAAAATCCGCCTGGCGTGCCGGAAACTTGGCGATGGCAGCGAAGCTATTCAAGGCTGGCTCGGCCTACTGCCAACACAGTCAGAGTACCTCTCGGTAGTATGTGGAGGTCTGAAACTCATCTTGACAGTTAGTGGGCTATTATCCAAGTTTGATCATGTCTGCTAAATATGCGAAGGCTGCGTCTCGGATGAAGAACGTCGCTGATAAGGTCATGGAAGCGCTACAGCAGATCCCCACCTTAATTAGCAGCGCGCAGCGGGTCTTGCAGATTTACAAAGACTCTGACCAATTGAAGATATTGAGCACGTCGTTTTACGGCTCGATTTTAGCAGCACTGGGACACATACTCGAGTACTTGCGGCAAAAGTCCTTATGGAAAGCCCTCAAAGCTGGCTTTCAGCAAGCGAGCTTTGAGAAGTTGCTTCTTGAGAAAGTTGACAACGTGACGAAGGACAGAAACGCTTTCAATGATGAAGCCAACATCTGCCAGAAAGAGATGATCGAGAGATTGGAAAGTGTCCAAAAGGAGAATAGCGACGAAGCGAGGAAGAGGACTCAGGGACTCCTTGAAACCGTCAAGTTCGCTTGTCAGGAGCAGACTCGAGCGAACCGAGAAATGAGGGAGACTTTGGAACTAATGCAAATGACCACCATGGAAATCAAACGGAGACAAATTGAGCTAGACCAGAAGTTCGAAACCAAGATTGACGCCTTGAAGGAGGCTGTCATGAAGCCATACGACCTCATGATGCAAATGCTTGAAGGAAACCCGAACCTCACTGAATTTGCATCTTTCATGGGTTAGTTTCATATGGTCCTTCTATCCTGTTCCACCAAACTGACGACTGATGGTAGTGAAACGACTCGATGCCCCGGAGCCTTCGCAAGAACTAGAAAGCCCAAAGAGGCGCGCATCTATGTCAACTATTGCCAAGGGCAATAAATCCGGTATGTGCCGATCGCCTCCATCAATATTCGATAACAAGAGACTAGATGGCTGACTTGGACATTAGAACTCAGTCCAAGGCAGCAGCGTACCAAGTTCCTATCGCGGCTTGACTATGATGCAGACGCAGCAGGCGCTGATCTCATGGCAAACTACACCCTCGGGCCAAATCTTTCGCTCGATGACCAAAATCGCGGCATTTATGTCATCAAGGCAAAAGCCCTGGCTGCCTGGGTTAATGCTGAGCGCTCAGCCGCGCTCGTCATCAACGGAAATGCAGGAAGCATCAAGCGAAGATCTGCCATGAGCTTTGTTTGTGCTCGTCTTGTTTACGCACTGGAGCAGATTCGATCACCACCAGGAGGATCATCTCGTGCGGGAACGCCGGACGTGGTGGTGTTGTACTTCTTCTGCGGCCAACATGCTTCCGGCGACTACAGTTGGGAGACACCGAGCGGGATCGTCAACAGTTTCCTGGCTCAGCTGCTCACTCAATGCAAGCACTTGGACCTAACCAAGGTGACCGGCCGCGGCAGTTTCGATAGTGGTGACATGAAGGCGGTTCTAAAGCGGCTGTATTACGTACTCGGGCAGCTTCCAGCGGAGACGACTGTATTCTGCGTTATCGACGGCCTGTCGTACTACGTTGACAATGACAAAACCTCGGACGATGCAGACAAACTGATCAAGAAGCTGTTGAAGCTGGCAAGGGGCAAGTCGCGGAATCGTTACGCGTTCAAACTCCTCCTTACAGTACCAAATCGGTTGCACGGGTCGGAAGTAGAGTCTTTGGGAGATGACGAGGTCTTGGATATTCCTAGCAATCCCCCTAAAGCTGGAGGTTTCACTGCAATGAAGTGGAATCTGAGTGCTGGCTGCGAACTGGAACGCTTCGCTAACTCGGTTAAGTAGGAGAATTAGACCGTCATTGGAGGAATTGGGGACATCTCAGGAGGCGAAAATGTTTCATTCACAGCCGTTATCGATTGATATGTTTGCGCTTATGTTATATCTATTGTGAATTGTGATAGCGTGTAGTGAGGGATCTGTAGATCATTGATCAATGATATATCAAGAGGTTAGGGTGCCCTAGGATATATATACCCAGAGGGGGGACTAAATGCTCGATATTAATGATATTAAGAAAAAACTGTAAAACAAATCGATACTAATTATGAAAAGGGTTTAAAATTTAATAGTAAGGTACATTAAGACCAGATTTACCCCGGCGATTCATCTTATAGAAGAAACTATTCTTGAAGGACCAATAGCTAGCCTAGGAAGTATTGAATGCAAACACCACATGAGCTGAGAAACTATTCTTGATACTATTGTTTGTGTTTTTTTTTTTTTACTGTTGAGCTTCTAGTCCTCCCTCTGGGTAGGCTAAGCGTATGCCATAAAATTAATAGGAATGAGGGGATCGGATATCACCAGCCTCACTGAACTCGCATACGGTCGACATCCTTCCCCCCTCCTCCCCACCCCCGGCCTCTCGCTATACATGGTTTCTTGTCCTCTTCAACACAACTGTGGCTACATTGCTAAAACTCATCCTAACACTGGAAATTTGCAAATATTTCAGCGTCGACAAGAACATTACTCTTGTTACCCTCAACCGTGGATATGCGTCCAAGCATGCGTCTCCAGAGCAATCAGAGTCGCTGCCTCTGTGAAAATCTTCTCAGCTAGGGCTGCTGGTACGCGTTTGGATTGAATGTAGAGAGCTGACGAGCCAGATGGCGGGAGGCCAGTATCCCGAGATGGACCCTGCCTCTTGTCTACAAGTTTCAATCCCAAATTAATTAGCCGAGGTGATGATTTCCGCTCCATCCGGTATGGCTGCAGTTGGCCCACTCAGGTTTTCTTGCAGTCTAGGGTAGGAGAGACTCCAACCGCAAAAGAAACCTGGCGCTGGTAAATATGCGTAGTGTAAAAGGTGATGATTCAATTGGACATGCCAAGTAGCCGAGGCCCGAAGTCAGTCTCCGAGTCCTTGATAGCCGAATGCAACCCACACCTGAATGGATCGACAAATGGGGAAATCGTGGCTCGAAATGCAGCATCAACCCCTCATCTGCTCCAAAGATGGGATCCAACCTGCATAATTCACGTTTGACTGCACATGACTCTCTTTGGGCTACGAGAAGAGACTGGCCATTGGCATTTTTTTGTTCCGGAAGTTCCGAGTAAGAGACGGGCTTCGACTTCCTAAATACGAAGAGGTCGAGAGGGAACGAACAATAGTCCGGCTTCCAGACCATCCAGCTCGTGTTGGATCTCATTATGAAGATACACGTTCTACCAATAGCGGGCGTAAAAAGCTGGTCCAAGCAGCTCATAGCGTCTTATTCTGTATAGAGGATCCAATGAGTAGCTCTGAATTAGTCCACCGTCGCAAGGATCCTTTCCGATGAGCCCCAGCTCCATTACCCCGTGGGGAAGTGCGGTTGGTCCATCCACACCGACGTTGTGCGGGGGTCCCGATATGTAATGTGACTTGGATGGAGCGTGAATTGGATGGTAGAGGTGGACTGGAAAGCCCGGGAGATGTAACGCCGGCTTCCATCATATGGGCCTATCCCACCATCTTCTTTCACCTCATCTGTTGATCCATCGTCCTACGTGACTACGTGAGCACTGGACAGGTCTCTCCGTTCCTCACCCTTCCCCAAATTCCTCTGTATAGTCCCAATGGCTCCCTCGACTCCGAGTTCTGCTTCCATATGCGTCGCTACTGCGCCTGCGCCTGGCGGAGATTCCGACGGCGCAGCGCAGAAGCGCCCAGCGTGGGACAGCACCAGCGACCGCGCATCCAAGCGGCGTGCCTCCAAAGCCTGTCTCTCTTGTCGCAATCGCAAGGTCCGCTGTGACGTGGTAAATGGCGGCGTCCCCTGCACAAACTGTCGCTTGGACGGCGTTCAATGCGTCACCAAAGAGTCGAATCGTGGCAGGAAGCCTGCTATGGTTGTGAGCCCTGTTGCTCCCCAGTCTCCGCCGCCAACATTGTCCTCCCACGAGGAAGAGACTTCACCGCCGCCTCATCAGCCTGATGAATACCTCGTCTCCTTGTCGTTTGAAGGTACAGCACTACTGCCCAGCTCGCGGAATGTGAACCAGAGAGGGCTTACCGTATATGACAGACCAACAGCGAAATACTCCACGGAGCGAGCTAGCCGAGCCGATCAATGACGATCCTCGACATCCACATCACAGCCCCTTCTCCCTCAGGGATAATGCAGCTTCAGTACCATCGCCAGAGCAGCTCAGTTCAGAACCTGCTCATCGTTCCATCCATGACCAGTCCGGACGACTTCCACCGTATATTCGGCGACTTCCTCCTCACATCAGCTCCAGAGATATCCAGTACCTAGCAGAAAAGGATGCTTTAACCATTCCCGACGATGACTTCCGCGACGAGCTGTTGAGAACCTACGTCAATATTGTGTATCCGTTTATGCCGGCCCTGGATCTCGAGGATTTCATCGGGCCTATCATTCGTCAGGACGACCGGAACCCTGTTAGCCTACTGCTTTTCCAAGCAGTCATGTTCGCCAGCGTCACCTTCGTGGACGAGACCCTACTCAAGACGAGAGGTTATCGTAGCAGAAAGGCAGCCCGAAAAGCATTCTTCGGCCGAGTGCGTCTGCTTTACGGTTTAGACTGCGAACCAGATCGCCTCTCGCTCATCCAGGCCCTCCTCTTGATGACATACTGGTACGACCGCCCAGACGACGAAAAGGACACTTGGTATTGGATGGGCATCGCCCTTTCTCTAGCTCAGATCGTCGGACTCCACCGGAATCCCGACAAGATGAAGATGAGTCGAAAAGAGAGGGCGTTGAGGTGTCGCATCTGGTGGTCTTGCGTTATGCGGGACAGGCTGCTGGCTCTAGGGATCCGACGTCCTGCTAGGATTCGGGACGAAGAGTTCAATGTCCCAATGCTCACTTTGGACGACTTTGTCCTTGATGTTCCGTCGCCTGATCTCGTCAAGTTGCTTGGAGAGTCAAGATTGACAAGTCCAGATCCTGAGGGGCGCAGAATGGTGGCAGTCATGTGTATTGAGCTGAGCAAACTGTGCGTTTGTCTGGGCCACATCTTGTACTCGCAGTATACGGTCCTGGGGAATCATCCTGTAGGGTCTGAGTACCTATTGAAGGTCATCGTGATGCCCAGACAATCCGAGAAACGAGCCCAGGAGATGGGAAAATGCGACAAAGAGCTAAACGACTGGCTCAACAGCCAAGACACGGCGTCTAGGTACAACCCCGGACCAATTGGACATGGAGATAATCGCGACAAAGCAATGCGCATGATTCGACTTCATCAAGCATTGCTTCACATGATATATCTGACAACATTGGGTGTGCTGCATAGACCCCAGGTCTTCTACTCTGGGTCTGACAGCAGTGAGAGCGGCATCAGTAGAAAGGTATCGAGAGAAAAGGTCACAGAGGCCGCTATTGCCATGACGAAATTGGCATTCGATCTGCAATCCACCAACCAGCTGCGGTACTTGTCCACCAGCAGCATCCCGGCGTTTCTTTCTGCAACGCTCATCCACCTGCTAGACATCAAGTCTCCAAATGAGGAAGTTCGGAATGTGAGCATTGGGCGATTCTATCAATGTGTGCAAGCACTGCACCAGCTTCAGGACATGTATGCCTCCGCCGACTATGCTGTTCGCTTCTTGGAGAATGTGCTCAGGAACACCGATATCAATATTCCCATGCTGAGATTTGGACGGCCTCAATCGAAGCTCGTCGACACAAACAATGAGCGGTCGGCATTTCCGGGATCTGCATTAGACATAAGCACATCCAGTCGCCTGGAAACGGCGTATCCGAGTCCCTCGAGCACCCGAAACCAACCATCCTTAGACGCTACAAGACTGGATGCTCCTCTTCAGACGAGTCTAACTCAACCGCTCAGTCCCTTGCTAGATTCATTTGATAGTTGGCCGATGGATAACAGCCTCCTCGACGACAATCAGCAACTTACTGAGATTATTGCGGGATCTCCATATTTGAGTACTTGGAGTGATGTCGACAGCTTGGTTCCAGCATTGATCAACTTCGATGTCGATCCTAACATCCTCATGCCTAGCAATGACGCACGGCCAACTGTGGGATGGTCAATGCCTTGACGAATAAGATGAAAGGCTTTCCGACAACCACTGACGTATTTTATGATCTCGACGATATTGTAATTTTCTTTGGGACCGTATACAAAGCATAAGAAAATGAATATACAGAACACTTCCACACAGTTAGTCTAATACTGAAACCTTCAAGTCGTGGGTTTTTAGACTTCGTTTTGTTTGTCTCGCTTTATCCTCTTATGCTCTCACGTTCATTACGTTCATTACGTTGTCGCGAATATCGACGTGTGGCGACCTCTTCTATTCTGTCTAAATGCAGCCAATATGTAGCACCTGGCTATGTGATGTAGATCTCATAGTTTACTCTTTTGTGTCGTCTCAATTCCCGAGCTTAGTTTGTAGTCCAATCCCTTCTCCCAGCCCATCCAATCTTTTAGAGTGTCCTCGCCGCCTTGACCAGCCTCCATTGTCTCGGCTGTCCACGCCAAATTGACTGGCTTAGCAGGTGAATTAGAGAGAAACACCATTGGCCTGTGTTGGTATCCTGTGCTCTCCATTTCTTTGTGCGTCAGCACAGGAGCAACGCAGGCATCAATATTATCGAACATCATCTCCCACTCGTGTCTGGTCTTCTGTTTGAATGTCTCCGTGAAAACCTCCCGCATGGATGGCCAAGATGACTTATCTTCTCGTGTAAGTCCCACCGGCACTACCTGATCCAACGCGAGACCCAGACCTCTCAGAAGATTTGCGAAGAACTGTGGCTCTAAAGCTCCAACTGACATGTACTTCCCTGGATCTCTACACTCGTAACACTGGTAATATGGACAGCCTCCGTCCAGAAGATTCGTTCCCTTCTCACCACTCCAGGCAGGAGATTTAGTCCTCAGACGTGGCACGGTACCAAGATAGCTGACACCGTCGACCATATTAGCCTCGACTACCTGCCCTTTTCCACTGACACCACGGTGAATGAGGGCCAGCAGCACACCTGCAAAAGCAACGAGGCCTCCGCCGGCGTAATCAGCTAATATGTTGCCTGGAGGGGTTGGAGGCTCCCCTTTGTTTCCTAGCATCCCAAGAACTCCAGAAACGGCGAGATAGTTGATATCGTGGCCTGCCATGTCCTTGTACTTTCCGTCACGGCGAAATCCAGTTAGTCGAAGCACAATCAACCGCGGGTTCGTAGTCAGGAGGGTATTAACAGGGTCAAGGCCTAATTTTTCAAGAACCCCGGGTCGGAATGGGTCGATCAAGATGTCGACATTAGCGACGAGGGACTTGAGTAGCTGTAGGGATGATGACGATTTCAGATCTAGCACAAAGGATGACTTGTACGAGGTAAGGATGTCGGGGTTGATGACGTCGCCGGGTCGGTCGATGCGGAGAACTGAGGCACCGTAAGAGGAGAGAAGTTGTCCACAAAATGGACCTGCGAGAAAATTGTTAAATGATTTCGGGTGGTTTGAAGCAATAAGAGTAGAGCCTCACCCGGAGCTAAGCCTGCAAGCTCAATGACTCTAACCCCGGTTAATGGAGGCTGAGCGGTCATGATGCAAAGGTTGATGAGTGGAAAGCACTACCGATTCCTAAGTGTTTCACGGGCTTAGATAGGCTACTATTTAATGACGAGTGATACCCCTGATAGGTAGCCTCGGGTCAATACACCGTCCTTAACCAGGAATTAATACACAATACTGGTTTACGGTAACAAATTATTACAGTTATTCACTCTTATTACCTGTAAAAGGCCACCCATGTTCTTTAGATTTCAATAAAAAATGCCATGTGATTGTTTCAAGCTTGGGAATGCACACTTGAGTTGGCCATTTATTCCCGAGGCAAGAGAATTGTGTTTGTCATATTCCTCTTGGCTAAAGCAAATCAACCTCTACTGAATAATACGTGATTAGCAACGTTGCTAAAAGTAGATCCGAAGAATTTGCCCAAGAGACATTGCGACGAAGACGGGGCTAATCCATTATGCTGATTCCGGAACGTCGTTTGACGTAGTAGCCGAGGAGATTTTGAAGCCCTCGGCTATCTGGAAAACGCATATTTCCACCACGAGAGGGGTATGTGTATGAAAATTTACGACATTGACCTCAAATTCAAGCTTGCAGTCTGTTTGATTAGACCTGAAAGTATCGAATTCCAGATTAGCGCAAACACGACGCGCAATAGTTGCTATGCATCATCCAATGCTCTTGTCCTCAGGCCCGCATTCTTTGGGCAGGGCCGCCATGAAAACGACTGATAGATTCACTCGCGGCGCCAGTGTCTCTCAAGTATGGCGTCATATCAATTGCACTTCCATCCGCTCGTACTCCTCGTTGCTAAGCGGTTCTCGAAGTGTTCGCATTGTCGAAGTAGGACCAAGGGACGGATTGCAGAACATCAAGGAATCTATTCCAACGGCTACGAAGATCGAATTGATTCACCGCCTCGCTGGCACTGGACTCCGTGACATTGAAGCGACGTCGTTTGTGTCTCCAAAATGGGTACCGCAACTCGCAGATGGGGCCCAGGTTATGAACAACATCATCCCGTTTGCTCAGCAACATCACCAAGACCTCGATATCCAGTTCCCTGTGCTCGCCCCGAACCTGAAAGGTCTCACAAATGCAAACAAAGCCGGTGCCAAAGAGATTGTGGTCTTTGCATCAGTGACGGAGGCCTTTAGCAAGGCAAATCAAAATTGCACCATCGCCGAGGCCCTGGCCCAAGCCGAGATGGTTACTAAACAGGCTTTGAGCCTTGGGATCAAAGTTCGAGGGTAACAAAAATATTCTTAATCATCTTGAACGAATAAAACACCTACTGATTCCTAAATAGAGTGGTATCTTGCATCTTTTCAGATCCATTTTCCGGACCAACACCGCCTGAAGCCGTCTTACCCGTCGTCCAGCGGCTTCTCGACATGGGCTGCTACGAAGTTGGCCTCGGAGACACCTTAGGTGTTGGGACTCCCAAAGACACTGGAAAGTTGCTTGACATCTTACTGCGCGAGATCCCCCCAGAAAAACTAGCCGGCCACTTTCACGACACCTATGGCCAAGGGATAGCTAACATAGTCCGAGCGTACGAAATGGGCATTAGAACCTTTGACAGTAGCGTTGCTGGGTTAGGCGGTTGTCCATATGCCCCTGGAGCCAAGGGAAATGTGGCCACAGAGGACGTGGTCTATACCTTTGAGAAAGCAGGGATAAATACCGGCATAAATCTCGACAAGCTGGTTACTGTTGGGCAATGGATTTCGAATGAGATCAAAGTCCCGTACGGAAGCAGGGCCGGCGCGGCACTGGTCTCAAAGTTTGCGACGTCTTCAAAAACTCCAGAAGTTTCCAAAACGCCGAGATCATGGGAGGTAGTGGAGGACACGGGCGAATATCGCGTCTCTCGTGCGGGAACTGCCATGAAGATTACGCTAACCCGTCCTAAGAACGGCAATGCATTGACAGATGCAATGCTCGAAGGATTGACAAACTTGTTTCGAAAACTCGCCAAGGATCCGTCTGTTTATCACGTTGTCGTGGCATCCGAAGGAAAGTTCTTCTGCACCGGGATGGATCTGAGCGGTGGTACGAATACGACCAACATATCCGACGACTCCAGCTACTTTTCCAAGGTCCTGAACTTGTACGACGCCATTGATCATGTCCCGCAGACAACTATCGCTGTGGTCGATGGGCCTTGTTTTGGTGGTGGTGTAGGACTGACGTTTGTTTGTGATGTGCGTCTAGTGTCATCTCGTGCTCGCTGGACTCTCAGCGAGGTTAAGATCGGGGTCAGCCCTTCCGTCATTTCCAAGTTTATGATTAGAGAATGGGGCGTATCAGTGGCTCGAGAGGCTATGCTTTCTGGAAGAGAGCTCAGCCCAGAGGAACTACACCGCACGGGAGCTATTCACTCAATCAGCAGCAGCAAGGAGTTGTTGGATGCAAAGCTCGAGGATTATCTGGATCAACTCGAAAGATGTGCGCCTCGGTCAGCCGCAAACAACAAGGAGCTGACACGACTCGCATGGTGTGATCCAGAGGGAATGGAACAAACAAATTTGATCAAGGCAACATATGGGGAGATGATGAGTGCTGGATCAGAGGGGGAACACGGAATCCAGCAGTTCCAAAAGAAGATCAAGAAATTTAGCTGGAGAGAGTTCTGGGGAGATCGAAGTCCTTTTGCTAGGGCGAATGATATTGCTGGGTCTAAAACTTAGATCGTCTACGTGATCTTGAAACCACGAACGCTGTCGCTTCCTCAAATCGGGATGCACCAAGTTTGGCATCTAGCCGGGTTGACGTGCACGAAAGAGAAGCAATTGGAACCGTGTTTTAGAATATCAATGATCAACACAATCGAGCACGTCCCTAGTATTTCATCCCTCCAATTGATCAATATCATTCCAGAGCATCAAAAAACACCTCGCCATCATATTCCAAGTCAGGTTCAATTTCTCCTTCATTACACACTCCATCTTCCCTCTCCACTATTTCTTCTGAGCCGATTTCTTTTATCAACATTGCAAATGCTTCCGCAATATCCTGAGGCACATCTCCACGTTTTCCAAACCGCTCCTTAAGCATTTGACCATCTATATCCTGTCGAATAACTTCAGACAGGCTATCGGTCAAGGCGGTAAATGTTTCGACATTTGCGAATTCTGCCGCTTCGTAAAGGATATTTCGACCCTGGGCAGGTTGAAGACTAGCTCCGTGCCGAAGCAAGACCTCGATGCACCCGGCCGTGTTGGCAATTGTGGCTTCCGCCAGAGGCGTATACCCAGCATCGTCGGCGATGCTGGCGTCCGCCCCGATGCGAAGCAGGTATTCGAGTATGTCGACATGGCCTCGCTGTGCGGCCACGTTCAAGCTTGTGGCCCTTTCCGCCCTCATCTGAACGTTCACATCCACTCCAGCGGACACCATCATCTTGACCTCTTCGAGTCGATCATACCAGCAAGCCCAATGAATGGGATACCATCCATCGTGCTCCGAAGCTACGTCGAGCTTTGCACCATGGTCGACTAGCAACCTGAAGCACTCTAAGCCCTCCTTCATCGTGAGCGATGCTGCCAACAGTGACGAGCCGAACTGGGGCTGGAGGCTGATATCGGCACCGTGGCGGAGCAGCTCTCTAGCCGCAGGTGTATTGCCGACCCTAACAGCCCAGTAAAGAGGTGTTCTTCCAAAACCATCCACGCAGTTTATGTCCACATCGTGAGCATCCTCGCGAGATAGTATCGAAGCTATATCGCCCACCAGATAACCCGAGGCCACAAGGTGCAGCGTCGACAACTCAAGATCCTCTATGTATCGAGAGACCGGAATAAGCCTGGCCAGGCTTTCGAGCTTGTCTTGGGAGTGGACTTTGGCGATAGTGACGGCCGCGGCCATCTGGCCCGCTGACGTTCCGTAGCTGTCCCGTATGTCGAGGTTTCCTCCCGCATGGAGAAGGATTTGTACGGCCTCAACGCTACCCGACTGGATAGCGTGCATGACAGGTTGCTGGCCATGCTGGTCGCTATAGCTCACACATTCGGGATTCCTCGCCAGGGCAATCTTCAGCATGCCGATGTTGTTGGTGAGAGCGGCGTGGTGAATGCCGCCCGCTTCGAATGGCACGCTTTGGGCAATGATGAATCCGAACGTAGGCCGTCCAGTCGCAGTCCGCTGAAGCACCATGTACAAGAAATAGTAGAGCAGCCATGCGGGGAACATGTAAGTCACCTCCAGGCGAACCATGGCGCTCTCTAGACAGGCGGGCGAGTCGCACCGCGCCGTAGTCATAGGACATCCAGTATACCCGATAAACAGAGAGCCCAGAATCCCCCGTAGCCATGGAGGGAGCTGCCAGTGATACCCACTCCTGCAACGTTGGTGGCAAATACAAGTACAGCTGCCTGAGCAGATGATTCTTCTCCGTTTAGTCACGACGCTTATGGATTGCAAGGTTCCATATAGATGGAGAGGCATATTAGAAGCCGCGAATGATGGCTCCTGTGCTGGTGAGGTCTCGATTCTTCGAGTAGTAGCCAACGTCAGTGAATCTAATCGTGATGTGACCATGGAGGTCTGGCTGTCTATTAGCGTTCGTATGGAATCCACGGCCCGAGAAGTGCCTGATTCCTCTGCGTTGATTGTGTGGGCGATGGAACCCACAAGGTCAACCAAATGTTGCATGCTGTTATCGGCACTTCTCTGCGCCGTATTGACTGTTGCCATCTCCGTCGCCATTCTCCGAATCCCCTCGTCCATAGACTGTAGGCGACCGGCCAGCTCGCTGCGATTTTGACCCAGATTCGCTTGGACGCTTTGGATATCAAGAGCTATGCGGGAGCTGGTAGACCTAAGGAATTGTCAGCGACTCAGCGTGCCTCTTTGACGCGGTTTCGCAATCTAACTCGGTATACTGACAGATTTTGCGCGATGAGTAGCCCGTTGATTCTTAATCTAATTCCTCTCAGCTCTTGCTGCAGCATCGCTGCCCTGGAGGTTTGCCGCAGCCACTTGAGCCGTCGCTTGTGCCGCTTCAGGTGCTCGAGATGATCGATGATGGCTTTCAACTCATCTATGTGCCTCCGTGCCGCTTCCACCTGGTCGTTGAGCGGCGTGGCAAACTCGACATCGTTGTGGAGGGCAGCGTTTCCTTTCGCCGTTTGACTGACACTTCGGACCTTGTCGAAGACGACATTTAAGTCGGCGACTTCGTTGCCGAGAGCTATAATCTCGGCCGGTGCATTTCGCCAAGTCTGTACCATATTCCCAAGGCGAGTCGATGCACGTACACCTACGTCTAGGATACTGACGACGCCGGTGAAGACTGAGAAAGGATCCGCCATCTTTGGGAGAATGCATCAGGCTCCGATCAGGCCGGCCCGGTAGAACTGTATTGGTGTCCTCCTCTTCGCGAGGTAGGTGCCGCCATCCTTCGTGGGAAATAAAATACGGAATGGCAAGAAAGATGATTGACACATTTAAGCCAGGAGATGAATATCTGGGTCACTTCAGCTCCTGCACCATGATGTTGGTGGCTGACCCTCGATTGGATGTGCTGCAGGCAAAAGTGCAATTATTGAATCAAGGCATAGTGATGCTGACCACCTTTTCAACCTGAATATGGCCACATCAGCCCAGAAAACCCCTCATGTTCCGCAAGAGCTCGGCCTAGCTGCCTGGGACTTCCATCCCGTCTGCAGGCTGTCCAAGCATCGTCACGACTGAAGGGAATACCATACGATAGCCTTGGTCCATCCAGAAGCGCCATGCTCTCGTGTACATCCATGGTGAACTGACTGAGGGCGGCTGAGGAAATAGAAGGACAAGGAGAAGCCTAGTTTCAGCCAAAGGGGCGGTGTTGAGAGCGTGTAGCCTGACCAGGCTGTGTAATGCTGTGCAACTGAGCAGCTTTACAATGGGGCGGCTCACACACCTTGTAGCCCAATAAATCGTCGAACCGGTGATTAGTTCTGTCTAATATATGTACCCTATCCTATAGCTTCTGCTTTCCTAGAGCTTTCGTTTTGGCTTCATATTGCTTAACCAGCTGCCGGACTGCCAAATCAAACATGACATCCTCACTACCTCCAGGAATACGAGCTGCAGGGATTTCGCGGTAGATCTTTTCCACCAGCTCACCCTGTCCGGTTCGAGTGTATCCATTACCGCCAAAGAGAAGCACTGCACAGCGAGCACACTCGTCCAATACTCTTCCTGCTGTTGCTTTAGCAAGCGCCATAAGTCCGCCGAGCTCCTTGTCAGCTTCGGATTTCTTGAGCGTTGACATCTGATACACAAGTTGGTCCACCCAGGCCGAGAGAGATTCAAGTTCTCCTCCGCATTTGGCAAGTCGGTTTCGGACCACTGCCTGATTCATGAGGGGTCCACCAAACGCTTCACGCTTGAGGACATACGCGAATGCTGATGAGAGAGCAACGCGGGCAGTTCTAGTGATAGCAATGACGATGGCCAGTCGCTCATGATTGAAGTTTCGCGTAATCATTTTCATCCCTTCACCCTCCTATTTTAGATCAGCACCTTTACCAAGATTTGGGAGAAAAGAAGATCGAAAAGAACTTCAGGGCTAGTTCGAAAGACTCACCTTACCGATGAGATTCTGGACCGGCACTTTCACGTCTTCCAGGTCAATGAAAGTTGTGCCACTAGTAGTTCCTCCGGTTGTCTTCATTCGCCGCATTGAGACGCCTGGATTTCCAAGCAAAGGAACCACAAGTAGCGACAGGCCTGCAGCTCCAGGGCCTCCTGTACGAACCGCCATGGTACCGTAGTGAGACCAAAGTCCATTGGTGATCCTTGAGGTCAGACATTAGAAGTTAGTAGATCAGGCTATGAGGACGCAACGTACCACTTCTTTTCACCGTTGATGATGTAATATTTCCCACAGTCGCTCTTCACGGCGGTGGTGGAGATATTAGCGACGTCGCTGCCTGCATCTGGCTCGGTGATGGCGATGCATATCCTCTTATCCCCTCTGATCAGTTCAGGGAGAAGGCGTTCTTTCAATTCATTGCTACCATACTCGATAATAGGCGGCATCCCATAGGCCATGCCCGTAGCCAAGGATGATGATGGGCCGCCAATGCCTACTCTTCGCATCTCACTGATGTAGATGGCGAAATGGAAGTAGTCGAAATCTTCAATTTTCACTTCACCAAGAAGCTCGCTAATGCCCATGGCCTTCAGCAAGTCCACTGGCAGAGGAGCGGGCAAGTTTGGAATCAACATGTTGTGCTTCGAGAAGGTCTCGAAAACATGTGCCGGCACATCGCCCTCCGTCTCCCATTCTAGCGCAAAGGACGTGAGGTGTTGATCGATGAAGTCGCGGCACGCTCTCTGCCAAATTCTATGCGATTCATTGTAATACGGGGATGGCAGGCCCATGAGCCATGGTGGCTCTGAGAACGGGACAGGCACAGTGAGTGATGCAGACATGCTGCAGATAAAATACAGCCTCAGCAAATGTCACAGCGAGTGAGCAGAAGCCAAAGTTCGAGTGCGACCTCTCAAAGATGGTGCATGCATACAGCAGAAACAAGTTTAACTACAAATAACATGGCAAACCAGGTCAATCACGATTATACCGCAGGCTGATTTCCAACAAGGGTTTGTACTCGGCTTGATCGGATCAATCAGGAAGCCCATCCTAGATGTGGTGCAACACCTCGGAGACACGAGTGACACGGCAGTGGTTACCGAGGGCCGAGAAAATTCAACTAGGGCCTGCTATATTCACAACGAGTTCGAAATGATAGCATGATGAAGCCGTGTAGTCAAGCTAGTCAATTGCCGAGTACCACGTGGCTTGCAGGCTGATCAATTGGTCATCGGGCGTAGGTGTTGTGGTGAAGAATGACGTTGGGGGGTCAATCAAAAATGCCAAACACAATGTCGACACTCCCATTGTGTGTAGGCTCACCACGTCAATAACGAAATATTGTCCCTCTTCGAAATATGACATTCCTTTATACTGCCCAAAGTCTCATCTCGCGTCAAGCATGTAAGACGGTGCCGCGATTAATGGGTGTCACCAAACAGCGAAAGCATCATTCCATGAGAGCGGTCATTATTGATGGCAAGCACGCCCGCTTGGAGCATAATCGTCAAGTCCCCCAGCTGCGCGATGATCACGTACTTGTCAAGCCTATCACAGTTGCGTTAAATCCTACCGATTGGAGGCACGTCAGATATGGCCGCGCAAAAGACGGTTGCATCCTGGGCTGTGACTACGCAGGCATTGTTGAGTCTGTAGGGAGCGCAGTCACCAAACCCTGGCAGCCAGGAGACAGGATTTTCGGCTGTGGTCACGGGGCGAATCTTGTGAATCCAGATGATGGAGTATTTGCCGAGTTTGCGGCGGTAGTTGGGGACTTGCAAATGAGAGTTCCCGAGCACCTAAACTTTGAAGAGGCGGCGACCATTGGCTTGGGATCCATCACTGTCGGGCAAGGCCTATATCAAAAGGCCTTGAAGCTCGACCTGCCACCACCCACAGGTGAAGCTAAGAGAAATGGCATTCCCGTGCTGATATACGGTGGTGGGACAGCTACTGGCGCATTGGGTATCCAGTATGCCAAACAGTAAGCACAACTACCATGCAGTTGAAGACTCACAATGTCAATAAACTCTCCACAGGTCCGGCTATACTGTTATTACCACATGTTCTCCAAGAAATTTCGAGTATGTCAAGAGCCTTGGCGCCGAATTTGTCGTTGACTACAACGACGCCGATGCTGGAGCCCAGATCCGCAACTTCACCAACAACGAGCTCAAATACGCATGGGATACTGTGAGCATTGAAGGATCCGCTCAGATCTGTGCCGATGCGCTGTCGACTTCATCATCGATGGCCCCTGTTTATGGCAGTCTCCTGCCAGTCAAGAGTCCTCGAGGCGACGTCGAGGCGGTGTCGACTGTTATGCACACTGTCTTTGGTAAAGATTTCAAATTCGGCCCTCTTGACATGCCAGCAAGCCAAGAGGACTTTGACTTTGGGAAGATGTTCTTTCAGCTCACAGAGGAGTTGCTCGCGCAGGTAAGTTACTACACCCCGCTCAAATCTACCCTCTAAGCAACCTACAACAGCATGCTGACTAGATTATGTGTGCTTGAAGAAGCAACTAAGACCACATACTACTCGAATCTGCGAGGGGGGTCTTGGTTCGATCCCACAAGGTTTACGGGATCTCGAATTGGGCAGGGTCAGGGTTGAGAAACTGGTATATTTACTTGCTGATACAAGCTGAGTCTCAGACATATGTGTGATCCAGTACCATTCAACACCAGGTTCTTTTATGGCTATTTGGTAGACTGTGACTGATTTTGGCGTAGGTAGATTGAATCAAATTGTTTATCTTCGCTATTCACTTCATACAATATTGAACACGTTTCATTGGCTCGCCTATAGATGAAGACATTTAATATATGAGCCAATGTCTCTTCTAGTACTGGGTGCAGTGCCAGATGAGTGCCCCCATAGTTTGCAACCACTGAATGGTGTTGATCTATCTCATGATATTGAGTAGAGTTAAAAGGCCAAATTTATTCTCAAGAAGGTACATCCCATGCGAAGTCCATATATAGTGCTCTGGTCTATATTTTACTTTGCGGTTGGTCCTGCAACAATCGGATGAGGCCTTCTTGGAAACATGTCGCCACCAGAACGCCCTCGCTGGTCCAGATTCTCTGTACCACAATACCTCGCTCATCGCCCGCCCATGGAGTTTCCATCTCTGATAGCATCCATTGATCTGCTTTCAAGTGTCGTTGGTTATGAAAGAATATTGTGTGATCCAGACTGACCATCATCTCAACATTGTCGCGCTCTTCCTCGGTTGTTGCTGTCGAGGTAGATATCTCGTTTGCCTCTTCGGCTGCAAGATCCTTAAAACTGCGCATTATCTGACTCCTTGACGGCTCATCAGCATTCGATGAGCCGATTATTCGATTAACAGCGTTAGTATTGTTGAAGCGATTGGCTCGATGGACTCGAGAAACCGTGCCGATGAAATAACTGTCGCTCATATAGGCCAAGGCAGCAAGGTGCATCTTATGGTTTGGCTCTTGGCTTCCGTTGCTCTCCATGCCCCCATTAGTATATGGAACCTCACTGTCAATAGCCCCGCCTATTCTTATCCAATGCAACAGTCGTCGCAGTTCTGGCCGCTGTTCTTGATGAACGGGCGGGAACCTGACGCACTCGAATAGGCTGCCATTATCTGTTTGACCAGCCTTCGCCAACAGCCTCACATCCACGTCTTGCCCATATCTCGTAGGAGGAGGGAAAGTTTCCGCCTCATTTGGCATTGGCAGTTGATGCTTGAACATCTTTTTTGTGCCCGACGAGGTCTCGTGCATGAAACTAATCGTCGCCGTAAATACACACTTCCCTGACTGGTTTGCTTGGACTCGTCGGGTCGCGATATTTCTGCCATCTCGGACACGTTCGACATTGTATAGAACAGAAACCGCGCTGCTGCCTGGGCGTATGAAATGGCAGTGCATGCTGTGCACTAAACATGTAGATGGCACAGTATCTTGAGCAATGGCAAGGGACTGAGCAATGATGGCGCCGCCGAAAATGCCACGCCCCCATATCGGATGCCATAGAGGTTCTGCATTGGTGTACGTATCTCCGCCCTCGTCTGGTACAGCACGAAATGAGAGTGCACGCTGTATTTGTGATGGTGCCTCGGCCGTATACTTGGATGTCGTCATTATGGTAGTTTGTCCTCGCCAAGTGATGATCCAGAATCCGCGTTATTTCTCAGTCAAGTAGGTGGGATTGGATTCTTCGATTTACACATGGATCCAATGACCATTAGCCGCACATTCATGCGACCTGCGACAATCTAATTGGCTGGTCGGAGCACACACATCTTTATCCGAATGCCACCTATGTTGTCGGTGGTTGATACCCTCGGCAATGAGGATAGCCGAGTGCGGACCTTGCTCGTTCCCCTGTCCGATTGGCAGCCAATTATGAACTCGCTTCAGTAGATCGTTTGCTGTGATCAGCAAGTCTTTTTGGTCTTCACCTGGACCAGTGTCTTCAAATCAAATTGTCAATAGGTATGCTGAAAGTCATATCCGGCAATACGTGAGCGTTCCACTTTTGTAGTTTCCTAGGTAGGTTGCCTACCCTAGACGAAAATTAGGATAGGTCGTGCCACAGCCATCCTACACTTCATATTCTCATTACACAGGTAAATAGACAATTTTCAGTTGGACATTCTTCAAAGCCTTTATTGAGGTCGTCAGTGACACGGATGGGTAGGATACAAGATGGTTAAAAAGGGCTTAACAGATTTCTACATTGATCTATGTAGGTCTAAATCTTGCCTAGACTATACCCTGTTGTCTGAAGTTGTCTATCTCAATTTTGTCCATCCCAACCTCCGCCAATATCTCATCTGTGTGTTCGCCGAGACGAGGGGGCTGGCTTCTAATGCTCGCCTTTGTCTCACTGAACTTGACTGCGGGCCCGATGAGCTTGATATAACCAGACTCTGTGGCATTGTGAGGGACATGAGCAATCATGTTTCGCGCCTGGACTTGGGGGTGAGAGAAGGCCATTTCAATATTGTTAATCGGAGCAAAGGGGAGACCTTTCCCGTCAAAGACCTTGACCCATTCAGCCGTGGTCTTGGTCTCAAACACGGCGTTGAAGATCGGCCCCAACAACTCGCGATTCTCAACCCGCTTGGGGTTCGTGATAAATCGCTCATCCTGGGCTAGCGAGTCCAGGCCGATCAACTTGCAAAGAGCCGCAAATTGTGAGTCGTTGGTGGCGCCACAGACAAGATACAAGTCCTTGGTTTTGAACGCGTCATACGGCACGATGCTTGGGTGTTGACATCCCCAGCGCTCAGCCTCTATCCCCAGATTCAGCCACGAGAGACCGACGTTGGTGAGCAAGCTAATTTGCGTCTCTAAAAGAGACCCATCGACCCGTTGCCCCTTGCCGGTACGCTCACGAGCATGTAATGCTGCAAGAATCGCCCCGTGAAGGTACAGTCCAGTCGCCATGTCCACCATACCTAGACCCGGACGTACAGGAGGTCCTTTGCGTTCGCCGGTTACGTGCAGAAGACCAGCCTCCGCTCCCGCAATTGGGTCGTATCCGCCGCGGTTGGCATATGGACCTGTAGTGCCATAGCCTGCGTGACAGGTTCAGCTTCAATTACTACCGTGAACAGACAGCGCTGTTCAGGAAGAACGGAAGGACTTACCAGAAATGCTGGCGTAAATTAGTCCCGGATTAAGCTCTTTTAACTTGCTGTACCCAATGCCTAGACGTTCCATAGTGCCGGGCTTGAAATTTTCAATTCTGTGCCATCGCTTGCCAAAATAGGCCGTATCTTTAGCCACTGTTTTCATTCTTCCAAATTTGGGCGCAGTCGGGCAATGTCTACTTACAGGACATCTGTCTTTCCCATCAAGCCGAGAAAAACCTCCTTTCCTTTAGGGTGCTTCAAATCCAACGTCATGGATCTTTTGTTGCGGTTGACAGCAGAGAAGTAATTGGACATTGGACCTGCTTCCTTTTTCCAAGCTGCGGTCTCTCCTTGCATCATCCAGTGTCTTGTATCGTCCTGATGAAGAATTGTCTTAGTTATTTGCCAGACTTCAACACAGTTGATATTGGAGAGTGCAAAATTCATACCCCTTTGCCAACGGCTTCAACTTTGATGATGTCTGCGCCATAATCTGCTAGGATTTGAGTGCAAAATGGAGCCTTTAATCGAAGTTTAGTGAGGCATTTCTATCACGCACTTGTTTGTGATCTTTTCTCACCGCTAGAACTCGCGATAAATCCAAGACTCGTAGCCCTCTCAAAGGCCCTTCGTTATCTTTCGAATCGAGATCAGGGCTGGATGAATAATGTCTCGCCGCGAGCAGTCTATTTCTGCTTGTTGCATGTGCACGGAACCTGCCTGTTTCTAAGAGGCGCAAATTCCGACCGACGAGAAAGAATGAAGACTTCATAGCGAAGAAATTGTTGTTGCAAGGTCGCGTCATTGAACAGAGAGTAAATTTTATTAGCAAATATTCGCTGAGAAGTTTAGGCCTCTCCTTGAATGACCTGTTTATCTGTTGAACCTTGGTTGCCTGCATCTGCATAATTCCCACAAACTGGAGTTCACTTTATCAAGACCTCGGATATGCACTGGAACACTCGGCGCGGATACCCGCCCCGGTTAGCCGTGGTGGATGAACTTATTCATCACACTCCGGCACCTCGGCGACTTTTTATCTAATCTCCTTTAATTCTATCTCTCGAACTTATTTCTGTTCGGCACACGTTCTCTGCTGAAAACGACGAAAAGTCAGCACGATAATAGAGACGATTTGGGGTCTAATATCACTTGAATACTGGAAATGGAGATAGGAGACGACATTCCAAAGCCGAGCGGTATAGATCTTTCGTATTTTCAAAGTTATGTATGGAATCATTGTAGCACAAGCTCCCGGAAAAGTTCGTGTCGCAACATCTATCTATAGCGGCTCGGTAACTATTCTATCTCTGTAGACAGACACATCTCTAGTAACTTTTAGGAAGTCCTAGGACGCGCTGGCCTATATAGTTTTTGATCATCTCTCCACTAACTGGAGCGATTCGTGACAAGACGGCCTCTCTCAAGTACCGCTCCACGTGGTACTCCTTTGCATACCCCATACCACCATGAGACATGACCGCTCTTTCTGCAGCCTTGAACGCAGCCTCTGAGGCTAGATATTTCCCTGCGTTGGCATACTCTCCATCGGCATAGCCTTCGTCATACATTCGCGCAGCCAAGTAGATCATCAACCTCGCGCTTTCGAGGTTCATCCAACACTCAGCCAGAGGGTGCTGAATGCCCTGATACTTCCCAATTGGATTCCCGAAGACAACTCTTTCATTCGCGTAGTTACAGGTACGGCGCAAAGCAGCGTACCCAAGACCGAGGGCCTCGGAACCGACCAAGATACGCTCGGCGTTCATCCCGTGCATGATTATCTTGAAACCATCACCTTCGTTTCCGATAAGGTCGCAAGCTGGAACCTTCCAACCATCGAAGAACAAAACGTTCGTATCCACGGCAGACCGGCCCATCTTAGGGATTTCGGTGATTTGCACAGCAGATCGGTCGAGGTCCGTGTAGAATAGAGACAGACCTTGACTTGGTTTTGTCACATCCGCCAGAGGTGTAGTTCTAACCAACACCAGGATCTTTTCCGCGACCTGGGCGGTGGAGATAAAGATCTTGGAACCACTAAGCACATAGGAGTCACCTTCTCGCCGGGCAGATGATTGCAATCGTAGAGTGTCAAGACCGGTGTTGGGTTCCGTCACTCCAAAGCAAGCCCGTTCCTTGCCCTGAATAAGTGGCTTCAGCCATCTCTTCTTCTGTTCTTCGGTGCCGAACTTCGCAACAGGCTCTAGGCCGAAGATGTTCATATGGACTGACGACGCTCCATTCATGCCTGCGCCGGATTCGGAAATAGTTTGCAGCATGACAGCAGCTTCTGAGATACCCAGCTCGGAACCGCCATACTTCTGAGGAAGACAGATCCCGAGCCACCCGTTCGTCGCCAGATCATTGTATAGCTCCCAGGGGAACTTGTGCTCATTGTCTCGTTCTAGCCAATATTCGTCTGGATATTTGCTGCAGACTTTCGCAACGGCCTCGCGAACAGAAAGCTGAGATTCGGTCCAGTCAGGCAGATTGATGGGCAAGTATTCTGTTGCTCGCGCATGGATACATCGCCAGCTAGCAATGATACCCGGAAACAGAAGCGTCGACTTTTTGTGTCTCGCTGCTCCGGTAGGGAGATGCGGAAGTCTTGAACCAGCCACATGGAGCAGTCCTCGATGCATGTTTAAATTTCGAGATACTTTCGAGGCGGGCATAGTGAGTATTGGAGTCAAAGTATGTAAATGACTGATAGTTGACAGTTATCTAGCGGCAGTCCCCGGATGAAATGAACAGAGCGCAGTCTGGAGAATGATGTTCATCCCTTTGAGCATTATGAGCCTGCCTTAGCAATTTAATTACTAGTTTTGGAACTGGGCCCCATGAGCTGGTTTGCTGAACAATCTAAGCTTGAATTTGGAACAACGTCGCAAAGGCTGTCAGCCGAGGCTATTCAGGATCGCCGAGGTGACCACCGATCTGCTTACCACATGATTACATGCCAACTCATGTAATAATTTTTTGTAAAGCAATTAAACCAGCAATTGTGAAAGTATCCCGGTTACACGTAGAGGTCACCGGATCTAGAGTTGCCGACATCAGGTTAGCCCAGGGATAAACGGTACTGATCGCGCCGTGAGAGAATCTAGTTCTTTGCGCACACTCATAGAATGGCAACAACCAATTTGGATGTAAACACATCCTCTCCGAAGGGCATTTTCAATGCAGGCATTCCTTTCATTGTGGGTTGCGGCTCCAGCATGTTTGCAACCGTGTGCATCCAGCCAATTGACACAGTCAAAGTCCGGATGCAACTGATGGAGCGAAGCAATGGAAAGGTTTCGCCATGGCTCATAGCCAGAGATATTGTTAGACAAGGCGGCTTTTTCAACCTCTACAACGGCCTCTCAGCCGGGCTCTTACGGCAGCTAGTCTATGGCTCGTTGAGATTGGGACTGTTCACTAACTTTGAACAAAGACTGGAACAACGTGCCCATGAGCGTGGGACGACCCTCGGGTTTGGTGGGAGAACGCTAGCCGGACTCAGTGCGGGAGGACTCGCAGCTCTAGTCGGCAATCCTACTGAAGTTGCTCTGATTCGGATGCAAGCCGATGGTATGAGACCCGTGGAGCATCGACAAAACTACACTTCTGCATTCGACGCATTATGGCGCATCTCAAAGCAAGAAGGAGTTGTTCGACTCTGGAAAGGGTCAGCACCTACGATTATCCGAGCAATGTCGACCAATTTTGGGCAACTAGCCTTCTTCTCAGAGTCCAAGCATCAAATCAAAAAGTACTCATCCATTTCCCCGGAAAGCCGGACGGCTCTTGCGGCTGCGATTGCGGGTTTCGCCGGTGCTGTTATTAGCCTGCCGTTCGACTTTGTAAAAACACGGCTGCAGAATCAGTCAATGGCCGGCCCTGCAACCGGCTTGCCAATTTACACTGGCACTGCAGATTGCTTGATCAAGGTCATTCGAAAGGAAGGACCTCTACGATTCTATCGAGACTTCTGGCCATATTTCATGAGAATTGCACCTCATTCGTGAGTTCCCGATAGTCTTTCCTCGGGATTTCAGCTAACAAGTGCTGCTAAAAGCACGATTGCTCTTTTTCTTACCGATCGAATCAGCAAGTTGATTTTAGACAGGGATGGAGATATTGACCAAGATTTATAAAGATGGATTAATAGTAACCACTTTGCGGTTAAAATGTTATGGCATGATAACCGCAGAGCCAAGCTGAAAAGCTTGATATTTGGTCATCGTGGCAGCATTGGGTAACAAATGCTTGAATTGTGGATAAAACTGTGTTTTTTCGACCTTGTGCCGGCAACTTGCTCACCTTGAGGGAGCAGACAGAAGTTAGATTAGATAACCGCAGAGAAGGCGGTTGATGGTATCTAAATTTACAGCAGTAGGATATCATGGACCAAGACTATACGACTAGATCTACAATAGATACATAGCAAATTTCGAACCCTATCGAGAATATGTATGACCCTCACATCCCTAAATCTAAAATGTACCTTGGTAACCCAGACTATTGGTAAATACGACATGATGATTTTTTATTTAATACATGTTGATACAAATTTGATGTTGCAGCTTGTAGCCATTGAGGATGGTAAGATTGTTCAACTCTGTGATATAGGTGGTGTTTTTATACATATGCCATAGGCCAACGTATTTAATTTCCCCTTCATTGAGTCACGGCCTAGTAAATTCCACTTCGTAATTACAAGATATCAATCATATCCAAAGCCGAAGGTTGTGCCACGAATGTCTCCCATAAATCATCAAATGGAAAGGGTGTATCGAAAGCGTCCACACCCATCTGGTCAATCCCAAACGAGTCCAAATTTGCCGCCAATCCACCCACCGTATTTGTTGAAAGAGTCGCGGAGGGTGACCAAACTCCGTACTTGACAAGCATTTGCGTCAAAACATCGAGGAACTTTGAAGCAATTTGTGAATGCTGCTTAATGCCCTCGAGCTGCTTCAAAACCACCATCAACTCAGATGATTGGCGTTCACGATCTTCGCCATGAGGTTGATTACAACAGAGATCTGTGGCGAGAATAAGTGCCCCCATAAACATGTGAAAAACCGTGCCTTGGATTTTCATGAAATCAGCGGAATGTGAAATATTCAAGGTGATCATATCACGGTGCGCTGAGAGTAGATTCCGAGCAGCTTTCAAGCTAGCATCTCGTGAGAATATGTGTAGAGCTTTGCTCGGGGACCCAGACAGATAGGGAAAGTGAAGTTTGCATCGAACAAGATTGATCATCAAGTTGATCAACAGCCGCTGGATGGGAATGTATGAATGTTTCTGGTCAATAAGTCTAGTTTCCTCCGAGTCTGCGATTTCGACTCTGAAAAATGCAGGGAGGCCCTGGATTACTGACTCGATCTTTGAATCGAGTGACAGTATCATTTCGCAAGTTGCTTCGTTTGGGTCGTGCGGTATCACGTCTGAAATGCACCGAGCTACCTCTGTGATTTTAAGGCGGTGTAAAACGTACGACATCGTGGTCGGTTCTGACATTGGCCGCTCTTTGATGTCAGGATTGCCAAGGTCATCATCGTTTATATGTCTTGGGATATTAGTAGTTGTCATTTTCGGTTGGATGAGGTAGACTGCATCAGATGATCCTTTACTCGGTTAGAAGCTCGTCAGCGATGAACAGGACATATGTACCTTCTGCCATGGAGACCATCCAATCTGTGGCTGACAAGTACCACCACGCCCTCCGCTTCATCTCTTGAGTCACTGGATCTGTCTCATCTTGTGATAGTCGTCCTTTGGCAGGTGTCGAGTCTATACGATGCAGGCCGAGCCGGTGAGATACCGCAATGGCCTCCGTGAGCAACGTACGGTATCTCGGGGAGAATGCTTCAATATGGTTTATGAGGAATTGAAGAACAAGCATTGCCTGTACGTTTTCGAGGGTGTGATCCATTCTTCGACGATGCTGTTCCAAGCAGTCCATAGACGATCGGATGTAGACAGCACATATCTTAAGTCGTTCTTTGAGAATAGGGAGGACTGTGTCTATGCTTCCTTGTAGAGGTTCGAGAATTGTTGCTATTGCAATGACTCCTAGTATCAGGGCGAGGCCCCGTGGCGCGGTTGTCGTCGAGACATGGGCTACTTGGTGGTAGACTTCCTCGATCAAATGACGGGAATGTGGCTCGTAGATGATGTGTTGAAATTGGCCGATAAAGTCAAAGTAAACCTGGAATAATCGAAGAGCTTCGGATTTAGGAGGCAGTTGAATGTGTCCAGAGTCCGTACATTGCTGAGTCTTGGAGTCTGCTGAGATGGATAAGGAAAGATTATGCATGAGAGCATGGCGCTGTGCACCGTTAGATCTAGGTTGACCGACTATTAGGAATAAATGCACACCAAAATGCTGTCATTTGCCATGACCTGAACCAGTTGCACTCCCACGTCAGAGGAGATCGACTGGGTGGTCTTGTCTGGCAATGGTGCATCGGATTTTGAGGCAAGGGTTGCAACACCATTTCGTATGGCATCAAGCTCATTTCCAATTGGCGTTAAAATAAAATTGCCACTTGCAATCCTTTTTGTTGGATTAATGTAAGCTTCAATTTGATCCAGCCTGGAAAGGATACTGGCTATTGTCGACGGATCCGACTCATCAAATGGTCTTTTGACTCCTCGACTGGCGGACTGTAGCAGCTGCTGCTTGCAGTCCAGCGATCGGCCAATACAGCTCGCGCATGGCTGTTGTCTGTCACATTTGAGTTTTCTTTGGCGGCATGATAGACATGCGTTGCCTTGTAGGCCCGCCATCATTCGAGGGCAGGATGATGCAGGACGAGGGATTGCTGATGTCGGAGAGCGGACCCGCGGATCCGCGGAGTCTCAGCCACGATTGTCGAACTGACGACTTGATAACAGGGCTAATACAGCTGCACCAAACTTGTGACTGAATTTGAGCAAGTGTTCGATGGAGGGAGCGAAGGAGAGTGACGTGGGATTCGGTGGACGATGATGGATTCAATCCGCGCAACCACGGATCCACGGATCCGCGGACCCGTGGACGCTATGTGGAGAAATGAGATGATGCAGACCAATGAAATCTCGTCGATGAGCTGGACGATACGCGACCAGCAGCAGCCTCTCCAGGGTCTGAACAATCCATCACAAGGTATATAAGTATACAGTACGCATCTCGAACCTGTTCAGAATTTCTGTTTTCTCCCCGCACACTTCACAATTAAACCATACCTTAGACTTCTTTCATCATGTCGCATGATCAACTCAGAACCATGGAAGCCGTCCTCAACTTCGAAAACTTCCGCCAAGCTCCGAGCTTAGACGCCAAAGCTCAATCCGCGTTGCTTCGTCCCAACCTGAAGCTCGAGTATGCGATATCCAACTCGGCAGCTAATGGACTCCCGCCTATCAGCGTACTGCCCATGTCTGGCCAACTCCTGTCAATTCTCACTCAGCTCATGGGAGTCACGTCGGTACTCGAGATTGGCACGCTGGGCGGCTACTCGAGTATATGCTTTGCGGAAGCCGGTGCCAAAGTCACGAGCATTGAGATTGTCCCAAAGCATCGCGACACGGCAATGGAGAACGTCCAAGGCCTTGATGTAGAAGTTCTTCTTGGGGCAGCGGAAGATGTGTTGCCGAAGCTGGCAGAGGAGGGAAGGAAGTTTGACATGGTGTTTATCGACGCAGACATGGACGGTCAGTGGGAACAATTCGACTGGGCGGTGAAGTTGACTCGCCCCAATGGATGTGTTTTTCTAGACGATGTCGTGGCTTCAATGTTCAAGAATGGAGAAATGGGGGAGGGGAGCGAGTCAATCCTGACAAAGATCGGCAGGGATGAGAGAGTCAAGGCTACACTTGTGCCCACAGTGGCTTCCCATTCGATGCTGCCAACACCAGTTTTCAATGGCTTTATTCTAGCCATGGTAAAGGGTTCAGAATTAAAAGTCGCGATTTGAGTATAGTTCATTTTACCGGGATCGTATTGGGCACACGACCTCTCGGCTCACTTATTTTGTCTCATCTGGAATTACAAATTAACTTGGAGAATACAGTCAGAAGTAACATCCAAACAATAGTGGTGCGCTTAGAATGAAAGTGATCTTCAGAGAAAAATGCAGATATAAGTTATAACAAATGTGCGAACAATGGGGACACTAGATTGGGTGAAGGCAGATCATACATCACAATCTCTAGACGAAGGGCATTTTCCGCACTGGCTACCCTAGAGTGAATCTGAATCATCTTGCCGGGTTCCTGCGTCTTTAACTTGCACAGGCTATCTCCACCAAGTGTGGATGGATACGAGCCCTTTAGAACCGGCGGAAATGGTCCGGTTGCCGGCTAGCACTATCTCAGTGGGTCAAGGGTTATCGGAGAGTCCACGTGTATCGTACGGTATGTGGCTTGGTGGCTGATCGACGGCGCAAAATGAAGCATCCACTATTCCTCGGCGAAGGCCGATCTTGGATGGATATGCGCGAACCGAAACAAATTGATGGGACATTCATCATAAGGCTCACTGTGTTTTGAACGTGACACTATAATATCCCACTCCGGATTCCTCGAACGGCACAATTACGTAGGTCCCTTTCCGAATTCCAGTTGGTACCGAGGAATGCGAACATCATCAATTTGGCCGCTTCGAACACTTACGGTTCCTACCCACATATATACGGCGCTATTATTGGCCCTGGCTTATCACGAGAGTTTCCCTTGTTCTGTGGCTTGAAATCTAGACTCTTGCTTTCAGCTTCTAACTTAGTTATATCTAACAATCCCCACTTGGCGAGATGACCCCTTTATTGATCTGTTTCTGCAAATTTCACCATTTTGCTTCTTACCCCACGGCGTCGTGTGTTTGCAGTAGTGAGCAAAGAGCAAGAAACAAGGAGCAAGAAAGCAATGGCTCTCACTGCCAAAGGATACCTGGTAGGTTGGATTCTCTGACTCGTCCCAGCGGCCTCTAATTCATTTTGCAGGCCGTGGAGTGGGTTCTGATTGCTGTTTGCCTTGTTCTTGTTTGCGCTCGACTCGCAGTGCGCACATACAGGAGGATGTGGTCATTTTGGCTGTCGGATGCCTTGCTCGTCATCGCCTTTTTAACATTCTTAACTCTTGTCATTGGGGATACATGGTCCTTCATAAGGGGTAATGATGTCTTTAACCAGTACGATGTTATAGCATTCAATAAGGTGAGTTTACTTTAATCCGTGTTTGGCTGTTAATTAACTCGGCAGTGGTTATTTGCAGCCGATATCGTCTTCGACTTGGGGTTCTACTTTCCCAGATTAAGCCTGCTCGCATTCTACAATGAGCTCTTCCCTCTATCCGAGAAACGGCTGCGACAGGGATTATATATTGTCACGGCCTATAATATTTGCGCGTTCTTAACTACAGCCTTGGTAGATATATTCTGGTGCGGAACTAATGTGTCCGAAAACTGGTGCGTCGATACTCCACGGCCCATTCACAGCTAACATATCTTCGGCGCCTCAGGGCTACTGAACCCACCTGTACATTGTTAACTGCCACCAAAACCCTTTGGATCAATTGGTCCATCGGTATCGTCGCCGAGCTTCTTGGTAAGAAAGAATTCTCATCAATCCTTATACGATACTAATGTACTTTTAAGTCTTTATCTTACCATTTGGAATGCTCAGAAGATTGAAAGCAACGCCAAAGAGAGAAAGAATTGCCTTGACATGCATCCTTGCTATTGGGGTAGCGTCAATCGTAGCTACCATTGCTCGATTAATTTGGAGTCTTAACTCAGTGGCCTCTTATGCTACCTGTAAGTAAATGACGGGAATTTCTCATAACCATACATTAGGGAGTACTGATTCATGCGTTCTAGACATCGTTGGCTCGGCTGAAATCGCAACACAAATTGTAGTCGGCGCACTTCCAGCGTTACGCCCATTACTCACTATAATACCTTTGGGGTGCAGCAGGCTTTTCAGCAGTTTGAAGGCACCTAGGAGTACTAAAGATGATGAAGACCAAAATCTTTACGGTTCATCTAGCACGGGGACATCGAATTGCTTGGAGGAGCGGATTGAAGTTCATGATAAGGTCGATGATGGACCTGGTATTGAGTTACACCGAGACAAAGATGGGATCTAGATATCTTGAGCAACGACGCCACTTTAGAATAATAGATATATGAAGTTTAATGCGTTCATCTTATATGGGAATCTTCACCGAGTTTATATACATTGGGTAGTTGTGCCGACTTGAAAGTGGATCTTGTCAAACTGCCAGTCAAATCCAACAGATCAAAGAAGAGATTTACAATGACATAGATCTAAGCACACAACGATTTGGCCATGATGACGGCTAGTGTGTACTTAATCAAGAAAAATCGAGTACTTTATCCTACTGCCTATCCAGGGGAGTGAGCTTAAGATACATGCCGTTCTCTGGCTTAATAGTAATGACTCCTCTTGGGACCACCAATGCATCATCCATCGCTAGAGACCACGAAAAAGATCTCACCATAGCAGCCAGCAGACAACGCATTTCCGCCTTTGCAAAATTCTGACCGATGCAACTTCGTGGCCCATGCAAGAAGGTCAAGAAATCATAGTTGCTGCTTGCGCCTCCATTTTGATTGGGCTTCCCGTCGGGTGTAATCCAACGCTCGGGGCGGAATTCCGCTGCATCAGGACCCCAAATATCTGGCGAGCGGTTGATAAGCCAGATGGATACGATGATATCGGTGCCTTTTGGAATGAATTGGTCGCCAATATGCGTGTCGCATATAGCTTGCCGCATCGTCATTGGTACCGTCGGGTAGAGTCGTAGAGTCTCGTGCATGATGCCATTGAGGTAAGGGAGTTGCTCGAGAATAGCGGCGAGCTCAACTGTCGGATCGATCACCAGGTCTGCTGGTAATGCTGCGGCGACTTCTTCTCGAAGTTTGTTCTGAATTTCGGGATGTCGAGTAAGCAAGTAACATGTCCATGTAAACGCCGAGGCGGTAGTCTCGTGACTGTGAAGTGAGTTAGATACGATACCCTGAGAATTGAAAGGATTATTTACCCTGCGGCTAGAAACGTCAACAGCTGATCCTTGAGTTCCGCATCAGTGAAGTTGTCGGTTTTGATAAGAAGCGAGAGAATGTCAAAGTGATCGTCTTCCTTATCCATGATTGCAGCCCTCTTTTCTTGGATCATTGGCCGGCAAATGTTGCTTAATGAAGCAGTCAAATGATTGAAGGTGGCATTCATCTTCCATGGTATCATACGCACCAATGGAAGACCAACAGCGAGGGCCAGCATGGAGAAGATGAGCTTTTCCCGATCAGGTTGAAGAAGCTGCTCATAAACGTCTTGGAGGGGCTCCTTTTTCTTCTGAACGACGTCAAACTTGCGACCCAAGCCAGCAATTCCAATGATGTCAAACGTGACCTTGTTTGCCCAAGAGTTTAACTCTATGACTGACGAACCAGTCGATCCGATAATGGTATTGCCATGAATCTCTTCATTCACAGCTGCCATGAGTTTTTCACCCTGCGTCCACATCATTGGATACAGGTCCTTGATGTGCCGAAAGTGAAAGGCAGGCATGCTGTTTTTACGGAGGAACTTGTGTTGATCGCCCTCCACAATGACAAGGCCATCGCCTAGGATGTGTCGTAGAAATGAGCTGATTCTTTTAGGCTTGGTGAAATCGTAACATCTGTGGACGAGGAGATCGGCCATCAGGCGTGGACTGGTGACGAGTATTCGGTTTCCGAGCGCATCGAGAGAAATGAAGTCTTGTCCCGGGTATTGCTTCGCTAGGTCCAAGAAGAGATCCCCCGCGGGCCTGTCCTTGACGATGAGTGCCCGATGGGCGGCACTAAACACTGCCTGTAAAGCTCTCGTCAGTCATGAATGGGATTACAGATTTGTAACAGAAGAGATTGCTGCCGTATGAAGTCGGAGAGATTTGAGCAAAGAAAGAGAGAGACAGAGTAACTAACCCTCGGACCAGGAATGTGGCGAAGGGGACTGAAGAAATTCGGATAAAGAATCGCCCAGAAGAAAATGCCAAAGGCATAATTCACCAGAAAGATGAGAGTCGCGGAAGCTAGGTGAGTTTGAGAGCTATAGTAGTTCGGGAACAGTTTGATAGCCAACAGCCATTCAGCCGTCGCGGCAAGGGTAAGGCTGGAGAAGCTGAACAGCTGCGATAGTATCGCCATGTTGAATCAACTGTGCCGATTATTCACGGAGAGTGTTGTAGGATTCGGTGCGATGAATGATGCTCGTGTTCGTCCGAGGTAGTGCTAAAAGGAAGCAAGGCATGCCCTTCGTACCTAGTATATAACGATAGACCAGAAATGAGGACTGCGAATAGTCGCCAGGCACCGACGAGCTGCGAATGCATGCAGTTTCAATTCAGCAGATGGCGTCTTCATGTGAAAATGGCCGTCGTCAGCAAGACAGTCGTAGTCGTAATGATCTGCCTATTCGGGAGTAGCATTCCCCCGAGAGCGCAATGTTTCTCACCAGTACCACGAAGTACAATATTAGGCGACACTATTCCCCAAGCTGCTATAGGTACCTCTGTGTAATATCGAGTCGTGTGGGAGATCTGCAGTCATGCGACCACGTTGTCTAGTAAACTTGGGAGTCGGCTAATGCAGGTCGCAAGGGCGTCCTCATTGGGCTTAGGATGCGACCCTTTCAACTAAGACGCATTGTGTTATGGTACATAAGGTACATTACCAGCTGTATATTGTGGAGCGTTCCCTTTTGTACCTGGCGTAGCACATGGATGGGCAAGAGGCTATAGCGAAAGAGTGATAAGATCCTGATGGCGGAGTGGTCTAGAGAGGCCGGACACATTGCAGCCCACACGACGAGTTCAGTCGGTGCATGCTTGATTCGGCGATATCTGCATTTGTTCACATGTCATCTTATTAGCTTCCTCCACATCTTGAAGCTCAACAACTTCTTTTGGACGAGGAATCGCAACCTAGGGCCTAAATGGTTGGCTTCGACTCCACATTCAGCCTCTCCCGAATTGACGACATTACGTGCACCTAGTTTATGCACTTGAAGTAAGAAACTTCGGCAAGGAGATGGAGTGTGATCAAATGGTTAATATGGAAGAATGGCGCGGACCCCAACGTCACAAACACGACTCGCCCAACGTTCTAGAAATCTTGCTGTGCTCAACCGGAGTACAATGTCTTCCATGGCTTCGGGTACTGCCATCTGCCTCATTTTGAGCTGTGCACTCGTGGGAGGCTATGCTAGCATGTTTATGTCCTACCATCACGGCTTCTTCGACGCACTGCGCGTGTGCACCTCTGACATTTCTGGTTTATCTCCAGAGCCATGCGTGCTGGATATGTCTGGCTCTCCACCATCAGTTCGGAAAGGCTTTACGGGCATAGCGTCTGTGGATTCCTTGATCAATCTACTCCTCGAATTTTTCGCCCAGGGATTGAGAAGCCATCCCGACGCTACCGGGCTCAATCTCGAGGCTCTGCTCGCTTTTGGGTACCTGGCTACCCAGTTTGGTGGTGCTTGGTACTTGATATCGCTCGAGGGCCTGCGAATAGGAAACCAAGGCACGATACTGAGTTGGTATGTTCTTCCCAAGCATGGCAGAAATACAAGCAAGTCCTTCTAACACTATGACACAGGACCGGAACGTTCGGCATCATATTCCAAGCTGTCACGATAACCATAATCGCCCCGGTCTACTTAACACTTCAACTACTGCTCTCACCATCAATGCCACATGCGAGTTCCGTTCTTGCCGACCCGTGTGAACTGGCCGTTCTACCAGCATCCGCAGTGCTGTCCTATATTTTGCCGACAATCGGTCTCTGCCTTCCGCTGCTGAACGTCCTCTCACGAGAAGGAGAATACCTTGCAATCGCTTTATGGCAACCTTTCCCGCTTTATCAATCCACAATCCAATCCGTTGCGCGTCTCGTCTGTAGAGGCAGACGCGGCAGTGCCAACAACACAGCCCACATCAATGCGCGTGAGTGCAAAAAGGCACTGGGCCGGGCATACAAGTTCATCATTTACTTGACGCTCGGCGTGCACTTGACTGTGATCGGGATTATTGTCACGTCGACTGTCACTGACTTGTTTCCCGACATCTCAGCAAGTCAGATTCTGGCACTGACTTCTTTAACCGACCCTCCTACTGTGGCTCTCTTTGACCCGCCTGTGTCTGCCACAAGCTCAAGGGAGATAGTCGTATCTTTCTTACGCTGGGACGTCTACTGCACGTGTGTTTCGATGTTGATCTGGGCAGCCTACCAACTGCATGCTGTCCAGAGGCCATCAAGCGTAATAGCCACATCGCTCAAGGCTGTGCTGTGGACCCTGGTGGGTGGTCCAATTTTTCCGGCGCTGGTGTTCCTCTGGGAGAGAGATAAAATTGTCCTTGACAGGCTGGAGCTGTATAACTTGTATGAAAAGGAAGAATGAAGGTTGCAGAAAGGTATGAATGGGAATGGTAGAGCACTGGGGATGAAGAAAATAGGCTTGTCTTGCACTATTGCCACCTCACCAAAAGAACAATTTTATTATTTCTTAATTATTACCGCGTATATACCCACAGTAAGTTAACATGTACCTAAGCCATGTATTCGTATTCCATATTAATTTCAACATGATCCAATGTTCCACACGTGGAAGGAGAGGATGTTGCACTCGTTGCACGGGCTGTAGCGAAGCGACTAAAACAAGCTTGCTCGTGTGCCCATCTCGACGTCAAGTCTTTCCCTTGTGCCCACCCAACTGCAGACTTGATTCCGATTGTCGAGTTTATGCGGGCCAGGATGTCTTTCGCCTTCGCAAGTTGGTCCGGCGTCGCATATGCGCAATGCGAGACCAGCCTGATCGAGTGGACGATAACGATGGCGCCAGCCCCGTCGTGGCGGTTGCCAGGTGACACGCCACTTGGCTTGATATCACCAAGGGCATATGGTACGCATGAGAGAATGTCGTCGATGGACTTGGTCACGTCTTGTTCAAGCACTAAGATGCACTCGGCCCAGACAAGTCTGTCTCCAAAAACTCCTTCGTCGACGGACTGCATCATATGGTGGTACAGCAGCATCGTCATCAACAGGATGAGGCGTGCAGATCTGATCAAAATGATGGTGCACGCCGTTTCAGCATCGTAATACAGCTTCCCAGGAATCACATTGCCCAAGGCAGTCGGCACAGTACGAGCCTCGAAGGTGCTCTGCCAGTATGCGGCAGCCTCCTCATCCCAAATGTGAAAGTTTTCGAGCATTTCGAAACATTCTTTTATAATCTGCTGGACTTCGTCCGTGGATGTTGTTGGAGCATCGTGGAATGGGTTTGATCGTGTTTCGATGTCCATATAGCGTGATAGGCTATGGCGTAATGCCAGAGTCCTCGACATCATCGACATGGCTCGGAGGAGGGGGTCAAAGAGTCCCATGATGGTGGCAATAGCGCCGGGGTCGCTGTACGTATCGTCTTCGTGTAGGAAGGAGTAGATTTGCTGCCGTCATACGATGTGAGCTGATTCCTCGTACCAGGGATTGGACCAGGTATAATGACGGGTTGTCACTTACCAAGCGGATAAGAGCGAGATGAAAAAGCTCAGCTCCTCGTTTGGTTCCGATCTGCCCCGGCCCTCTCTTTTCCAAGAGATAAAAGAGGCCCGGCGCATGTTCATTTGGGTCGCCTAGGCCCTCGCCGCTAATGTCCTGTACCGACGTTAGGGAAGATAAGACACAGTCAAGCGGGCAGCTTACATTGTGTGTACAAAGCAGCAATATGGTCGTGATGACTTTGTCGTCGATGGCTTGATCATCGGACTGCATGCTTTCTCGCAGCATTCGAATAACACGACCATAGTTTTTAAACGACTGCGTGCGGAACCCATCACCCCCGAACTGGTTATACGCCGCCATCTGAGCGACACTCAGCGTGGCGGTCTCGAGCAGACCGCGGTTGTGATCATCGTAGAGGTCGGGCAGGAAGCTGAAATGGCCAGGGAACCCGTCGCCATCGTCTTGCGATATGAAGCGATGGGCAAAGTAGGCGAGGGAGACCTGCTCGTACGAGATTCCGGGATTACGGACAATGGCATGACGGCTGGATTCAGCCACGGTGATACTCTTTTCGTCGACTGCTTCCTCGCTGCCTTCTCTCTTGGGAGACGGACTCGCCGGCTTCTGCGGTAGGGTCGCGACCTCGCTTACGCTTGAAGAGTTTGCCTTAGACTTGGGATTAGATAACGTGTGTCGGAAGTGGAACTGATCAGTGTATCCCGGGCATGGCTTCCCATACACGTAACAACGCCGACACGTGGGCTTGGCCTCGTCGCACTATCCAAGGGACGGACTGTTAGTAATAGCACCGATTGCGGATCGAGATAATGCACTTCGCAAACTTGCTCCATATATTCGTCCACTTGACATGGCGTTGTGCGGAAAAGAAATCACCACATACCTTGACCTTGCGCTGGCGACACCGCTTGCACCCCGTGCTGAAGTGGCCTGGGAATACCATTCTGAGCCAGAAGCGGATCTCGAGTTCAGCTGAGTGAGAGCTTTGTCAGGCCACGGAAACCAAAGGCGCTTGGGGGAAAAGCACGCGACGTGGGCGAGACAGAATGAGCTTCCACTGGTGGATTGAAGGCATCCGGAGAGAGAGATGATGGTCGGAACGCCAAGTTCCACATGTCGACAAGCGGCACGGGGATCCTCGAGATACCGGCCGAATCCCCGCAGTAGCGAGGGGATGTTTCGTTTGGGCTAATTACAAGGATCAATAGCGTTGACTGAATTGGTTTAGAGCGAGCAACCAGGGTCGGTTGTGACGACAACTGCAGGCATCATCCTCGGCTCTCTTAAAGAGGCATAGATCACCACTCTCACTCCTTGTGGTTTAGCTTGCGAAGCCCATGCGTATCTCGTCGGCCTTCATCTGAGCCTCGGTTCAATCCCGCCGTCTCAGAAACTTGCAAACACTTGGTGAATATTCAGGCTGATATTCATCACGAGGAAGTAGAGGAAGCTACGATAAATAGTCTTGAATATAGATGGTCATACCCATATATAACCAATCTGGACTCAATTGCTTCTAACTGCTGGAGACTTTCTTGTCCTTAACGTTTCGATATCACACCGAAGACTCTGATCGCCAATCACATATTCTCATCTCTTGACCATGTCTTCACTACTTTACTCTCCGGCAATTGAAGTCGTCGCGGGTGTTGGCCGAACAATCCTCTCTCCTCTGCTCTCGGGCGCTTGCCTCGTATCTCTCACGTACGCCCCCGATGCCGTGCGCGATGCCGTTGCTGCCATCGTCGACAAGCTCCCAAGCCAGCTTGCGACGTCGTTGAACCTCTCTGTCGCCCATACCACTCTCCAAGTCCTCTTTGGATTAGGTGTTATCCGTTATATCAACAAGGCGTTGAACACCATGGCCTCCAATTCATGGCGCCTCAGGGCAGGCAAAAACTGGCACTGGCCAGATGAGATTGCCGTCGTTACCGGCGGCTCCAGTGGAATCGGCAAGAGCATCGTCGAGAAGCTTGTAGCCCTTGGTGTCCGCGTCGCCGTCTTTGATGTCCAAGACCTGCCCAAGGACCTGCAAGCGGTTGCCCTGGTTCACTTCTACCGTTGCGATATAACCTCCACCGAGTCTGTCGGAGAAGCTGCCGAAGCTGTTCGCCGAGAACTTGGACATCCTACAATCCTCATCAACAATGCCGGCATCGCCAAGACAACTCCAATCATCAAGACGTCCGAGGCGTTTCTACGCAAGATCTTCGAGGTCAACTGCTTGTCTTTGTGGTTTACGACACAGCAGTTTCTCCCTCGGATGATCCAATTGAACAAGGGCCATGTAGTGACTGTGGCCAGCATCGCGTCTTTTGTCGCCTTGGCCACAGCCGCAGACTACTCAGCAACAAAAGCCGGCGCTCTGGCATTCCACGAGTCATTGACCTCTGAGATCAAGCACTTTTACAAGGCCCCGAACGTGTTGACAACTGTGGTTCATCCCAACTTTGTCAGAACCCCTCTTGTTGAAGATTTCATGGATCGCCTCGAAGGCTCTGGCGTTCGTCTGCTCACAAGCGACCAAATCGCCAGCGAAGTCGTCGGTCAAATACAAAGCAAAAGAGGCGGGCAATTGATAATCCCTCGGTCTGCGGCAGGTATCTCTGCGATTAGAGGGTGGCCCACTTGGTTACAAGAGGTTATACGCGATGCTGTTGGGAAAGGAACTGGACCAGTGCGGAAGTAGATGATAGCCAGAATTAGCGAGGGGCTGTTAAGTAAACATCGTTGGACTGTTTATTCCATCTCAAGTAGATTAAGAGCTCTTAGAGGTCATCACTGCACAGCGCTGGCGTGTAACCGAGACCTTTATCTCGACACATCTTCATAGCATGTCTCGTATCTGCCACGTTGAATCTAAATTGAATCTCGATCCCACGCATAATTAGTATAGCGCAGCATTATGACCCCTCTGGTCCAAGTCAATCCAAACCTCTCCGCCGTCTTACAAATCTGCATTTTCGGTTACATGGTGAGATGAATTAGTCGACGGCTGAATTCAAATTCCACGTGGAGGCCGAAGGCCGAAGCGCTTTGCTGAGGGGCCTGGGCACTATATAAGCTCCGGTTATGCTCCCAAATTACGTTCAAGGCTCTGTCACATATGCTGGCTATCTATTCATATCGCTGAAAACTCACAACCGTCCCACACAGCCGGGCCATACTCAACACCATACCACCATTCGCCATGGATATCATTACCCCCTTGAAATATCTCTACATCTACCTCTACGTCCTTTTGTACACACCATGGATCCTCTCACGCTTTCTCTTGGGGGTTTCCCTCAGCCTCTTGCCGTGGACACGACCTGCCAAAGAATGGACCTTGAATCAAGCTGTCCGCATGTGCGTCGTCAGATTAGTGTTGCTCTACTGGTCGCTTACACGTTCTGGAAATCGGTTGACTCTCCGTGAAGGACGAGAGCGGAACCGATTTGAAGTTGTTAGCCCAAGGTCATTCAAACTGTACAGGGGAGTTTTCTGGGACCCTCGAGTTCTACCCGAGCAGCTGGGTATGACTTGGACGCCGTCACGACTGCCACACGCTGAATTGATCCGGCCCGACATAATTGTCGCCTTGCACTTTCATGGAGGAGGCTTCGTCATTGGCAACGGACGCGATGAGGATACAGGCTACCTTGCTCGTACACTGATACGGCATATGGGCTGCACCCACGTATGCACGCCGCAGTATCGGCTTTCCAGCAGCAAGAATGGGCATTTCCCTGCACCATTTCAAGACGCTCTTACGGCGTATCTCTATCTGCTCAGAACAAAATGCGTTCCGGCCAGTCAAATTATTTTATCTGGCGATTCAGCGGGTGCCAACATTGCACTCGGACTGTTGCGATACATTCACGAATATGGACAGGTCGATGATATCCCATTTCCAGGAGCAGTCACCCTTTGGTCGCCGTGGGTCGACGTGAACGCGGCCCTTCAGCAGGACATGAGATTGTCGCCCAACTTCAAGACGGATTATCTCAACATGGAGTTTGGCAGATGGGGTGCCTCTACAATCTCAGACTTTGGCGCGGTCGACGCATTGAGCCCATATCTGTCGCCCTTGCACCATCCGTTCGAATTGGAGGCGGAGATTCCCGTTTTTGTCAATGCTGGAGAGCGTGAGGTTTTACACGATGACATTCAAAACTTTTGTGAACGTTACAGAAAGCTTGGCTGGTTGATTCACTTGGAAGTGTCTAAGGGCTGTCCCCACGACATTCTCCTGCTAGGGCCAAGTATCCAATTCACAGCCGAGGCTAAGAAGGCGGCAGGCAATGCAGGGAAGTTTTTGTCCAAGGCGGGCATCAGTCTGCGTGGATCCCACTAAGGCGGAGGGGGAAAGGGGTAGATGGCCACGCGGGTGATTTTATGTATATTACGGGGAACGTATAGTGACATCAGCCAAACATCAGGAAGATCTCTCATTCGTTTGTCTTGCTGCCATGTGAAGCCCACAGTAGGAAATATGGGGGAAGCCTGCTCTGTTTACAATGACGTAGATATCTTCATGACATCTGTGGGGTTGATCTGGCGTTTGTGTACCGGGAAGCTCGGAGTTGGAGAATACATGAGTTAATCCCTTTCACATAAGTAGCCTACACAATTGAGATGCACTGTAACATTCCCCAATAAACGTCACTCAACGTGTTTCCATCGGAGGCATGGACTGTTTCTTGGTGCATGTTTTACCCGGCACGCTAGCCTTGTTATAGGGTGGAGGAGATACAAAACCGATACGTGTAGGTACTTGATTTCCCCCGCATTTTTTTCATCGTAGGCTACCAATTTCTCGAGAACGTTCTATTCTTTATCAGGTCTAGCTTCCGAGCCATGCGTCGAACTCGTAGACATGTCAAGGCTGAATCAATCCATTCTGTCGATCAGGTGCGACTGCTTTCGACTACTCCTGAATTGAACTCCCTTTGCGATGACCTGGCAGGTAGTTTGGTTGTTTCATATGCCTCGGTTGAGTGTATTTTGCTGCCTGCCTGTGTTATCGACAATCACGGCGGTTGAACGCGTGGACTTTACAGTAGGGCTTGCGAGGCCCGCTCAGTTACAACGAGCCGATTGGTAACCACCTGACTGAACTAGGAGTTTCACATGTTTCGCTTGCGAACTTGTTGACGAAGCTATTCGTAATGGGGCACCATGTTCTTGGTGACATCATCTCAGCAATATGTCCTGCCGAGGTCGTCGTCGTCAAGCTAGCCCATACCCGTCACGCAAGACATGGGAAGCCTAATGCATGGCCAATATATGGTCGACACTCAGATGTAGCTTGAAGCTGCCCCTCATCAGTTTTGGAATTGTCTCTTTCTCGAAAACATCCACACACCTCTCTGCCAAACTTTGTTGATTTACTCCTACCTCGTTGATCAATCAATCATCATCTCCATCATGGACAGCCATACAGACGGAGCAAATCGTTCCAATACGGCGAAAGATGGCTTGTCCTTTGACGTTATCATTATTGGTGCGGGAATCTCAGGAATCAATGCCGCCTATCGCATCCAGAATGAGGGCCCTCCCAATCTGAACTACGCCATCCTCGAAGGGCGTGAGACTCTCGGTGGTACCTGGGACCTGTTTCGATACCCAGGCATTCGATCAGACTCCGACATCTTCACCTTTGGATTCCCTTGGAGCCCTTGGAAGCACAACGAATCGCTAGCTGCCGGGCACAAGATCAAAACCTACATGGCCGACTCAGCTCGCTCTGCGGGCATCGACCATCATATTTGCTACCAGCACAGCGTCGTTGGTGCAAATTGGAGCTCAACCAAGAAGCTTTGGGAGCTCCAAGTGACCAGACCTGGAGAGAATCACCCTGTCACCTTTCAAGCTCGATTTCTTCTGCTTGGGACTGGTTACTACAACTACGAGACGCCACTGCAGACAGTAATCCCGGGCATCGAGAACTTTGAGGGTAAGGTCATTCACCCTCAGTTCTGGCCCGAGGACTATGACTATACCGACAAGAATGTTGTCATCATTGGGAGTGGTGCCACCGCTGTTACGATTTTGCCGTCCATGTCCGACAAAGCCAGGCGCGTCACCATGTTGCAAAGAAGCCCAGGCTACATCCTCCCTTTGCCAACAACTAGTTTCTTGGCGACTCTGCTCTTCACGATCCTGCCCGCCAGCGTTGCACACTTCCTCAACAGACTCATGTGGCTCTTCAGGAGCTATCTGACTACGGCATTCTGCAAGTCATGCCCGGGATTGGCAAAGAGAATCATCAAGCATGTGACCATCGAGCAGCTCCCTCCAGATATCAGCTGGGACCCTCATTTCAAGCCTCGGTACAACCCATGGGAGCAAAGGTTCTGCGCCTCTATGAACGGCGACTTTTTCGCCGCTCTTCGGTCGGGCAAGGCCGATATTGTGACAGACCGAATCAAAACGATCACAGAGAAGAAAATTGAACTTGAATCGGGAGCGGCCTTGCAACCTGACATCATCGTTACGGCGACTGGTTTGAAGCTTAGATTTGGTGGAGGCATCAACTTTACCATCGATGGTCAACCCTTCAATCTGGCAGACAAGTTTGCATGGAGAGCCGCCATGCTCCAAGATGTGCCCAACCTGCTCTTCATGACAGGATACGAGAATGCGTCATGGACTCTGGGCGCCGACGTGAGTGCACGACTCTTAGTACGCATCCTCCAGAATCTGAGGGAGCGCAACGCAACTGTTGCAGTGCCGCGGATGGCGACGTCCAAAGACATGCCAGTGAAGTCCATGATGAGTTTGACTTCGACATACTTGAAGGACGTCGGGGCTGTTTTGCCAAAGGGAGGGACGGGAATTTGGAGCCCAAAGTCGAACTACTTTGTTGACATGGCTACTGCCAGATGGGGGAATATCTCTACAGACTTGGAGTTTTCGTAAGGCCCTGAATTCGGCGTTGTACGATACGTCTATGCTAGTGTTTTTGTTAGTGGATAGTAAAGTAATTTCATTATTATTCTTTACATTTGGTAGTTCTTTCGCCACCGCGTCGTGATCACCATGTCTAGAAAAATAGCCAGCCTAGGAAAGTCTTGAATGCAAACACCATATTAGTATGAGAATGTCTAGAAACGTCGAGTAGCCCCCACATAGCTCCGCATCAACGGCCAGATGTAGTAAATGTCCCGGTGCCTAGCCCGCCGACATCTGGATGCAGATCTCGTAGGTGACGTCTTCTGATCGATTAAGGACACCATCGCTACGTGCGGGGTACAGTTGATCCATGTGATATAGCCGACACAGCTATAGACCTAGGTCAGCGTGGCATAAGACTAATTCGATTTAACCTGATTCGATTCAGATATCTTCCCAAATGAGGACCACCTTCCGAGGTCGCCTTAGCTGGGTCAGCACGTGAATGCGGTCCCAAAGGACTCGGCATCTGCTCTGTAAGACCCAGTCCAGGCGGGGTTTAGGGAGACAACCAAGTAGAAGAGGCATAAGGATGAACCAGTTGATTTAATAGATTTTAATAGTGCCGCTTTGAGTAGCTACTACTTTCTCATCATCCAAATTGCTTCATCTCATTTTCTACCTACGAGTGTGATTGACCACCTCCATCCCACTCGATCTCATTGAAACCGCATCACGCAAAGTTACATACTCGAGTCAGTCTCAGCTATCAACAAGCTTAGTCTCAAAATGCCTCATTCAACGCAACCTGGAACTGTGGGCAACTTGACTGTCGACGAACAACAGAAGTTACAACAGGCATGGGTCCATCTCCTCCGGCTCTGCGGAGCCGATGGCTTCGGTCACGAAGCGCCAGACAAAAGCCAGCAGTTTCTGAAAAACCTCAAAGACAGGTCGCCGGAGGCTTTCAAGCAGGGTCTGTGGAACTCGATCCTTGCGGATCATCCGGATGCAACAGTCCTCCGATTCCTTCGGGCTCGCAACTGGGACGTCACCAAGGCCATGGACATGCTTGCATCAGCCATCAACTGGCGCAACGAGCGACAAGTCGACGAGGAGATTGTAGGAAAAGGCGAGACTGTGGGGATGAAAGTGTCGCCAACTGTCGACGAAGAGGCATTTGTCACGCAGTACCGTTCCGGGAAGAGCTACGTACGAGGAACCGACAAAGACGGCCATCCAATCTACATCATCAAAGTTCGACTGCATGATCCTCACTTGCAGTCGGCCACGGCTATGGAGACGTACGTTTTGCACAATATTGAGACGATCAGGGTGTTGGCGAGAGGCTCGTGTGACAAGGCATGTCTCGTTTTCGATCTCACTGGGTTTGGCCTTCGTAACATGGATTTTCACGTTGTGAAATTCCTTGTTGAAGTGTTGGAGGCAAGATATCCTGAGACTTTGGGGGTGGTCCTCGTTCACAATGCGCCATTCGTCTTCTGGGGTTCGTATTCCCTCTTCCCATTTATCAAGCATCATCAGTTCCATTACTGACTTCATTACAGGCCTCTGGAACGTCATCAAACGTTGGCTAGACCCAGTGATCTCGTCCAAAATCCACTTTACGAGCAACAATAAGGGTTTGACGCCTTTCATTTCCAAGGACAACCTGCAGACCTGTTATGGCGGTCACGACAATTGGGAGTACAAGTACGTTGACCCGACACCAAGTGAAGTGTTGCAATCGGAGGAAAAGAAGGCCAGCATCCAGGCAGAGCGGAACGATCTGATCCAAGAGTTCAATCGACTGACTGCTGAGTGGGCCTCACTCGAGCCAGGATGTGTTGGCGCTGAAGTGAAGGCTGGTGAGAGGTCTGAGTTGGCGAAGCAGCTACAGCAGCACTATTGGAAGCTGGATCCGTATGTCAGAGCGAGAACTTATTACCATCGAGTCGGAGTGATTGATAGCACTGGTGAGGTGGACTTCAAGGCAGCGAATTAGTCTAGCAAAGCAATCGGAAACTTCGTACAATTCCACAGAATTACGCGATCAAAGAACAGCGCAGCTACAATAGTGTCTGATCACGAGTTCAGCATTCAATTTCATATAAAATTATCCTAGTCACAAAGAAACCATCATTCTGCGGAGCACAGTCGTTGTAGCATGTCCTTTGGTGGATACAGTCTCCCTGTAATTAAACCATGTAGGAGCGTCTTCTCCGACATGCCGCTTTCCGCTCCTTGAGCAGATCGTTGCGGGGAAACCGTCTATCACAACAGATCACACGCTAAGTGTGGGGGACCAGGTATAAACCCGGCTGGATCTCCAATTTTGCCAGCGCTAAATAGACACTACGGCTGGAAAACAGGCCATTCCCTTATCATAGTTTGTGACCTTGGATCCTACACGAGCCGACTAACACGAAAAGGGCGTGCCGTATCTGAAAACGGCAAGGCTCGGTGACAGAGCGTTGAACGTGATCAGTCGCAATCGTGGGTGGCGGGTGCTCGGACAGGTGCTATACCTGAATTGAAGCAGCTTTGCGAGACGCAGTAGGGATGTGATCCTCCTCTCTTACTGGTAGAGATCAGCAAGCTGTCCGGCAAGGCTAGATTTCCCCGCGTTTATCGCCGAGGTATCGACTACGGCAGGGGATTGATCTGGGGTAAAGCTGGGGAAGAGGCGAGATATCCCATTGGAGTATGGATAGTCTGGAGCGTTAATCAAGGTGTGATGATTGGGTTGGGGAAATTTGATATAAACACTGCGACAACGGCGATATGTAACATCCCCATCCGTAGTATCAAGTCCCACCTTCACTGGGAAGAGGATTGTTTGGAACCAGCTTCGACCAGGTTGCTTTTACACACCCAACTCGAAAGAAGCTGCCTTCATCATGCGATTCTCCAAGCTCTTTATCCTGGCTTCGGCGTCATTCAGCGTTGTCGCTCGCGACTCGCCACGCACCGTCTCGCCGCCCGAGCTCCAGCTGGTAGAGCTCTTGGAGAAGCACAACCTGGCTCTCGTTCCCAAATCAGAGCTGACAGACGCATTGACGGAACTGAATCTGTTGCTGAAGAACAGCCAGCGGGCGCCAATACCAGTGCTGCTCAAAAGACAAAACAGCACGTCAGACTCGAGCTCCAGCTCCAGCTCCAGCTCCGATAGCAGCTCATCCGATGGGCTTTTCCAAATTCCTGGATTGAGTGGCCTAACAGGTGCTATTGGCGACCTAACCGACCTCTTGAAGGCTCTTGGAGACCTCCTCACCCCCGAGTTTCTCCAAGCTTTCCACGATGCCATGGTGTATCTGTCTGCAACGCTGCAACCTCCCGCTGCCACGGAGATTAGGAGTTTACTTTCGAAAGCGGGACCACTTCTGGATTTGGTAGGAGAATTGGACCTGAAAGGCCTCGTCGACCAGCTCAAGGATGTCGATATTGCTGGGCTCGTTGGCACAGCCCTCAAGCTTCTAACAGACGACAACCTCACCAACATCAAGAATCTGCTATCGAACGGCGCCGCGCTTCTCACTCCGACATTTGTCAACGAAACGCAATCGCTCATCGGAGATGCTTCACCTTTGCTCAACCAACTCTCGCCGTTGATCAAGAAACTCACAGACCTCGACCTTGACGGCATTCTCGGTGCCTTGGATCCGCTGCTCAAGAAGGAAGCAATTGAGGGCGTTGTCAACCTGTTAGGCAATGCGGAGACCTTGCTCTCACCCAGCTTTGTCAATGAGACACAATCACTCGTTAAAGAAGTCTCGCCGCTACTTAGCAAGCTATCGCCTCTGCTTGGGAAGCTTACGGATCTTGACCTCGAGGGTATTATCACTGCCTTGGACCCGCTTCTGACGAAAGATTCCATCGAGGGCATTGTGACGTTAATAGGCAATGCAGGGGATCTCCTATCACCCAGCTTTGTCAACCAGACCCAATCTCTTGTTAAAGACGTTTCGCCTTTGCTCAGCGAGCTCTCACCCTTGCTCAAGAAGATTACAGGCCTCGACCTTGAGGGTATTCTCAGCGCCTTGGATCCTTTGCTCAAGAAGGACTCGATCGAGGGCATCGTGACCTTGATCAGTAACGCAGGGGATCTACTGTCGCCCAGTTTCGTCAATCAGACCCAATCTCTTGTGAAGGAGGTTTCACCCTTGCTCAGCGAGCTCTCTCCCTTGCTCAAGAAGATCACGGATCTTGACCTTGAAGGCATCATTAGCGCCTTAGATCCTTTACTCAAGAAAGACTCGATTGAGAGTATTGTAGCGTTGGTCGGTAACGCAGTTGACCTACTGTCACCGACTTTTGTCAACCAAACCCAAACGCTCGTGAAGGACGTTTCGCCTCTCCTAAGCAAATTATCACCTCTGATTGAGAAGGTCACGAATCTTGATCTCGAGGGTATCATTGATGCTTTGGACCCACTCCTCAAGAAAGAGTCGATTGAGGAAATTGTATCGCTGGTCGGCAACGCAGGTGATCTACTGTCGCCCAAATTTGTCAATCAGACTCAATCTCTCATTGGAGGCATCGGCCCAGTGCTTGATGAGCTCATGCCATTCCTTAAAGAGCTCACCAAGTTGGATCTCCAGGACGTCCTAGAAGCGCTTCAACCGTTACTCAAAAAGGACTCTATTAATGGGATCGTGGTCCTACTGAAGAATGCGGGAGATCTCTTGACACCAAAGTTTGTGAATCAAACGCAAGACCTCATCGCCGGTGCATCACCCTTGATTTCCAAACTATCAGACATCGATCTCAAAGGATTGTTGGATTCCCTGGCTCCAATACTCACCAAGGAGTCTATACAAGGCATCGCTGAGTTGTTGGAGAACGCGGAACTGCTCTTGACGAAGGACTCCGTCAAGAGTCTGAAGACGCTTATTTCGACCGCGTCGCCCTTGATTGAGAAATTGTCCGACATTGATCTCAAGGGAGTTCTAGATGCCTTGAGCCCGATTCTCACCAAGGAGTCTATTCAAGACATCATGGGACTCTTACAGAATGCTGAGTCTCTCCTTACCAAAGAAACCGTCAAGAGCATAAAAACCCTGCTCTCGAGTGCCAGTCCGCTCATTGATAGTCTTTCAAAAATTGATCTTCAAGGAGTCCTGACCGCCTTCGCTCCTCTACTTACCAAGGACTCTGTCCAAGGTATTGTCGGATTGTTGGAGAATGCCGAGTCGCTATTGACTAAAGATACCGTCAAGAGCATCAAATCTCTTCTTTCAAGTGCCGGCCCTCTACTTGACGGTCTTTCGAATATTGATCTCGCAGGAGTGTTTAGCGCTCTAGCTCCGCTACTTACCAAAGACTCTATTCAGGGTCTTGTCGGACTGCTGAGCAATGCAGAGTCACTGTTGACCAAGGACACTGTCAAGAGCATCAAGTCGCTTCTTTCGAGCGCCGGCCCTCTCCTTGATGGCCTTTCGAATATTGATCTTGAGGGAGTGTTGAACGCTCTCGCTCCATTACTTACCAAGAGCTCTATTGAGGGTCTTGTCGGACTGTTAGGCAATACTGAGTCGCTTTTGACCGAGGAAACCGTAAAGAGCATCAAGTTGCTTCTTACGAGCGCCAGCCCGTTGCTTAATACCTTGTCCAAGATCGACCTTCAAGGAGTGCTTGACTCGTTGGCACCTCTCCTCACCAAGGAATCCATCGGAGGGTTGGTCGGATTGCTCGGCAATGCTGAGAACCTCTTGTCGAAAACCTTTGTCTCTCAGACAAAATCTCTCATCTCCAAGGCTTCTCCCCTCCTGGACAGCCTTGACAAGGCCGACCTTGCAGGCCTGCTTGACCAGATCTCCCCACTGTTGAAGGAGATCGGCAAGCTTGATCTAGAGAGCTTGCTCAGTGCTGTCCGTCCTTTACTCACCTCGGACTCCATCAAGGGCATCATGAGACTACTGGGCAATGCAGAGGAGTTGCTGACGACCAAATTCGTCAATGAAACCCAGACACTGATCACTGGTGCCGTTCCATTGGTGTCCGCCTTGGGCGAGGTCGACCTTCCTGATCTGATCAATCTACTATCTCCTCTGCTGAAGGAGATCAGCAAGATCGACCTCGTGAAACTCATTAAGAAGCTTTCCCCGCTGCTTGATGAAATTAGCGACCTTGACATCAAGGGTCTGTTTGATGCCATATCCCCCCTGCTCTCACCGGATGGTGTAAAGGGCATCATGGGACTGCTCGGGAACGCGGAAGATCTTCTCACTACCAAATTTGTGAACCAAACACAGACCCTGATTGAAGAAGCTCTTCCACTGGTGTCGGCGCTTGGCGAGATCGACTTGAAGAGTCTGATACGTCAGCTGCAACCCCTTCTCGAGGCTCTGGGAGAGATTGACTTCAAGGACTTGATCAATAAGGTCAAGCCACTCCTGAATGCACTCCTGAAAATCGATCTCGCAGGTCTGGTCGAGAAGATTCTTCCAATTCTGGACGAGTTGGATAATATAGATCTCAAAGCCCTATTCGACGTACTAGAACCCTATTTGACCCCGGATTACCTGAAAGGTATATTCCAACTGGTTGGAAATGCTGAGAACCTTCTTACAAACACCTTCGTCAAACAAACTCACACGCTTGTGGGAGGTGCCGTACCGCTGATCGCAGTTCTGAGCAAGATCGACATTGAGGGCTTGTTCAAGATTATTGAACCGCTACTGAAGGAGCTGGAAGGAATCGACCTGTCTGGGCTTGTTGATGCGGTCAAGCCCCTTCTTGCGGCTCTCAAGAAGATTGATATCAAGGGCATAGTGGACCAAGTCTTGCCATTGATTACACCGGCCAGTGTCAAGGGCATCTTGTCACTTCTTGGCAATGCTGAATCTCTCTTAAGTCGGGTTTTTATATCGCAAGTTTCGGAACTAATTGGTGATGCGACACCGGTAAGTGCACCATCCATTGACTTCTCGAGACTTAGTTCCTAACATTATTGTAGCTCGTTGCGACAGTCGCAGATCTTGTCCACGCGGTATTGAAGGAGTTGATCGGGAAATCTTAAAATGGGCTCTATGTAGGGTTCGTGCGCGTGAAATGGTGTCATGGTGTGTTTAACAAAGCGTAAGGTTGGGAGCGTGCTTGGATAATGCAGTAATTATGATGAATACGAAGTCTTTTGGCGTCACTACGATTTTGAGTAAATCCACCCTATTATACTAATTAATCACATTTATGATTTATTGACATGCTTGTCAAATTCCATCTTAACGATCTAGAACGAATTATTGACTCAAAATTGCAGTACATGTAATTCACCTAAAGCTTCAGTTGATCCAAGTCGCTCTTTCTCCTTCGTCGTTACTTCTTCACGGTTTGTTACAAGTCAGTAAATAGTGGGGATGAATTTAAACCGAAGAATACATTAAAAAGGCAGGTAATAAGTATTACTCTTTGTCGGAAAACCGGCTACATTTCTGCTCATTTGGTCTTCATTCTGAATCCCAATCTCAAAGCATTCCACATTAACGATCTTCCCGTTCTTGCTCTCTTCGTCTTGGATTTTGTGCTCGATCCACTCCCTCCTTGTCCATCATCTTCCCAATGGTCAAGTAAATTCTCAAACAAGGTAGAGTTTCCAATCGCTCCGCCGACTAGCTCAAGCAAGTTACTTCCACCAGCGCCTAGCAAACCACCAACAACATCACTCAATATGGTAATGACAGGGATCGTAAATTTAATGTGCTTGCGGTTGAGAACATCCTCGATGTATTTGATGTGTTCTCCGTTATAAGTCGTGGCATTCCCCGTTGCGTTGAACTCGATGTTTCCTTGGCCGAGAGCTTCTTTTTGGCTGTCGAGGATGGAAGCGAGGTTAGGTACAAGCTCCTGGAAGAAAAACTGGCCATCGAAGGGTACTGAATTATTCCCTGGCTTGAGTTGAACGTCGTATATATTAACCAAGCCAAGTCTCGTTTTCCCAGACATCAAGTTGTAGGTCATGTTACCGAGTCCAAGTGTCAGCACGCCGGAATTAGGTATGTTGAGAAATCCTTTCATGTTGTAAACGGTTTCGTTGGACTGTAAATTGAAATTCAAGGTGTTGACACCAAAGCCGTCAAGGTAGTTCAGAGACGGAATCTCAATCGTTTTATCGAAGTCGGGCTTGTATGCTAGCGAACTAAGTCGAACCTCTGGATGACCCTGAAGGGACAGCTTGACTTTCGGCTGGTCGAAGAACTGATTAAACCAGGTGATCAACTCAGTCTCGTTTGTCACCAAGACGGTCTGGTTGGTGACAATGACATCCGTTCGATGGTGGATGTGCAGTGTTGGTAAATGCAGCTTGAAGAATGACGAAAACGGCTTCGTGTTTTTGTTGAACAAGTAGAGGTCCACTGGTTTAATTTTGACTCCCAGCGGTGTATTCAGCGAGGTAGCCAGACTCATGTTGAGATGGGTTGGTGAAAGTATTTGGAGGGCGCCGCCGTTTATTGGAAGACTCTGGCCATTGAGAATATTCTGAATGATTACTGGGATGATGACCTTGAAGCTATTGTTGATCGAGGTCAGTAATAATTCTTCTCTGTTGCGTTTTACTACTCACAATATCGGTAGCAGAATTGCGAGCAAAATGATTAATCCAAGCAAATACCACCATTTGAATCGTGCAAAATGCTGAGTGATCTTCTGGTTCTTGGTTGGGACTGCAGCTGCCTCTTTGTCGCGCACATGGTCATCGGAGGGAGCGTTGTCGCTCCCAATCTGGGAGCCGGGAGCATTCTCTCCATTGTCAGCCCTCTCCTCGTGCACGGAATTCCTCCCAGACTGCTGGTCGACATTAGTCGAGGCCATGACAGACAGATCTTGCAGAAGGACCACAGGCAAGTCAAAGATTCTGGCTCCGAGAGGCCCAAATTAACGATGGTGCCGGAGCTCGCTACCTACGCAGATACAGGCCTACTCCTCATATACCGTTACCAGGCCAATGCTTTGTTGGGCATAGCTCGCACTCCGCCATTGATAAACCAGTTTTCAGGCTCTTCTTCTCCAACGCGGGGTAAATGATGGTAATCAGGCGCTAACTGCAAATAGTGTCGATCACATCCCGCTAACAATGCTGATCCATGTAACGCTGGAGTAGTCGGCAAAAAGCGCACACATGACAACCACGCCGCAAGCCACCCACGAAGGATTGAAGCCGAGGGTCAATCTAAGTGAGATTAGCGTAAGAGGTGAACAGGGTTAGGGGAGGGTGCTCGCTCCCGCGAGAGTAGTCTAGCTTGCGAGGTTCGTGTGATGGTTTGGTGGTCCAGACAGCTCAACTTGAAACCTCCCTCATTTGCGTAGACAAACCTTATAGATCTACGAAAGTCCGAGCCCATTAAGTACACGCTTAGACCCTGTTACCTCGGATGTTTAGCGAAGGGAGCATGTGCCGAGGAATGATGAGCCGTTCTCGTGTATCATAATGCAATGGCCCAGGGTAATGAGCAAATAGGTGAGTGCACATGATTCGGCCACAACCAACTACGCCAACATCTCGACAATCAGAACTGCCAAGAGGGGACGAAACGAGGTCTCTACGGAGTGAGTTTTGCGAGAGAGAAAAACATGTGCACCTATGGCTGTGTGAGAGGTAGCGTGACTGGCAGCTCTGCACATAGCTACCCTACACAATGCTACACGAAGTTTCAGTCTTTCTAGTCGTGATTCAGTATTAGCATATCCCGATATTAAATGCTCTAGTTAACATATCCCTGTTTGAATGTGTGCAGTGTTGCATGTAGGAGCCAGAATTGCTGTCTCGCAAGCGTGTAGACGTTATGCTGAACAATTATCATTATGTTTAACCAAGCTTGTGGTCACCTTTTTCGATACTGTTCTAACCATTCCTTAGACGGTTAGTGACATCAAACTCCAGATTCAGCTAGTCAAGGGCTGGGAGGGCCTCGCCATTCACAGCTAAACCACTCACTGTTCAATAACATACATGCTTCGTGAGTAGACATCATTTTCGTCCCCTAAAGTACAAGTTAGCATACAAGAGTCTTAGGTTCATTCTTAATGCAATATCAGCGGCTGATAGGAGATTCTCAAGAAAGTATTATATGTAAGGAGTAAACCCAGGTACAACCTTGTGGTGCTACACAAACCGCGTCTCATATTTCTTGGTTCTTCGGTGTGAGGCGGACGATAATTAATTTACCGTTAGTACTATAACATGAAAATACTGTTGGCTGTTGCTGATAGATATGATGTGCTATCGTAAGCCAAGGAAAATCACTGCTGATAGCCATGTCACTCGGAACTCCATCCTTTGGGCACCTGGGAAATTTCCTATTTCATAAACTCAAACCAATCGTGGCACCCCCGGTTCTGAATATCCATTGGTACGCAGGCACGGTATACAAGAATTTGAGTAGGCTACTGCAAAACATAGCGTCACCGAGGAAACATTCGTGCCTTGGACAGAAGCTCCCCTCGGGCCCACTAATACTGAATTGAGAGATAAAATATGGCGTTCCCGAGGAACACCTGGACCTAGGATTTGAGAGTTATTAGACTTTGGCTTTGCGAAGTAGAGATACGAAAATCGCGTATTCGGGCCGTGGCTCCTAACCCGAGGTTATAGAAATTGCTTGGACAATTTAGGCAACACACTACGTATAACCAACAAATACTCATATCCCATATGCTTGAGTCTGCAGAATATCCAATCACTCCGAACCTGACCGAGGTAGCTCAGATAGCTGGTACTGCATAAGCTAGGGATTCTGAAGTACATATGTGGGATCTTTATCGGTGAAGCAGTCTCAATCTAACTCTACAACATCTCAGAAAACATACAGGACAATCCAAGATGCCGGGCACATATTCACTTCCAGCAACCGCTGTATGGTTCAGTGAGTCAACCACTTTTCTCTTGACATCGAGATGCCAAATCTCCCTGGTATTGATAATATCTCTAGTAACCGGAGGGTCTAGGGGTATTGGCAAAGCTTTTGCCACGTACATCAACGACGATGAATCGTACCGCCTTGTTGCAGCCGCACGAACTCTTACTGATTTGGACTACCTTCCCAATGCACCCAATGTCCTCAAGATTGTCCTCGATATCTCATCATCGGATTCGATAAAGAGCGCAATTGCGAATGCACTTACGACATTTGGGCGTATCGACGTTGTTGTAAACAACGCGGGTTATACCTTGTTTGGCGACTTCGAGGCCATATCAAACGAGCAGGCTCGTCAACAATTCGAGACCAATTTCTGGGGTGCCGTAGACCTGGCCCGAGAGGCTGTCCGAGTTATGCGAGAAGAAAACCCGAAGACAGGGCAGATTGGTGGCCTTTTTTGCCAAATGAGCGCCGTGAGTGGTCGCGTTGCGTTCCCGGGGGGAGTATTTTACTTCGCCAGGTAAATAATCTCTCAGTTCACTCTCCTATAGTCCTTGGATGATATGCTTACGGAATTGCTATTTGCAGTCGGTTTGCCTGGGAAGGCTTCACGGAAAGCCTGTCGAAGGAACTTCCTCCAGAGTGGAACATAAACCTCATGACGGTTCACCCGGCTGCTGTGAAGACGGACTATTTGAAGAAGAGCATCGTGGTAGCCGAACGACATCCACATTATGTGAACGCTAACTCAGGCACGAATTCGATGCTATCGACGATAGCAAAGCATCACGAACTTGACAGCTTCGGTGGTCCTGAACAGCTGGTTGAAGTAGTCGGCGAGGTCATTAAGAAAGGTGGCGGTGGCCACGGTATTCCACGACAGCTAGCTGGCGGACCGGACAGCTGGACCGTAACTGACAAAGCACTCGAAAAGGAGAAAAGGGTTCACCAGGAGTTCAAATCGGCTGCTTTCCGAATGGCGCCTCAAGACCAGCGGGCACCTCACCTCGAAGCTTTTATCTGAAAAAGGTCTTACAAGGGCTCACAGTTTGATCTAGCCGCACACTGCAGACATTCAAGATTGACCGGGGATATTTGTTTACTGTTTATTCATCTTTAACATTCACTCGCTTGGCACTGAGGGTTTATTATTAGTTGTGTTTTGCGTTATATTAAGTAACTCTGAACTTAAGAACTAAAAAAAAACAAGTGTTTCAGGCGTACTTTTGTTGTGAATTCTGATGTCTTGTTACTATCCTAGGTACTCTCCACAGCAAGCAGCACAAGAACTTTTTATTATCTAGAAGAACCGAGTTCAAAATACCCTACTATTCTACAGAAGAAATGAAGCTAAGAGAAACTCACACTAAAGATCCATTCAGACAATACTGGGTTATTTTGATGTCTTCATACGCAAGATCTGCCGGTTCGGCTCCAGAATTTCCTGTTTCTTCCATATGTATCAAATATATACATAGCTCAACACCCTTTGCTTGGAGAAAAACATTCAATATGTTATACAGACTTCCATGACTTGCGACTCTTGAGACAGCATCTCTGTTGCTCGCTCCCATTTTGGCAGGCTTTAGATTGTACACAGAGAGCTCATAGCTGCGCCACAACGTGATCACTATATCAGGTAATGAAGCCGAGGCCATCAGCTATTCCAAACTCTATTCATAGCCGAGGGGTGTTTACCCTCGCCCCGAGCTGGACACGGCAGCAAGCATGTATTTCCGCCTCCTCATGTCACGATCGCCACCGGCATCTCCGGAACCTCACCCAATACTCCCAAGGCCCCGGGTACGGCCAAGTTTGAGAGGAACGGCGGTAACATGGTCCACTCATTCCACCATTAGTTAGATACCAAGTAGGTATGAAAGCGATGCATCATTGTAGGTGCCGAAACCTCGGCAAACGACCTGCCTATGAGCTGTATCAAGGTGGTTGCCAAGACACTATAATACAACGCAGTTCAACGCACATCACTGCCGATGGAGAAGAGCATAAAAGGGTGAGAGAGGACTACCACAACGCAAGATTATTATTTTTTCTCCTCATCCTGTTTTGTGAATCTGTTAGATACGCAAACACGCGGGACAATCACGGATATTGAGCCCTAAAACCGCAGCCAGACGCAAAGAAAAAAGTCTCATAATGGCCGACCTCGCCGCCCGCGTCCAACGCCTGGAAGCCATCGAGGATCTCCGTCGATTGAAGTTCGACTACACCTGGCACCTCGATAACAAAAACTGGGCGGCCTTCACCGAGTGCTTCACCAAGGACTTCGTCTTCCAGGGAACGGGGCGAACACTGCCTCTCAATGAGTTCATCTCCACTGTTCGCGGCTCTCTGGAGCCTTTAGAAACCACCCACGATCTCCACCAGCACCAGTTCGACTTCGAGGGGCCGGACCGCGCGAGGGGCATCTGGCGACTGCGTGACCACCTGGTCTCGCCGGACCGGCGCAGCCAGTTCCGAGGCCGCGCCGTCTACGAGGAGACCTACGTCCGGACGGAGCACGGCTGGCGCATCGCTGCTACCACCCTGCGCTATCTCAGCTCAGAGGGCTCGGTGGGCATCGGCCACGGCGACGCCGGTGCGGCGATGGGCCTGGTTATGAGCGGCGTGTCCTGATGTCGCAGCGAAGGTGTTGTTAATAGACCAATATAGTTGTACAGACACAAGAGCCTCCTTTGAGTTTGTTGCACTTTGTTGTCCCTTCTTGGTGGAAATATCTCTGTCTTTCTCTGTACGGTAGTGTTTTAGTACGAACATTGATGAATAACGCTAGTGACCGTCAGTCTGGTGCTCTTAATAGACTTTACTGCGTGTTATGTACCTAGATTCCATGGTATGATTTTGCCGATAATATAGGATTCAGTGCCAATATGCGGCCAATATGGGGCTTAAGAATTCCAGCAAGAACCAACAGATGGAACGTCCGAGCGCAGAGATTAGAAAATTAGCAGAAAACAAAAGACTCGTGGAGATCTAAACAAGGCAAGTAAAATGATTTAGGTTGCCTATACCAATAGGCTTACAGGGAGGCTATAGCATTCATTTCAACTGTGGATGTCATAAGAGAAAGCACGTTGAATATATTGAGACGACGTGTGCTACATCCTGGCAGTCATTTCCACCCACTACTCCTTCCGGATGTAAATCTCCAGATGTCCAAATTTATCCTCCTGAGCGAAAGGAAACAGAACATACTCGTTCTGAACCATGCTGCGAACACGCGGCGAATCGGGATTGGTACCATAGGGACTATCAGATGATTAGTTCAATCAACCTTGGACTTGGTATGCCTACCTCAACCATGACTCCCCGAATCCTGGTCTGGATGGTCTTTTCGTCCAGACTCTTCTCTCTTCTTCCACAGACTCGACGTTGTCCCAGACCATGATAGCGGGCCTCGCCAAATCGACAACAATTTGCTTGACAGGGACGTTTGGCGCGACCGAGAAAACCACAGTAGAGTTGTCGACCTCCAGGAAGCCTTGCACCCCTGTAAGAATGGTGATGTCGTGAGGGCCAAGAACCTGCTCGCATATACGCGTGTAAGCAGGTTCTTGCGAATAGATTTGCACCGTACACCCTGTTCTTTCTTTGATGGCGTGGGCCATCGTCAAGGCCGCAGCATGCTGGGTGTGGACTCGCTGAGACCGGTCGTTCAGTGGTGTCAAGGGTCCGAGGCCAAAACAAACGATCTTGGTGATGCTTTTTGGGAGTGGCCCAGAAGCAAGGGTGTGTTTGAGAATACGGCAGGGCTCGCTACTCTCCCATTCCTGCTTGTACTTTATGAACGCTTCGCTTGTCTCTTCAACACTGTTCAGTTCCTGATCGTCGGACCTGCGGTGGCTGATGTGAAGAGGGCAATAAGCGACGCTTCGCGAGTATGGCCATTCTGGAGGTCTGCTGACGAGCGCTTCGATCGATGAAAAGCTAATGAAGGGTGGATCCCTAGGTTGTGGACTTCCAGTTAGCCATTTCCGATCGAATCAGACTTTGGGAGATTCTCACCACATGGCACCTTTCTCTTCCTGGGACGCTCTGGGCAAAAAAGTTCCGTTCTGGGCGTACTCAACACCATCGATTCCCGTGACTGTCACTGTTTTCAACCGGCGGGCTATCTGTTGATCAAGGTGCCTCAACTGGGCTGCGGTGAACAAGGGCACACCGTCATTGTACAGCCTCCAGACATCTGCGATAACCCGGGCTCTCTCTTCGTCTTTGAGCCATTCGTAGTGAGAATCGTCGTGAGCACTGGGGCTGCGTTCATCCTCACTGAGTGAAGTCTGTGGGCTTCCCACGCCTGCCCCGCACTGCAAATGTGCGGGTGGCACAGTGTCGTCCAGGCTCGAAGTGTCTGCCATTGCAATCAATCTGAAGATGTCTTGTGTAGGATGTCTGGAGCTCGATGTTGTACTTGGGCTTACGAACGGAGATATATAGCCCAACCTGGTGCGGGGTAAGGTTTCACATCGACGTGACCTGTTGCAGCCTACGAGGGCCAACAGCAATGGAATTGTTGGAAGTGTAACCAATAAGACTACCGTCAGCGTGCATCTCATATTACACAATGAAGGCAAGACGAGATTACATAACTGAGTTGAAGTAGAGTGATAATCCTGCCTTTTTATGTTTCTAACGGAAGTTTAAACCGTCTCCCCATGCGGATATTGCTTACACGGGGCGTCGTTGATTGGGAACATATTCACTAGTTGGGGGAGGGGAATAACGGTACTACAAACCATGTATGAGTCACGCGTACGTACGTAATGACTCTATTAATTAATATAACGTGTGCATGTATCAAGAAATGGTCGTGGTTTATCGTGTCAGTTTGCAAACAGGTACATACAGTCACATCCGCCAACGCTGCTTGCTTCACATACAAACTCTGAGATGTTCAAGCTACTAATCTCATCTCGGAAAAGTATGCTGCAGTTCTACGCAACCAAGTTATATTAATTTTGCAGGTTGCCAAGACATATTTCATCTATAAGCCTCTATGACTGTGACACGCATATGGAATGTTGAAGATGAGAATCATCCTCCTGGAGTGATGTGACTTCAAGGTAGCATCAATTTCATTTTGAAAGCAAAGTGGAGCGCTTCAGCACTGACATGGGACATCGTCTGAAATCGCCGCTGTTAGCATGTTCTATTCATTGGGAGGAAGAGTCAGTTGGTTTTTTTTAAGTAAATAACATCCATGTAATACTCTCACAATCTATGCGGGTCACTGCAAGACCAGTCTGATCCGTTCGGCTTGAATTATGGCAAAGTTATTCAACAATTTTAAGTGACAGTTGAGTATTGACAGACGGTCATGTGGTCTTTTATTAATACAAGTTCAATCTTAAATAAACCGTCCAGCACATTCAAGTATCGTGACTAGGCACGACACTTTCTCCTCGTGGTGGTGCTTGCAGAGGGAGCTGCAGGTGTCTGGCTTGCCGGCGCTTCCGAGGTCACGACTACCGAAGAGACGAAGCTTGCCGGAGTTTCCGAGATTGGCACAATTACTGAAAATGCTGAGGTTGCTGGGATGACGGAGGTTGTCAAGGTTACCGGAGCAACCGACTTTTCCGAGCTTGAGGGGACTTCCGAGGCTGCCGAGGTCGTGGGGATCACCGTAGTCGCGGGGATTATCGTGGTCGCCGGAATTTCTGAGATCGCTGAGGTCGCCGAGGTTGCTGCGACTGCGGAACTTGCAGAGCTTGTAGAATCGGACGAGCCAGATGAACTAAGAGCATGTCAGTATCTAGAACTGAGTACTGAATCTGATTGTTAGGATATGGGCATGGATGAGTGATCCATCCGCTTCAGATATGGTCATGAATGCCAACAAAGACAACAGTACAACTTACTCGACAGAGATGGTATAGGCGGTGGTATCAAAGACAGCATCAGAGCCTAATACATGGTGAGTTTAATAAGCACCTGAGATTGTTACGGGGAGCTTACCAGTGAAAGGCTCGGTCCCAGCCTGGAGGCTAGTCGCATACATGCTCTCGCTGACGCCTTGGTTGGAGGTGAGATATGTGAAGAATTCGTTCAGATCTCCGTCAAAACTGGTAATATTGCTGGTTGCAACAAAGGAGAAGACGGTAGTATCTCCGTTGGGGCCGGTGTAGAGCTTCCAGTCAGACCCAGCAAGGGTAGGAGTATCAACAGGTGAGCCAGTACTCGAGATAGGTCCAGCACCACCATAAGCGCCAAGCCAGATCATAATCTCATATTTGTTGTCAGCAGTGGCGGATGGGGCGAGCCAGAGGTCATAGGCGACGTCAGCGACGATGTTGGAACCGGTGTAGCTATAACCAAATTAGTATTTTGGTAACACTCGCGAATGGAAAAAGGCCATTGAAGAGATGGTGGCATGAGGAATAACTAAAAAGATTCACAGTAGCAGCTTACCTCCAGGTCCACGTAGATGGAATCGAGCTTATAGCAGACAGCTGGGTGTTGACATCTTCAAGAGCGACATTCGAGTACGACTTAACAGAGCTCGAGCCTCCAGCCCAGCTCCAGGAAGTAGACCAGGAAACGGAGCCTGAGGTAATCGAATCAAAGGTAGTGCACTGAGAGCCAGAGGTTGCCTGCGCAGCACCCCAGTTGTTGTGATAGACAGTAAAGCCGCCGGTTTCGAGAGAGCCCCAGGTATCGCACATGGTAGTGGCACGTTTTTCGAGGACTCGAGTGGGAGAAGCCGCTGCCACAGTGGCCAGCACCGCTGGGATGAGAAACGAGAGCTGCATGGTGACGCGAAGAAGGGTTGTTTTCGAGTGCAATAAACGAGTGATGCACGAGGGATGGTAAAGGAAAGTAGACCAAACTCGACCAGCGAGTAAAACAAGATGATTCGACTGACAATGAGAGAGATTTACGGGATAGATCAGAAGTGGGAGCAGATATGCTGGCTTTGTATATATAGTGGGCATCCTTCATCCCTGACGGACACGGCTAGAAGCAGGGGATCTTCCTCCAAGTACCAGCACGTTCCCAAATCGGGTCTGTCACAGTCTCCTATCCCCTGTCCTGACTTTCATCTAATGTCCCCAGCTGACGACGTCCGGATCGCTGGGTCTTTTTGTGGAGAATATGGTTCATCAATCCGCCCACAATTGCGTGGAAACCTGCCGAGATCCGGATTTTCCACCAATTGAACCCGGCACCTCCTGATTGTCAAACAAGAGCCTCCCAGCGCAATATCGGTTTGGCCACCTTCATGGATAAGTCGGCACACAAGTAGCGCGATGCCTACTGGAGGGCTGTTGAAAGAGGTCATTTTTGTCTTTGGTAAATGGGAATGCAGGTCAGCTCCCCTGTCGTCCTGATCAGGCTGGGGATCGAGGGTGCAGGGTTCTTGTGAAGATTTCATTCGACAAGTACAGAGAGCTGGCATGGGCAAGACAAGAGATGAAAAGTTATGTCTGAATGATGACCGGATCATGGATAAACTGATAAACTGTCATGGAATTACTTTTTCTATGTGGCAGATGAACCAACTTAGAGATTCCAATCTAAACTTACCTGGTATTGACACCTGACAGCGCGCCATAATCCCGTAGCAAGTTCGTCGAGGCCATCTAGTGCTATCCATCCATAAATTTCCAGATTGTAGATAGAAGCAAGGGCAAGATCCACAGCTTGATTTTCTGGTAGCTTTACTAAAAATCCCGCGTGCTGACTGGGATCATACGCCATGCAGCTGGGACAAATATCGTGGCTGGATAAGACCTTGCCCCCCTGTTACATATTAGAAATAATTGAACAAGGTTGGAAACTGGCTCTTGTGTTCATCTTTAACCTGACGGGGAAATCGCACCTCAACTTGACACCCACATCTACTTCAACTGCCACCTCGTGGATAATAGCGCACCAAGTCTCCACTGCTCGATAAACAAACGCGTTCTCCACAGACTACAATGACTTTAAGCCTAGCCTAGCCGTCATTACGGCTAAACCCCGCTGACTCTAGCGTAAATTAAGGCTTTAGCTTACCGCCGAGATCGGGACGGAGCCTCTAAACGTAACTGTTCAATGCGCCGTATTATACTCAGCCAGGCTGTGAGGGTCAACGTGTCACGACTTCTTCCAGTCAACACTCTTTCACTCAACGCTCGATTTGTGAGACGCATATCCAACATGGCGCCTACTCTTGAACACGCCCATCCCCCAAACACGTGCCAGTATCCGGCGCACACGAAGAGAGGAGACTACCTTATTCAGGTGGCATGGCCTCTATGCTGGGGCGCAGACCGAATTCCACAAGAAAATGACGCTGAGGGCGTCTCCACCCTGTGAGCAAAACACCTCACGCGACAACAAGAAGACAGTATCTAACCGCAGTGTTCTTTGTTTAGCTATGTTATGGATGGAAATGCATACTTCTTCACAGCAGTAGACGTCAGCCGCCGCCTGGAATTCACCAATAGCTCCAGGACTGTAGTTGTGGGCATCGGTACCCTCCCGGGAAATACGTCTACGACTTCCGCAGAGGACCGGATCTCACTCCTCCAACTGCAGATGGAAAATACGACATGCCGCTTGACAGGGATGGAAACCCTCGGACTGATCTCGCATTTGGCGAAGCTGACGACTTTCTTGACTTTGTCCAGCACGACGTCATGACGTACGTTGAGAAGACGCTATTCCCACACGTCCCTCTTAGTACCAGCCGCAGAGCTCTTTTCGGGCATTCCTACGGCGGAATATTCGCCTTGAACGCACTGTACACCAGGCCGACGCTATTTGACACCTTTATTGCCGCAAGTCCCGATATTGACTGGAACCTGTCCTCCATGGTCAGGGAGCAGGAAGCAGCTTTTCGTGGGCGCGAGCACCCGGTCAACCCGCCCCCGGCTCTCGTGCTTACGTGGGGAACCGGCCAGCAAGATCTGGTAAAGGGGCAAGATGAGTCTGATGAATCATTTGGGAAAAGGCTCGAGTGTGCCGAGAGTAAGACTATGAGAGACAGTGCCAACGCCTTGGTGGAACGCTTGAACGCCTGCCCAAGCGTGCGCACCGTATCAACGTGGGAGTTTGTAGGGGAGGATCATGGAAGTGCTGCAGTGACAGGAGTCCAACATGGAATCCTAAAGTTCTTGGTTGACAAGATTTAAATGAGGACGGATTAGTGACGCCATGGACATAGACTAAACCGGTTGACAATGACAAACACAAGGCTAATGAGGACTCTTACTATTACTCTGTCTTGGAATACAGCTATTGCTGATACCGCCATGCAGTAGTTGCAAATGATAGGAACTCACATTTGGCACTACGGCCAAGACCAGTAACTTGACACTAAGCCTGTTGCACATTGATCTTTACCTTCGGCTTTTAATTCAACCCTTCGGTTTTCGACCTTGTGAACTACACACAATAACCGCGCCGTTTGTAGATTATGATTTCCTATATTTCCCACATCCCCTCAATCTATACTTCATTAGAAACTGCAGCCAGGCTCTAAAAATAGACAGCCAATAGAGCAAGTGTTGGCATTGTCAGCCTCACTTTCGCGGTTTCAGCCTATTTGGCGCCCGACACCTCACTTTCAAGCCACGGGTGAAGGCAGCGATTGTCGGCTACCGTTATTAAAAGGTTGAAATTACGTCCGAACAATAAACATTACGGAACCAGGCGTCAGATACGGTGATTGTTTGTACAAATTACCCGCCCAGGTCTAATTTTGGGGCCATAATTTCTTATTACTTGCATTTGTATCACTTCGTGGCGCTATAGCGCTGCACCTTCGCGCTGCAGGGTTCCGAGAAGGATCAGGCTGTGGGAGTCAGCAGATTAAATGACGCGCCCTTTCCGTTCGACCATTTGTAAACTCTTTCCCTCAGCTCTTTATCTCGCGTCGTCCTATTTGCCTTGTCCGCAACAGCCAGGATCATGTCGAATCCCAGTGAAGATACTATCAAGGAACCGGAACAAGACGTGCAGCTACGTTCCCAGCAAGTCCCCACGCAATCAAGCAAGACTCCAGCCCTGAAAGATAAACCGAGGAGATTCCTGTCGCCCATCAGGTCAAAAGTCTCACTGCCTTCGATCGCTGACCGATTTCGCATTCTCCTCCGAACTCTCAGTCTCTCAGCATCCACTTTCCGCCGCAGTAGGAACGATGAACGACCGAAAGTCCTATTACAATCATCACCATGGCTTGCCCTGGCTCGCTGCACAGTTCACCTTACTCCCGCCTTTGTATCAATTTCATTAGTCGCCATCAACCTGGTTGGACTTTTTCTGGGATCCGAGTTACAAGGCCCTGAGAACCAAGACGACCTGAAGATGGGACTGTTACAGATTGCTGCCAAAGTTCAGGTACGTTTGTGATCGGCCAAGTCACGAGAAGGACAATAGACTGATTGCTAGGGATTAGGAACTTCTCGTGGTAGCAAGCGTCGGAGCCGTCATCTTCCACATCGTTCGAAGCGAGCTTGTGTTTGGTGAGGGCGTTCCCCTCGGCCTTCTTGTCTCGGGCTGGAATTTTTCACAATTACAGTGAGGTTTGATGAATTAGTGCGCGAGAATTGAAGACTAACTAAACCTTACAGGTATTTGTGGTCAGCCGAGTTTCTCGGAGGTTCAAGATGCAACACGACCATGACTCGAAAGGAGCGGTGGAAGAGACGTGGAATTTGCCTCTTCATTGCAATGGGCGGCGCATTAGCCCTCTTAGCTGGTCCTGCGGCTGCCTTGCTCATGATACCTAGGCAAATGGATTGGCCGGTTGGTGGAGGCATCTATTGGCTCAACGGTATGAGGCGTGGTTCCTTGAATGCAATTCACCAGCTGACAGGATTGAATAGGGAGCGACGAACAGCTTTGGCCTACTAACTTGGACGCTGACTTCTACTCCGATGCGAACTGCTCTCACGAAGCTCTGTTCAATGATAATAGGTGTCCCGGGGCTGGATTCGCGTCGCTTCACCAATACTTCTCGACCTGGTGGAACCATCTCAACACAGGGTTTTCCTTCGAACTGCGAGACTGGAGGATAAGGAAGATGATTTACGCAAGGCCAGCCCTTCGTGCGGAAGCAAATACCTGGGCCTTTACAGCGCATGCAGCAACTGCAACCCTTCAAGACGCTATGCGAGGCCTACACAGGGACGCACTCGGATTTCTCTACAACATCCACCCTCAGACGTCTCCTTATCCAGAGTATCTCATGTGGGCGGATCCGATCCGATTTCAGGTCGAGACCAAGGTTCCCGCAGTCCGAGTCTTCTGTCAGCCCAAGGGGAATGTCTGGCTATGGGGCGAGAACTTGACCGTCGAGTTTCCCAGCATTCACGAGTTTGACGAGTGGTGGGGGATACCATCCGAATATCCCGAGGAAAAGGCCTTGAAACTGCCGAAAATGAAGACTATCGATGTCTTGGAGTTTATCCAGGAGGACCTCGCCGGCAGAGGACTCCTTGAGAATAGCTCCTCCCTCCTCAACGGAGAGATTTTCCAGAACGGACGCAGGACACTCATTTTCCCTGTAGACACGGAATCTACCGGCAACTCGTTGGACTTGGTAGTCCTTCTAGGGAGATTTTGGAATAGCAGTGCTGAGATGCCACAGACGAATGTTTTGTCCTGCTCACTAGATGCACGATGGGTGAAAGCACATACCTTGATGGAGATGAGATCCAACAACCAGCTCAGTCATGAATATCACCTAGGAAGAGTGCAGAACTTGATTGAAACAAAATCCCACGATCTGGAGCGCACTCTGGGGTATGTCCGTTGGAAACCTCCTACGGACGGATCATGGCCGAGGATTCGACTCCGCCCAAGTTGGTACAAAATGCTAGCACCCATGCTACCAAATGAACCTCTCAACGGACTACCCTGGCTCACACAGCTCGGCTCCAATCAAACGACATTGGAGGCGTTATTCGACATGGTTTTCAACCCACTGGCGAGCAGCCACGAGGGATTTGAGACTGTGATAGCTGCAGCGGTGGTGGATGGCCTATCACGCTGTGGCCTCATTCCTAACTACAATGGGAGTAGATTTTTAGAGGCTTGGCCATTTACGGAGTGGAAGGTCGAGAGTGAAGCCTTGGCTAGGACAATGGTTCGACAAGGTGCTCCTAAAGAGAGCTTCCCAGCACCGCCGGATCTGAAACCAAATCTAACTCGAATGGTTATGAAGGCTACCTACAGGGGGTATGTCATGCAAGCAATGGGGTGGTTTGACTATCTATCCATTGTTGCTCTACTGTTCCATGCTGCGATTGCTTTCGTTCATACCTGTCTTTTGTTCTATTCCCGACCCTCCAGTGGTGCGTGGGATACCATTTTGGAGTTACTCACTCTGACACACCAGTCTGAGCCACCAATTCAGCCGCTTCTAGCCAATACGTCTGCCGGGGTAGCCTCGTTCAAAACGGTTAGGCTGGTTGCATATGTAGAAGCGCCGCATGGCAGACAAACAGGTGTTTCCGAGGATGATCTGCGGCCTGGGGGAGAGCTTCAGTTGAGATTGAGGTGTCCTGCGCAGCCCCGGAATCCTTTTCTCAAGCCGGATCGTATCGGGCAAGCTTATGGTACCAGTACGGATGTTGGAAGATCTGGAGCATGATATAATGAACAAGGCAATGGTAGGTAACATCACCGTTCCGGACGGGAACTATGAAAGCAAGTCATCAGCTCCCACACCTCTCGGGACGAGATATATCTCTATAATATTTTGGGATACAAATCTGGATAGACATGATCGTGATTATAAGTATGGAAATATCCGGTAAACCCATTAGGTCATGATGTATAGCATTCGCTAGCCATTCGTTGCTCATGCCCGTGAAGTCAACGAGACCAAGAATCGGGTCTTTGTGTTGGACGGACCTACCACCCCTACCTTAACCCTCATAAATACATCACAATAGAAAATAAGGAATCTCATGATAATAAAGGGCTGGTTCAAGTATTTAACTAGGCTCAATAAGAGGAAGAAGTACTCGTGCAATAGTAACTATACTCCTGCAAAATTAATTATACAATTTACATAAAAAGTGAATACCTTACTTGTTGATTCCCTTCAAAGCAGAGCTGATATAATCACTAATATCATTGTCTTTGCCACACTCAGTGCATTTGTGCATGACCTTGCCAGGACCGCCACCTCCGATTCCCGCAAACGATCCGGTCAGAGGAGACTGTTCAGTCCTGGTAAGCTCCTGAGGTCGGTGGGAGCCAAACGCAGCAGCGGCGGCGGCCCGGGCATCAGGGTGAGAGCCTTGAGGCAACGGATCGGTTTGTTTTTGGCCGAAAGATTCTCGCTCCAGCGGCTGGTTGTCCTGGTCTTGAGTAGTCTCCTGCTCAGGCTTACGAGAGCTGTAAGCAGCTGCAGCTCCCAGGCCGGCCGCGCCAAGGCCAGCAGCGGTGTAGGCTCCGCGATGAGAATCCTGCTCACGGTCCGCCTCATTGTCTCGAGTCTGGGTGAAAGGTTCCTGTTGGGGTGGGAAAGATGATTGGAAAGACGAGTCCTGTTGGGACTGGGTTAAAGGTGGCTGGGTTTGGCCGAGCTGATCGAGCGACTCGCCCTCGAACGGCTTATCAAACTTCTTTTCCTCAGGCTTACGGGAGCTGTAAGCAGCTGCACCAAGACCGGCGGCACCAAGGCCAGCAGCTGTATAAGCTCCAAGATGACTATCATCCTCACGATCCGCCTTGTCTTCTCGAGTCTGGGTGAGAGGATCCTGTTGAGACTGGCTCATAGGAGGCTGGGTCTGGCCGAGCTGCTCAAGAGACTCGTCCTCAAACGGCTTGTCAAATTTCTTCTCCTCGGGCCTGCGAGATTCGTCCGCAGCAACTGCACCTACGCCGGCGGCAGGCTTGTAGTCACGCTCCTGGTTTGTGTCGAGGGTGCTCTGAGTCTGACCGGGAACATCAGGCTGGCTGAAGTGCTGTTGCTCAGGAACATCCCGATGGCGAGTGGCCTCGTAAGCACCAGCTCCGAGACCTGCAGCACCGAGGCCGACAGCTGCCTTGGATCCTAGGCCATGGCCGCTGGAAGTATCAGTTTTTTGAGTACGGTCGGGAATGTTGGTCTGCTTAGGAATGTCCTCATCATCGTCAAGTTTCACCCCGGATGGAGTGCCCGAGGAAAGGACATTGTACTGGCCCTCGTTGGCATGCCTTGTCACAGGCTCCACAGGCGCGTTCGAGTTGTCAATCATTTGCTTCTCTTTGTTTCGGCCAGAATCGGTCGTAGATTCATGGGGACGGATAGTGTAATCCCCGAGAGAAGTGGGAGAAGTCATATCGGATGTCTGGCTGGTAGGCTGGAAGCCTCGAGCTGTGCTGTCATCAATCTTAGACTGTTCAGGTAAGTCATCGGAGCGTTTGTTGTGCTGAGAGGCCAGGAGACCTGCACCAACACCAGCTGCGCCTAAGCCACCAGCAGTATAGGCACCCGTCTTAGAGAACTGAGAACCCGTAGCATCAGAAGACGGTTCGTTGTCCTGACGACCACTTCTTTGGGTTGTATCAATCCTCTGGGAGGGATCCTGGATGGCGGATTCGTGTTGCTGGCCCTCTAGAGACTTGTCCTTGGCCTCGCGGTCTTGGTCATGATCGCGAGAAGCAGCATAAGCAGCAACACCTCCTGCGCCGGCGAGAGCTAGAGCGGGAGCACCTTTGCCAATGCCTTGGTCCTTCTCCTTCTCCTTCTCCTCAAACTTCTGGCTGCGATCAGCCGCGTCCTTGTCGTGGCTGCGATGGAAGAATCCTCCTGTCTTCTTCTCTTTATGTTCCTCGGGAGCACCCGTCTCTTCAGGGTGACTCTTGGAGCTTCGGCGGAACAGAGGAAAGCTGCGTCCTTCCTTGGTCTCGGTAGGGTGGTCTGTTTCGTCCTTGTTCTTGGTCAAGTCCTTGGACTTGCGGCGGAAAACACCAAACATGCCGCCACCCTTGCCATCTTCAACGCCTCCTGGTGACTGAGACTCGGCCGTGCGCCGGAGATTGTCGTCTTCGTGGTGCTTGCTTAGCTCATGTGCACCAACGCCAGCCGCGCCTACGACTGCAGCGCCAGTAAGACCCTCCTTGTAGTGCGAGTCCCCCTGCTCTCCTGGCTTCTCCCCCTGCAAGTCCTGGCCTTGCAAGTCCTGGCTTCCAGAAGTCTGACCTTGCATGTTCTGACTTTCAAGGGTCTGTCCTTGCAAATCTTGGCCTTCATGGAGTTTGTGTGAAGTGCTGTCACCCTCGACTTTGGTTACGTCTTCGGGCATGGCTCGCTGTTGTGAAGACCGGTCCGGGTCATTATCCAACAGCTGAGAGGTGGCAGCAACTGCGCTGGGATCGGTTTGTCTGTCGTGCAAGTGCTGATCCTCTCCGCTGCCATGTCCCGTCACAGTGTTGTACACACCTTCACCCCGGGGAAGGTTACCCCAATACGGGGTATCGCTCTTCTGGGTGCTGCTGGTTCCTTCAGGATCCGACTCGGTGTTCTCTTGTCGCTGGTAAGGGGGAAGAGGAGTCGTGGCGTCTGTGGTGGAATCATGACCGGGCTCCTTTAGGTCTTCGGCCAAAGTTGAACCCTGGATTCCTTGTTCTTGAGGGGGGAGGGCTCTTTGATTGTCGAACGTGTTGCTTGGGGCTTGGTGAGTGTAGGACGACCCGTACTGAGAGTCTGTAATGCCGACGCCTGAGTCGGTGTGACCATGGCCATGACCGTGTCCCTCCTTCTCCTCCGCAGACCATCCTCGAGGGTCATTGGGCTTGTGGAGTTTGTTGTGTTCGTGAGCGGATGCTGCAGCGGCCTCGGAGCGGGGGGTTGCGACGCTGTCAGGATATGTTCCGGGAGTGTCGGAGTAGTCGGAGGTACCAGTGGCGGTGGTGGGTTGTTTGGACTCGCTGGACTCGCCGAGCAGAACCGCCTTGATTTTAGTGCCCATATCCATGATGTGCTTTTGGGTGGATATCAATTGACGAAGGGTGACTACAGTGAGAAAGGATGTCGTTGTAGAAATGTGATATCGTAATGCAGTGATGCTATTAAAGATAATTACGATCAATTGGGGGTGAGGCCAGCTTCATATAGCTATGCGTCTCAGCCATCGTCACCGCCACGCCTTACTTTGCTAGCATCTCGATCATGCCAGCCTCTACATTCAACCCAATGACATCTACGACCTAAGAAGCTTCCGATTGCTCAGGTATTCTCCACAGCTAAGGGGGATAGTTTACCCAAGACATATTGCTGCGTGGACTGTGTCATCTGCCGCTTGAGCTTTCTGTCACCCATCGGCTCAGCTCACGCCAGTGACATAATTTAGACCACAGACCAGACCCACACGAAGCTTCTATGTCGTCACCTCGTGTCTTCAATTGACTAGGCCTAATGCTAATACGCCTAGCACCAGCCACCTAAGCTAAGCCAGCAGGACAAGGTTGGCATTAGCTCCAAGTCGAGTGCGTCAACGGTGTCATAGGCATCTTGTCGTGCTGCCGTCTGCCGGCACTAAGTGGCTGGAATGTGAGCTTGGTCAAAGTGGACGACGAGATTGGTTGGCTGCGTTGGTCACAGGACTGCAAGCACGCCCCATTACATCATGAAGAACAACATTACGCCAAAGCTAGAGCAGCTTCAACAGCGTGACAACAATTAGTGATGTTTCCTTGATGTTCACCTTGGTGTAACGATTGCGCCAGTTTCCAAGATATGAGGAGACAGCGGTGTGCCCTGGACGTGAGAACGAAATGTTTCTATCTACTGCGCTTTTGTTGTGCATATCTGGTTTCATCTTGTAAAATAAATTTGCAAGAAACACGTAAAAGGATAGAAGGGATAAAGCATCTGCCAACCATAAGCATCGTTCTTTTCGATTGTTGAAATATCAGTGAGGTGCATCATGGGTCTAGGGTAGGCCAGGTCTGAATGGATCTGGATACTTGGACGACAAGCGTATGATGTTGTCTCAGCCATGAAGTGTCCTTTACAATGACTAATGGGAAATTCTAGACTCAGATAGATAATTATTTCAACTTGAGGCTAATACAAAGATTCCTGCTATTCCTTTAATATTGTCAGGGGTTTGGCCCATCCTTCCGAGCGGAAGACCCTTCATTCGACATCAACTTCAGCAAAAAATTAACACCAAGAATGTCTTCATTTAAAGTGAACCATGTCTCAGCCCCCGACGACCTTGAGTAGCTCCTTGCACTCAACCTTACGTCTTCCGTACCATCGCGATATTCGGCTCCGGAAGGTTGTCCCTAAACATAGAGGTATCGTCGATTGCAACATAGAAGTAATAAGCCTAGGCGATTCCCCTGAATATGACATCATCTCGTACGCCGGGGTCTTTCAACCAGCGAGAAAGCTGCGAGGGGCATTACAAGCAAACCGAGCCGGCCGATTGCCTGCAACGGCTACGCAATCCCGGTCACTAAAAGTCTTTGCAGCCTTCTCCTGGAGCGAGAGGCCACAACTTACCGGCCTCCAGAAACTCGTGGATTGACGCCCTCTGTATTGACCAGGACAACCTACCCAAATCACAACACGGATATTGATCCAAAAGGATAAGGACGTGACCGGCTTGCTAGGCAGAGAAGTTGACGTCACATAACGGAACTCCTTTGCTAAATTCTGGCAAGTTAATTTACTAAAGAGTCAGTCTACTCACAGAGTAATTAACTTAGATATCTAGTCAAGAGGAGGTAACTTTATACTCTTCAGTCACTCTAATTCCCATACCCATCTGCTTGGCATCAATCTCAGCGGCTCTCTGTTGGCTTCGTCTGAAATTGGGCACAAGGATCTCCTCGTCACTCTGATTGTCACCGCGTATCCGGCCGCCTCCCACTGCATATGACTTCGTGAACGGGCCGCCTATTCCCAACTTTCGTTCTTCCTTTGTGATCGAGTCTCTGTCGTCCAAAGTATCGTCATCCTTGTTCGCTTGGCCGGGTCGCAGCGTGCTTCCACCGAAAGTGCGCAACGGATAGGATCCGCCTCCCTCAATCTGCTCCTGATATTTGCTGGCATCGCGAGATGTCCACTTATCAAGGTAGCGCTTGTACAAGGGGCGACAGACGGGTATACCGATACAGATCATTGTGACAGCGATCTCTGCAGCTGACCACACGATGAGGCCGACGGTGTCCTCTTGAGACAAATGTTAGCAATCATTCGTGACGGACACGGTTAGAACTTACTGAGGTAGTTGGGACTTGAAAGAGCCGGGACTTCAATTGTTCGCTTGATACCACAAGCTCCGGCACTAGTGGACGAGTTAGTCAAAGTCAAGGAAGACAGACAATCTCACTTACATAACTCCAAGACTGAGACTGGCAAGAATAACTATCTTTTCTCTGATGTTCATCTGCAAACTCCATATGAAGAGCCAGGGGAAGGCAGCATAGAAAAAGTCGACAATTACGCATAGAACTACTCACAGTAAGTACTTATTCGGTTGAAAATGGCGCTTGTATGGGAGGTCTGGGAGACTTACTGCAAAGCAACATCGAGACCGGTGTTGAATCAATGTGGCAGAATCCCCCAGGGATACGACGATCCCACAGAAATTTCGGTGGTGTACATTGCAACCAGAAGACGAAGCAAGTTGAGACAGATGCCCCCATCAGACAAGCCATGGATATCCAGATAGCAATCCTGTGCCACCTAGCCTTCACAAGGCGCAGCAAAAAGAGGCCAAGCGACCACTTTGCGACAGCCATGCCGATGACAGCAAAGGTTTGGCCAGTGGCTTCGAAGAGAATCGCATGGGATAAGTCGTCGAGGTCTAGGATATCGTCCTGGTTCTGCCCGAAGCCATAGGTGGCGGCGACATTGATGAAAATCGTGTAGAAGGTGAGGAATACCTAGAAGGGGATGGGTAAGCAATTAGTGGCATCAATGGGTTAGACTGGGACTTATTACGAAGGCCAAGTTGTACACATGGTCGTCAATGCCAAACGACTTGACGACACCGACTCGAGTGTAGATTCGCAACACGACAAAAACAAAGGTAACAGCCGTCAGCGACCACATCACCGCAACGGTCCATAGCCCATCCCCCTTTATCGCCATGGTTTGGTTGTTGGTTCGAGTTTTCCGGCAGTCGGGTTGCGCTGGGCGAAGTTGGCTTCCAACGTAGAGGAGCTCGTCTCAGCAATCGCGCAGATGGCTCGCATTCGGGCGCTGAACCGTCAGGTCGGTGTCGGTAGGAGGACGAGATAATCGTTTTCTACTGAGCCATGCTCGGATTCTCGAGGTCGATGATGCGGTCAAATATATCCCCTAGGGTTCCAAAGAGTGAAAGAACGAGCCCAGCCAAGCGCCACTTGCATAGTACCGTAGAAATCAGAAAAAGAAAGCGCAACGGCGAATCGTTGGTCGATGGCATTGAGTATGAAGGTAACCGAATTTCGGGGCCCGCTCTACAATGAGCTAGCATGGGAAGCAAAGTCGGCCATCCCGGTCAGGGCAGGGTGACATTGCCGTCGGCCTCCTGTATTACTACGGTATCAGGGAAACGTAATGTTAGCGTGCGCCATAGGAAAAGCAATGTTACAAGGCCATTCACTTTCCAGGTCCAAAGGGTACCTCTGCCACCACACCAGAGACTGCAGTTTTAATCTGTTGTTGGATATGTGGATCAAGAAGCTGATGATTGTATTGATATAGGATCCTTCGGTCTCTCTCTCAGCTAATATGGTGTTTGCATTCAAGACTTCCTAGGCTACTTCGGTCTCTCTCACAGTCCAACAATGGTCATTGTTAAAATGGATTAGCTGAATCAATTGCGGCAGAAGATTCTCAGAAATCTATGTCAATTACAGCAGACACATCAGCAGTCCCAACCGCTGTTACCTCAAGCTGCAGATCAGGTCAATCTTTGCTTACACAGGCGTATGGCTTATGCGTAGATCCCAGCCGCTCTTGGATGGTCTTGCTCTGAGTATGCAATTCGGTATGCTCTTTGAAGGGCCGGCTTTAAGAAGTACCATGCACGGCGGAAGCCCCCAATTACAGAACGAACCCGACAGCTCGGACTTGCCTTTGCAGAAGATCATCACAATCGGATCGTTTACTCACTGGACGAAGACCCTTTGGTCTGACAAAACCTGGGTTAAAGGCGCAAGGCACACACGAACATGGATTATACGAAGGCCTGGTGAAGAGCTTGACCCCACTGGCATCGTGGAGCGTGTCCAACGTAAGGGGGCATGCATGTTTTGTGGTTGCGTCTCTTGGCAGAAGCCGGGTCCAGGGATGTTTGGGAGAAGGATTGGGGCATGGCTACAGCTGCCGTAACAATACCCCTACGTTGTCAGGCAGTAACAGAGGCAAATGGGATGCATGCCAAATATTAGGACATTGACTTAGAAGAGATCCATTAATGTCTCTTGTCAGCGACCTTCCAAGTGACCGGCTTTGCAAATATTTAGGTGGCGTATATAAAGCTTCTCGGGATGGCTTCAATTGTCTGTCGCTTGAAGCGATTTTAGACGCCTCAGCCGACGCCGCTTGACCCTGTCATAACACCGTCCCGTTGGTCCGTGGACTGGACTTCAATCCCTGATGATCGACATCGGCATTAACTAAATGGGCTAGACGGACAACATGTGGGTATCCCCAGCAAGCCTCCAGGTCCTGCGGAGGTTCCGATTGGCCTCATGGTGCATTGATCTATTCACAATGCTACCACCTTTCCCCAATCTGCTTCGAGGCTCTCTGCGAGGAGTGTAAGAACTAAGAGGAGGGATTTGACCAGGACGATTTCGAATATTCGTCAATGCCCCCTGCTGATCGGTGGCTGAGAAGGAACTAAAAATTCTGCCCGGCTCCCTCTCCAGCCCAACTACCGGAGGAGTCTGGCGTCGCAGATGCACTAAACTCCCAGATGTAGCGGCAATTAGTGTACCGGGCGGTCATCTCATGTTCCGTGAATTGGTTTAAGAACGACCCATGAGCCAAGCTGTTTCAAGTGGAGGACAGGGCTACGTAGTGGGCTACGAATCCCCTTTCAGGCTGCGGTATTCTCTGCTCGAGGACGATGGAACAGACAAAAGAAGCCGATGACGACGCTTACTGAATCTTAATCGGCTTGAACCCCACCATCCGTACGCCCGAGGAATAATGGCCTGATGCAGGGTCTGATAGATAATGGATACCCTTCTTATCCTCTAATCTGTTCTCTTCTCTCTTCTAAACCTTCGTCCTCTAGGGTACCCAGTAGCATTCTGTACCGGCGATTGCGACCAACATTCACAGGGTTTAAATTTTCTGATATAACCCTGAACCTTGCTGAGGAGTGCATAGCCGGGGCAGGAAAAACAGATCATGTCGACCCCTGTCGTGAACACCCCTCAAAAGAAGCAAGTTACAAATGTCGGAAGATCACATCGTATCACAAATACGACGTCAAGGTCAGGCAGATCGCGGAGTAGAACTGGCGAATTGAAACGCTACTTCGCAGCTCTTCCCAGGTGGGATATCGCAATTGCACTTGACACACACAATTGAAGCCGAACGCGTAACATGACGCCTTCTTGGCGTCAAGGCGGAAGGAATTTATGCTGGCGAGGTATTATGCAGTCCCTCTCGCGCTATAACACCGTGGCGTCGGCCCGGTGGTTCAGGGCTTCATCGTCTCTCCACATCCTTACCATAGTACTCCCGCTGCCCGCATTTATGAGTGGATATGACAGCGATGAGCCGTCCTACCCTGCCAATCGGAATAGGCGAGAACTCGCCCCGTAAGGTTACAGCACGAGGCGTTGAACTGAAGAAGCATCCCGGCATGTGGAGAGGGTCAGGCTGACAAAAGGGCTGCTTTGATACGGCTGTCCCCACGAGGTTCTGAGTCGTGATTGTCAGAAACCGTTGGTTGATTGCTCAGTTGCGAATCCGTTCTCCACAAGAGCCCGTCTGAAGTCAATCTCCTGAAGCTGGGGTGGGTAGTATTCGCTCCTTAGAGTAGTCTAGCGGTGCAGCCTGGGACGTCGACGTTGCCACGTTCCTACGGCAGTGCCACTGTACCAAAAGCCGGGTCTTCACCCCGGGAGGGTTGGCCCTTGGCTGATACCGTACTACGTAGTTGCAACAAGCTGGAGCCATTCTGGGCCGTTTGCTACTCCATCCGTCACACCTGTCTGATAATGGCAAGGGACTCAAGGGGGTTTCTGCATCTCAACTCAAACTAGAGCAAATATGGCCTGTTCCTTGTCGGCTGCGGCCTAGTCTCACACGTCACGCGGGCAATTCCTCCCACCCGGGAAAGAAAGTTCGGATTTAAATGACAAGCCATGTCCTCCATGCGGCATTTCTCTCGTTTCCACGTAAGGGACGCACCGGTGGAAACACAGAGTACCGGGCTCCTCAACGAAACTGCCCTCAGACCATCATGAGTTCCATCCACACCTTTTCCATCGCTGGCTTCATCCAGGTCTCCGATTGGAAGTACATTTGCGCAACTATTGTTGTCCCTGCTCTTATCATCACGGCTTGGTGGATCGTTGCTCCCTTCTTCTCTCCTCTAGGGCAGTTTCCTAGCCCCAGCTTAGCCGGTAAGTTCACTCCAGCGCGTCGGATGTTGGTGGAGAATTTCTTGGGCTAAGAGGCAAATTTGTTGCATAGGCTGGACCAACTTATGGCGACTGTCCGTGGTAAGGAAGGGTAGCTATCATCTGAAGATCAAAGAACTTCATGAGAAATATGGTCCTGTTGTTCGAATTGGGCCCAACACCCTTGACCTGGATTTCCCCGAACTCATCAAAACTCTTTACGGAACCGATGGCAAGTGGCAAAAGGTAATTGTCCATAACGACTACTGACTGTTAGCCTGTTGCAACTCAGGAAAATGTTCTAATACAACAAATAGACCGAGTTTTACCACAACAATAGTGCTGTCATAAATGGCAAGATCACGTATCATCTATTTAGCACCACTGATCAGGCTGAACATGCCCGGATGAAGCGCCCCATTGTCAAATACTACAGCCAGAGTAGCGTTATAGGTCTCGAGCCCCTCTTCGACACTCTCATCGAAGACTTTTGCGGCCACCTCGAGAAGCGTTTCATGAGTGACGCCCAGCCCAAGGAATGCGACCTCGGCGAATGGATCGGGTTCTGTATGTTTCTAGCCGGGTTGATCTCAGACCATGATAGACTAACCAACTCGTCTAGACTCCTGGGACACCAATGGTGCCGCCTCTTTCAGCAAGCGCTTTGGCTACATGGATAAGGGCTTCGACTATGATGGCACAATTGGAATTGCCGACAAGGCTCTTGACTAGTATGTTGGCCATTTCAATGCAACCTGGTGGATACAACATCTCCTAACTCATCTTCTTCCTCAGCTTCGCCGCTGTTGGCCAAATGCCTTTTCTGGACTTTCTGCTTGATAAGAATCCCGTCATGCGGATTGGGCCTCCCAACTTGGCCAACATCACCAAGATTTCCCTTGACCATCTGATCGCCCGCCTTCAGGGCAAGGATTCCAACTACGACCCCAAAGTTCCTGATTTCTTGCAGCACTTTATCGAATCCAAGGAGACTCACCCTGAACTCGTCAATGATGGCGTCATAATGGGATACCTCCTTGTCAACCTTCTTGCCGGCGCTGACACTACCGCAATTACGATTCGTGCCATTTTCTGGTATGCTCTTCACAATCGTGAGGCCTATAAGAAGCTGGAGGCAGAAATCCTCGCCGCCAACCTCGCCGATATTGCTTCTTTCAGTTCCGCTCGTGCCCTGCCCTGTGAGTTACCCTTTCGCGTGCATCAACGTCCAACGGTGCTGACCAACGCTCTACAGACTTTGAGGCTGTTGTTCGTGAGGCAATGCGAATGCATCCAGGTGTCTGCATGCTCTTGGAGCGCTACGTTCCCGACTCGGGCCTGAAACTCCCCGACGGACGCTATATTCCTGCTGGTACTGCTGTCGGCATCAACCCCTACGTTGTCGGCCGTAACAAGGGCATCTGGGGTGACGATGCCGACACCTACCGCCCTGAGCGTTGGCTGCAGAATGAAGACGAGACGGACATTGGTTACAAGGAGCGCCTTCGTCTCTACAACGCATCAGACCTGACTTTCGGTGGCGGGTCTCGAATTTGTATCGGTCGAAACCTCGCCCAATTGGAGGTGTATAAGATTGTCGCGACTTTAATCCGTCGCTATGAGATATCGCTTGTTGACGCTGACCAACCTTGGGAGGTTACCGGCAGTTGGTTCCCGCGCCAGAAAGGACTTAAATGCTACTTGAAGTTGCGTTAGTAGTTTATAATAGTCCTGTTGAAGAGTGTATCGCAGCCAGGTTCACCCCATGTCTAGACGCACATCTGATTCATAAGACAATCGCCGACACCAGTGACCAAGTGACTTTTTACTGTAATTAACCCTTTCTTGAGGGCGTATTACAAGCTTTGGCAGTATATTCATTTTCGCCGAAGCACCTTTCTCAGCAAACTGCACTTCATTTGTTCAGCTGCAGCTCAACTTAGGTAGCTAACTGCAGTTAGCCAACCCTACATCTTCCTCACCCCCGCCTTAAGCAGCCTACAGCCTGGTCCAGTCAGCATAGACATTTCATTACGACCACTCTATGCCAGGAGTAAATGCTCGCTCTGCCACTATGCTTCGCCACTTGGTGGCCGGGCGCGGCGGACAAAGTGCAACAGAGAAAGCTCTCGCTCCAATCGCTTAATGAGAGGGTCTATATTGGCGAAGGAATATCAGGCTGAACAGTGTCACGCTATGTTGCTCAAGCAAAACCGCATGCACTGCCACCACCAGTTGGCTCTGCCACTGCCACCTCGAAAACCCACCAAAGAAAGCCCATAGTGGCTCTTCTGGTTGTCTCTACTCTTGGTTCTTGATTCGTTTCCAAGCTGCAGTTACTCCCGGATCATGTTTTACAGATCTCCCCGCCGATTGCCTAGTGCGTCAAACCTCCCCTGCGAGTCTCCTTCTAAAATCCCCAACGTCTCCTTGTAGAGGTTCAGACTTAGCAGGACAGCGGGCGCGGTGTAATCTGGCAGGTGGGAGTCGACAAACCTATATAGGTTAGTGGCTGTGATCAGAGAAACTGAAGCTAGAGTGGAATTGAGGTAGACGCTTTGCAGGTCAGACCATCGCCTCTGAGCAGAGCGCAATAGGACCATGACCGAGGTGGCGTTTTCAGCTGCAGCTGAATATACTATTTCCGGGGCCCTTGCATACTGTAGCTTACGCTCTCAAGTAGTGCCATTTCAAATTCGGCCTGATGCCTGTGATGCTAACTGATCAAGCATGCCTTTATGACTAGATAAATAATGAGATGACGTATTATTTTGCGACTGCAACATAGATTGTGTTCATAATGGGACCATTTCTCGCTATATTTTACGGAATTGAGACACCCAAAATCAGCGAAAACATCGTCTTGGTGTCTCGCCTGAGACCTCGCAGCATGCAGTCATGCCATTCTCGCTAACCTATTGGACCTTCAAGTTGCCAAGACAGCCACATGTCAAAGTCCAATGAGACAGCGACTCTAATCTCCGAAAGCTCACGCATCCACCTTCCTCTCTCTTATTTAATATTTCACACATGTTGGAGACAAGGCGCCGATCATGACACCATGACTTTAGCTCGCCGAGTCCTCCGAGTTCGAGACGGCGGTTCCCTCGCCGATGCAGGCTCATCTCTTGGGAAATCGCTTCTTTTCCATCGAGCCGTACTTCCAGCGCAATGCTATGACGATTGCAGTAAGTATAACATAGCCCCTTCCTTCTCCCCAATCCGTACATTTGCCGGAGTAACCTAGTGACACAAGAAAGACAATGCATATAAAATCCCATTAAATATTGGTCGAGTTCCATCACTTTGCACTTCAGGCTCTACATTCATAAGTGCCTATGGAATTTGTGCGTCCTGCATAATGGACAATGAGTCAAATAATTTGCCTCTCAGCGACTACATTAGCCCAGAGTTTGCGCCATTCATCGACTATTGCCAGGGCGTCGATGTCACAACTTCAACATCGTGGGTTCAGGTAATACCTACCTTCGGGAGAAGTGTAACGCCAACTATCCCTTGCACTAAATGTGTGCCACTTACATTGACCTATGGAAGTGGCGAAGTTGAAACTGTCATGGTGAAACCTGGCCTCAAAGACCTCACTCAAACCCAATGCAAGTCACGGCAACGCCCGGCAATTAAAGTGTCTATCTGACCTCTCCTATCAGCCTTCTCGCCAACAAGCTCGGCGGAAGAGCCCATACCATCGAGTTCCAGTTCCAACAAAAGTATAGAAGCCTCTTCATCTCACAAACCACCCATTAACACCTCCAAAAGCGTCAAAAGCCACCATCATTGGGCCAGTAGTTGCTTGCGGCATCATATTAATACTCCTCGGCACCCTTTTTTTCTGGCGTCGTTATCTTCCAAAGAGAAATGCAAGCACTCCAGCAGGTCCGCAGCAAGAAGAGGTAAAATATGAAAAAGCCCAATTACACTCCGACTGTGTCCCTCGAGGCCCGACATACGAGCTGCAGGGCTCGGTCCCTCCGTCATCCAGCCCAACTACAAGCCCAGCCGTTGCAGAAATGACGGCAAACGAGGTGGCTGCACAAGAGATGCCAACAATAAGAGAAAGCCTTACATGAGGATGGTTATATGGGGGGGGGGAATGGGCGGAGGTAGTTATATTAGTATATTATAACGTGACATTGCTGTTACTTTGCATCTGAGCCCAAGTATCTCAACTTTTCGCACCCTTCGTTTTGGCACTCACGGGGGACCAAGTTAATCGCTACTCCACCCATCTCCATCGTTCATCCACCCAAGCCTAGTCCTCCTCCTCCCCCTCCTCAGCAGCCGGAAAGTATGGCCGCAAGAGGCGGACAGCCTGCTCAGACCCACAGCATTTGCCTCTTGCCCACTGCAACGGCGTCTCAGCGCCCATGTCGACGGGGGAGTAGTGCTCAAACAAGAGCTTGAGCAAGTCCTCCCTGCCATTGTCAACAGCCTCGCAGATAGCCTTCCGAACGTGTTCTTGCTTGGCGCCCTCAGACTCGGCATCAACCCCCAGGAAAAGTGTCACCATCTCCTCGAGGCCGTTTGCTGCTGCGAGCTCCAGGGGCGAGCGGTTGTCCCAGTACACGTCCGAGAACGGCTGCGCACCGCGGTCGATGAGTAGTTTGACGAGAGAGTAGTCCTCGGTGTCAAACGAATAGTCCAGGGCCTGGGAGAGGGGCGTTGTGTCGTACTCGTCGTCGTTTGGGGAGACGTTTCTCGCGAGCAGCAACTCGACCGCCGCCAAATGGCCGTGTCCTGCTGCCCAGCTGATGGCAGTCTGCCCGTTCTCATCCCGAAGATCAGGGTCTGCGCCTCTCTCCAACAAAAGCGACATGACCCCCGCATGTCCATCGAGGGCCGCGTGTAACAACGGTGTGAAGTCGCTGTCGTCACGGAGGTTTGGGTCTGCTCCTCTCTCCAATAAGAGAGACACAAGCGCCTCGTGCCCTCTCGACGCCGCAACCATCAAAGGCGTGAGCTCCTGCCCGTCTCGAGAGTCGATCTCGGGTTCTTTGTCCAACAGGAGAGACATGACTTCTGCATGCCCATAGTCGGCCGCGATCGAGAGAGGGGTCGTCCCCTCCTCATCTCTCGAGTCTACCTCGACACCCTTCTCGAGCAGAAGCCTGACCACATCGGCAAATCCTTCTTCCGCGGCCCACATGAGGGGAGTCTGTTCGGCCTTGTCTCTGAGGTCTGGGTTGGCACCCTCCTCAAGAACCAGCCTGACCTTCGCGACGTCGCCCGTTTTAACCGCTCTCGCTAGACGGGCTTCTTTGGATCCAACATCGGCATCCGGATAAGCCGAAAGGTACATCTCATCCGTGGGGCTCTGCTCTTCGGCGGACGATGATGCTGTGTTTTCATCGGCGTGCTCCGGCCCTTCCCGAGCCATCAGAATACGAGCGATTTTGTTGTGGCCTTGTTCGATGGCCCATGCCAACGGCTTTCGGCCGGCATCGTCTGTGATGTCTGTTGCGGCGTTGTTTTCGAGCAACAACTGCACGATGTCCTCGTGGCCTCCCGCCACGGCCAGTGACAGAGGAGTTTGGCCGCAACGCCATTCCTTGGCGTCCACGTCGGCTCCTTTCCCCAGTAAGAGACTTACCAGGGGAGCTATGCCCTCTCTGACAGCCAGGACCAACGGCGTGTCACCCATCGTATCACGGGTGTCGACGCGAGCCCCCGCCTCAACTAGGCGCCTTACCACGGCTTCGTGCCCGTTGGCAATGGCCTCCAAGAGGGGCGTTCTGCAAAATTTGGGCTCCAATGAGTCGATGTCGGCGCCGTGTCCGAGGAGAAGCTGCACGGCATCGTCATACCCTCTCTCGGCGACCCAAGATAGTGGAGTTCGTTGGTGTTCGGTGTCACGAGAGTTCGCATCCGCGCCCTTGTCCAACTCCTCCTGCAATCTGGCGATGTCTCCAGTAGCTGCAGCAATGAGAAGAGAATCCTCCCAAGGGGCTAGTCCGGCATCCATATTTGCGCTAAAACACGAACTTAGGGGAAGAAATGCAAGGGTTTGTGAGGAGGGGGATAAGAAGATGCTGCGAAGCGTATGAACAAGCTGTGACCGACTATTTCACAGATTGAAGGGAACGTGAGCTATTTGATCTATTTCCAGCAGGCCGCTTCACCCATGTCCAGGCACCGCCCTACAAATGCGGATCCCTCGAAACCTTGTTGAAGTCGCTACGATGAAATGCCGACGCTAACACACTTAATAGCAGCTATTCAGGGTTCGTATCATAGGCAGACGTTCATGGTTCCGTGAGCACGGGCAAGTCGCAGCCACTCGCATCCTGAACAGTGGAGGGGCAAAGATAACTTGGCAAAGATAACCTACTACGTAGTAGGCATCAACTCCGTATCATGACTCAAATAGACGGGCTATGCTGTGTTAATTCACAGTTTTTCTTACTATGCGCGCTTTTCCCCGCCCAAATCTGTGACTGTGAATGTGACTGGGAAAGAATGCCAACATGCCCTGCATGGTACTGAAATGACAAAAATCTCAGCGCACAGCCTCTACAACCATTTTCATCGTCTCGCGACTTAACAATCCATCCACCTGATCGGCTTCCTTTTTACACACCACGACGCTGCCCAGGTGAGGAGCCTCAGAGCCGTACAGATTGGAATGGATGCCGATGCAATTCCATGCGAGCCGAGCCGCGCCTGGATACGTGGAGGAACTGTCTTATATCGGAATCGAATCCTCAGAGCGAAGGCGACGGGCGGCGGGCGGCGGCTTCTCACTGCAGCCTTCTTTAGCCGATACCGCAGATCAAACAAGTCTCACATGACTAAAGTTAGTGGATGGTACGACGCAGAATTGACGTTCGAGTTCCCTCGACACTTTGGCGCGTCTTTACAAAACCACCCTGGACTCTTCCGTGTACGGATCCTTCGTTCTAGCCGCCACGGGAATAAATGTCCTAGATGTCTCGGGCAAATATTACGACATGGTGAGATTTTCCCCATGTATCTTATCCACTGCTTTCTTTTGTCTTCTACACTAACTGGGAGTAGGTCGCAGCCAAGCGATGTTTCCTCCAGCTTCTTGCCTCGGCACGGGAGCATGGCTACTCCGAGTACCGAACCCACTTGGACTTTATGGATGTTGTTTCCGATCAATTTGACTTTAATGGGCATATTCACCGCCGGTTCGTTGAGCAGCTGAAGGATTGCATTGACCCAAACGGCATCCTCGCGCCTGGAAAGTCCGGCATATGGCCAGCCAAGTATAGGGGTATGAGGCGAAGTCTAGAGCAGACTAAATTGTAGATTAGAGGTATTCTCTGTAAACAGGCTTTAAAACTCAAGTTCTGCTAGCTATGTCATCAACACTAACAAACCCATGCGTCATTGCTGGTCCTAGTGTCGCCCCAGCCCCAGGATACGTGCGTCCCATGATACTCGCAGATGTATTGCCAATCGCATAGAGCCCTTTAATCACAGTACCATCCTTTCCCAAGACTCTTTGAAACTCATCGGTCAACAACCCGCCCTTGGTTCCTATGTCACCAGGCCAGACCTGTATGGCATAAAATGGTGACTTTTCCAGTGGACCCATATTCGGGTTCGGACCTACCATGGGATCGCCGAAATAGTTGTCATATGCGCTGTTGCCCTTTCCGAAGTCTGAATCGATGCCTGTTTTGCACATGCCGTTGTATTTCTGAATAGTTGCTGCTAGTCCTTGCGGATCAATCTGGATCTGATCGGCCAAGCCCTCGATAGTATCGGCCCTGAATAATCTGCCTGCAGCAATAGCCTTCTTAGTATCCGCTCGGGCGAACAAAGTCCCAAGCATGTACCGATTCCGGTGGTTGCAATCCATCACCATCCAGGCCGGGATTGCCTTGACATTCCGGTTGCGCGCGTACTGATCCTGTCCCGCAGCTGTATAGGATTGCGCCTCGTTCATAAACCGTTGGCCACTCGCATCGACGATGATGCAATATGGTCGCGCTCGTTCTGTGAGGGTGAAGAAACATGCGCCAGTGACTGGATCAAAGATGGTCGGTGTCCACCACGCATCGTCCATCAGAGCTGTTGCGGCGCCCACGTCCACCCCAGCGAGCATACCATCTCCAGTATCTCCGTCTGGTGTCATAGTCCACTGCGTATTTGAAGGCGATGGAAGGTATTTTTCCCGCATTTCCCAGTTATGGGCGAAACCTCCTGCAGCGAGCACCACACCACGCTTGGCACGGATAGTTCTTATTTCGTCCTTGGTCTTGACTCTGACCCCAGTGATGCTACCGTTTGGCCCGTTGATGAGATCAACAAAAGCCGTTTCAAGACGGATGTCTGTACCCTGTAACTTGTTGAGATATAAGAGCTGTGCCACTAGCCCATGGCCCATGGATGTAAGCTTCTGACCTGCCATGGCTCTTATCATGAGGGGGATCATTTTCCGTGCAGTGTAAAGAAACGCGCCGGGCGAAGAGGTCATCCGCGTGATAGTACCTGCATCGTTTGTCTGGATTGGCGGGGATTTGTTTGTAGGAAGCCATTTCTGCCAGTTGCCGAGCTTTTTCAGATTGAATGGTTTCGACTCGATCGTTCGGCCTCCGCCAACCCCCATGCCGCCCTCTGCGTTTGGATAGTAGTCCGGATAGCCCTTGCTGAACCGAAATTGGAAGCCTATTTCTTGCAGAAAGTCGATCATCTTTGGACCATTGTCCAAGTACGCGTGTCGGCGGGCGGAGGACGAGGCTGGGCCGACATCGCCAACAACCTGGTCCATGTATCTCAAAGCTGCTTCTTTACTGTCTTGAATCCCAGCAGCTTTGGACACAGAATTCACGGGGATCCAAAGGCCGCCTCCGGATATTGCACTCGCACCACCAACCGTATTGCGCTTCTCTATTATTGTTGCCCGGAGGCCTTTGGCGTGTGCTCGGAGGGCTGCAGTGAGGGCGGCTGCGCCTGACCCAACGATCAAAATATCCGTTTCTTCGTCATGGTCGAATTTGCTGCCAATGGTAGCAAAAGCTCTCGCAGGCCGAGCGTTGACGAAAGCGAAAGCGCTAGAAGAGACTCGAGCGGGATGGGAGCGGGGACGCCAGACGTGAAGCCGACAGAGTCGACTGGGAGCCGTTCTCATGTCGATAGTTGGCAGAAGATGTCGAGAAAATTAAGGCGAAGCGAGCGGGAAAGGTGGTACGCAAAAAGCGTGAAATTCGACAGGTTTCAATCAATCGAGGTGAGATTGGCAGGGAAGTGTTGATCTCAGTGCATGGTGTTGCTGCTGCAGACTCGCGATACTCGTAAGCTGCTGGCCGAGCTCAATTGAAGCTGATGATGACAGGTAAGAACCAGGTTCCCCGCGTTTATGTCAAGGGGCTTTCGGCGATTAGGATACCCCGAGACCCCGGGATTTTCTTACACGTGTTGTGGTAGCACCAAGATGATGAGTGAGTACGATGGAAGCAAATCTCTGGCGTCAAGCAAGGGTTGTCACCAGGCCGCGGATCCCCGCGGGACGCGCGGTAATCGGGTTCCGAATCATGAGTGAACACTGGGCTTCTGGTTACAGCATCTTGGCTCTGAAATGTCATATAGTTAATGATCAATGACGAGCCAAGATCAATTGGAGACAGCACAAAGTCACCCCGAGCATCACTCTTCAATATGTATCATTCCATCACCACCGCGTTCCCACCCTGTCTAATACGCACTTGCTGGATTTCAGTGTCGCAAGCATCCTTTCACACGGGGTCAAGGGCGCCTCGACACATGCGATTATACACCACAACGCCTCCCAAAGAAAAGCCAGATGTTATTGTTGTCGGTAGCGGCGTCGCCGGCGTGTGCACAAGCATTGCCGCCGCTGAGAAAGGCGCGTCGGTGTTGTTAATCGACCGCAACCACGGCGGCGGCGCATCAGCCATGTCTGGTGGTGTTGTGTACGCAGGAGGAGGAACCAAGCAGCAAAAAGAAGCTGGATATGGCTTCGACACGCCGGAAAACATGATGGCGTACCTGCGTGAAGAGGTTGGCGACGCCGTACGGGAGAAGACGTTGAAGCGGTTCTGTGACGAGAGCGTCTCGCGCCTCGAATGGCTGGAGAAGCACGGCGCGCGGTTCGAGGCATCCATGTGTCCGTATAAGACGAGCTTTCCCACCGACAAGCACTATCTATACTACTCGGGTAACGAGAAGTCTCATCCTTTCGACACCATTGCGAAACCTGCCCCGCGAGGCCACCGGATGGTCCATCCAGGGTTCTCCGGCGCAGGACTCTGGCGCGCGCTGTTTGATTCAGCCATGCGACTAGGTGTTCAGTTCTTACCGGCCTCCAAAGTTGAGCGTGTATTGCTCGACAGCAACGGATCTGTCTCGGGGATCGAGCACCGGACTCTCCGCCATACGAGCCCAAACTTCCCAAAACACAAGAAGCTTTGCCAGGGAGCGTTGAAATACCAGCTCCTTCTTGAACCTCTTGCGAATAGAATGACTCGCCGTGCCCAAGGAATTTGGCAGCGAGAGTCCAAACTCGAGACAACTAGTGCACCGGCCGTCGTCATCTCGGCCGGTGGGTTCGCCTTCAATCCAGAGATGCGACAGGAGCATCTCCCCGAATGGTCCAACGTCAAAGCCCTCGGCACGCCGGCCGATGACGGATCTGGTATCAAGCTCGGCCAGGCAGCTGGAGGTTCTGTATCTCATCTTAACAGAATGTCCGCTTGGCGATTTCTTTATCCACCCTCGGCCCTCTTGGAGGGCATCATCGTCTCCGATGGTGGTCAGCGCATGATGGCCGAGGATGTTTACGGAGCCGCCCTCAGCGAAACCATCATCCGGCACTTTGGAGGCAAGGCCTTCGTCATACTTGATTCCGCACTAATGGCAAAGGCGAAGAAACAAGTGTGGGCGCAAATGCAGATGCCTGGCAAAGCGCAAGCAATCGAGTGGTTGTATTGGAGCAGGAAAAAGGCAAACTCGCTTGAGGCACTAGCCAGAAAATTGGGCATAGCATCAGACGGTTTAAGTCACACTGTGGACGCATACAATAACGCCATCTCGACGGGAGCGACAGACCCGATGCAGAAAACACCCGACTACTGCTCGCCAATCACCCAGGGACCTTTCTACGGCATCGACGTTTCGATCACAGCCGAAGGAGTCCACGCTGTACCGGGACTTACCCTTGGCGGTCTACGGGTCGACGAAGATACTGGACTTGTTTTGAATGAAAAGGATGAGAAAATCATCGGTCTCTACGCCGCTGGGCGGTCTGCTGTGGGGGTTTGCTCAAATGGATACATCAGCGGGCTCTCCATTGCGGACGGCGTCTTTGCAGGAAAGAGAGCGGGAGAGCATGCTGCAAATCATAGATAGCCGTTGAGTAAAGTAGATACTTGAGGGTAGAGATATCGGGAGTGCCTGTTTTAATCTCGAGGTGAGTGCTCACACTTGTGAGTCTCTCGAGGCAAAACGTGGAGTCGTATGTTGAGGTAGAAGCAAAAGCCCAACAGGAGAGAAGTTGCTACGGTGTCCATTTAATATCGCCAACTTGAGATTTATCTTACAGCGTCTTCAATTGTCGGTCCCTGTTTCGCATCGCTGCCGTAGAAGCATAGTGGCTAGGCATAATCCCTTCCCATCCATGAGACAGGCCTGGGTAGATGTGGAATTCTGCTTCAATACCAGCGGCAAGAAACTTCCCAACGTATGCATGAGTTTCTTGCACGAAAATATCCAGTTGACCAATATCCGTGTATAATGGCGGCAGGCCAGTTACGTCTTTAACTCTGCCGGCTGCTGCATACACAGGCACGTCGTCTCCTCCAGCCTTGGACCCTAAATAAGCAGTCCAGCCAGTGACATTATCAGCATCGTCCCAGAGGGTGAAGACTCCAGGCGGTGCCTTGTCCTTTGTCCGGTCGTCCAGCATAGGGTAAAGTAGAAACTGTCTTGCAAGTGGAGGGTTTAGCCCGCGGTCTCGGGCAAGGAGCGTCAACCCAGCGGCGAGGCCACCGCCAGCACTCTCTCCCATGACTGCAATCCGACTTGTATCCACACCAAACACTGAGGCTTGTGATATGACCCATGTCAGCGCGGTCCAGCAGTCCTCAAGCGGAGTCGGATATGGGTGCTCGGGTGCAAGCCGATAGTCAACCGAGAAGAATTGTACTCCGGTTTCCATCGAGTGGTGGTATAGTTGCGGGAGGCTAACTTCTGGGCTGAAAGCAAACAGGCCGCCAAAGTGAATATGGATGACCGCTGCGCCTAGTTTCGAGTCCGTTTGCTTCTTTTTAAATCGCCAGACTGGGAGCTGATAACCGTCTGGAGTGGGGATATGATGGATCTCGTGTTCCAATCCCTCGGGAAGAGTGGGCTTCCCGTGGCCGAAATCAGAGGCACCCATTGCCTGTCGCCGGTCATAACGTCGTGTGCCGCCGGCTTTTTGAAGCCTGACATGGTAGCAATTATCGGGGCCGCTCCAGCGGCAAACTCTGGGTCTAATTGGGGACTCATTGTGAAATAGATTACGGCAGTAAGGGATGCCGGATGGCTTAGGCTAAGGGCATATGGTATGGCGAACAGTGGAAAGTTAATGGTGAAAACCGGTGTCCAGCCTTCAACTTATAGACCGCAACAACTCAACAAGCTCCTACGGCTTAGCGACCATGATGGTTCCGCAAATGCACCAAAATGGATAGAAAAATGAGATACTAGACGATAATTGGAATCGCCAGGATCTTGCCAAGGCGCTATGCCGTATGAGCTTAATACGGAAGAGGAGCGAGACACGGGGTCAACGTTTCGGGCTTGGAACGTGGAGTATCCTCTTGTCCACTTCCTCCACACCGTGATCATCTTCAAGATCTAACGCAATTGAAACATGGACTTCGTACCCCGCAGCTCAGAAATGCAGTATCGCTGGTTCTTAGACTATGCTGGCGCTGAACAACAGTTGCGAAGCTGTGGGGTAGGACGCCGCGCTTTCCGCGGGCCGAGGCAGCTGGAAACTCTATTCAGAATAAGCCTTATGACTTGAATTCAGCCTATCATCGATGGCCTTGGGTTGTTGGACGCTAATCAGAAAATGGAAACTCGGTAACGGCGCGGCAGATGAGAAAAGGGGAGAATGGAGTTGGATGATGGGCTATTTAGACCCCAGCCTGGTACTAGTTGGCAGTGTCGTTCCTATGTAGGTAAGTTATTGACAGCTAAGGACTATATGGTTCCAGTCTGGAGTATATGGTAGCTGATACATACCACCACTGCCTGCAACTCGTCTACAGTTTGTTGTATGTACTTGAAGGGTATTCCGATGCAGAGGAAAAGGAGGAGGCAGAAGGTCTGACTCAAAAAGCCATATCGTTCATGTGCAACTCCTTGATGATCTTCCCCAGCATCTGCACCAAAATATGGGTGTCGTGGATGCAAAGTCCACTGAGCAGATAACGACGGTGTAGGTCATGGAAAACCCCGAATGCGCCTTTAATTCGCACTCGAATCAGCCTCGCGGGGGAGACAAGGACGTATATGTCACGAGAGAAACCATTATCGAGGGCTGGCGTGCAGGATAGGTAGACCATCAAGTTCTAATCCAATAGCTAATATTTTACGAAGTTATACCCTATTCACTACCATACTAATGCGCCTTTTTCCCCATATGAATTAGGCTGCCAAAAGGCCACGCCTTACCAAAAAGCCCAGCCAAAAGCCCAATAGTCCGCCAGAGCCCAAAGACGCCTCGCCGTCCTCTCGACATGTCATTGGGCATAAGGATGCGGGGAGTGGAGCGATGGACCAAAAGTCCCGCGCATAAAAATAACAAAAGGACAAGAAAGAAGGCATCCAATAGGCGTCCATAACAGCGTCCGAAAATAGTCGCCAAGCACCCAACGGTACCATCATCAGGCACACGTATAAAGTCAAGGCCTTGCCTAGGCGCTGATCAATTCATCTCACCCTTCTCAACACGAGAAGATTGAAGCTTGCTCTCGTGCACGACAGCATTTCCCTCTTGCACTGTCACGGCTCACTTCCGCCATCCCACAATGTCCATCAATTGGAAACTGTACGAGCAGGACATCAACCGCTGGTATCTGGATCAAGAAAAAACCGTCAAAGAGACTATCCAACTCCTCAAGGACACTCACCATGTGGTGATCACGTACGTTGCCACTCCCGCAAACCATGTTTTCCTTGATGCTGACGCGACGTACATTTAGTGAGAGGCAGTTCAAGTCCAAGTTTGGTGGCTTGAAGAACCTACGCGCCAGTGAATGGAAAGCAGTGATACCCTATATTCGAGGACGAGAAGCACAAGGTATCGCCTCGGTGGTCTATCTTAGCGGCAAACGCCTCAAGCTCGACAGCACGACCAGAGCCATCCGGCGATACTCTAGGAGTCCACAAGGAGAGATCGCGAATGAAACAGAAATAGGTTTGTCTCCGATTAACTCCTTTACTCGCAACAGTGTGCTAACACATACTAGACCTAGGCATCGAAACAATCGGTCTACATAGGGTTGAGATTCGGACTCCGGTTATGTCCAGTGCGGCATCCGCCCTGATTCGTCAACCTAACACTTCGCAAGCATCTGTACGGTCTGCAGAGGTCCAACAAACAAGCGACGATGTTGTTCGCACGGACTTGAGCCGTCAAATAGTTTTGTCCGGCCAGGTGACAGAGTTGGATGACATTGAGATCGATTTCAGCACTCAACTGGATGTCAACTTTTCCGTGGAAAACATTCTCAAACTTCCGAACATGTTTCCTTCTCCTCAGCTGGGTCTGAGTTCGACAATAGCCGGAGAAAATAGTCTAAACTCATTACCCCAATTTCTTGACCTCGAATTGTGGTCTCGGAACGGGCCGAAGCGGCCTTTTCAATCATTCTGGGACTCACCAGGTACGTAAAATCCTACAAGTCACCTATTCTATTATTGCTAAGGCTGGTACAGAAATACTTTTAATGACTTCGTTGGTTTCATTAACCCAAGGAATCAACTCTCTTAAGACTGTCCTTGACAACTATTCCAAAGCTCAAGGGCTTCAAAGACACGTTCCTCGGAGTCCATATAGTATTTCATACGCCATACGTGAGCGTCAAAATGGATGGGTTTTGTCTAAACTTGTCGATGCGAACTCAAAACTAGCAACACTAGAAACGATGGCCGAACTAGTGGACGACTTGATCCAATCCCAGACGCGAACTAAAATCCAAATGTTTCTATCAGGCGAGTGTGGTCCATGTGACGCTGCAATTTCAGCTGCCAGTGTTCACTTTCACGAGAAGTTGCTTCCAGTCGTCGCATTCATCATCTCCAACAATCATTACGACGATCTTGAAATCATGAGTTTCTTGACATGGGTGATCCAGAACGGGTTGATGACTCGGTTGTCGAGGCTATTAGAAACAGCACCAATTGACGCCCTTGCGTTCAGATCGGCATTGTTGAACGCAATCTGCACCTTCCGCCCGCCGCTTTCAAGCTCTACAGAAATTGCTCGTTCCAACGAGTTCTTAGGCCTAGTATCAAGTCACCGTCATTACCTGCAAGGACCGTTGGGGACAAGACTCCTCTTTTTGTCTATCGAAGTGGACTGTCTAGAACTGACTAGACTCCTGGTGTCGCATGGCGTAGACACCAACCAGATCGTTCTACGCAGCTACACACACACCACCCCGGTAGCCTTTGCTGCTCGGATAGGTAATGAACCCACGATAAATTACCTCATCAGCACAGGAGCAGATATCAACAAGCACTGTAGCATTGAGGGATGTAACTGCAATCACAGAACAGCTCTTTTTGAAGCAGTGGAGTTTGACCATTTTCATATTGTCAAACTCCTGTTGGAGAAAGGGGCGTGTTTCAATGGCGACGAAATCATGGGCAATGAGACCATCTTTCAACTCGCATGGAATAAAAGTCGAGCAATCTATTCGATGCTTCGGGAAAGAGTACCGTTGATCAATGAACCGGATGTCTTGGAACTGATTGATGCCGCGGAAATGGGCAATCGAGAGGTCTCTTCCCTCCTTCTAAAGCACGGCATCGTGCACCCGGAAATCATGGAGCGGGCGTTGCACGGAGCTATCAAAGCTGGAAAAGTGAATGCCGTGGGGACGCTCCTACGTCGAGGGGAAGACCCTAACGCCCGACTTGCTCATCCTGTTTGGAATTCCACGACAGAATCCTACTGCAATGAAACTGAATTTATATCACCGATTCAGTTGCTATCATATGAATACGGGAATGCCGATAAAGTCCCCGACCTACTTTATCTTCTTATCAAAGCCGGTGCGGATCTGGACGAAGAAACTGCTCAGGAACTTTGCGTGCGCATCTCGGACAATTTCTCGGAAAGTTCTACTACAGGGCTCCGTACCCTTTCGGTACTACTTCAATCAGATGCTAATGCGGCCTGGGTTCGCCCAACTCTACTTGTCTGTTGGGCTGGGGTTGGGCACATATCCAGTTGTGGTGAGCTTCTGGACACGGGTACTGCGATCAATGATTATGGACTTCGGGGGGAGAGCGCGCTACAAACAGCATCAAGACGTGGCCACGTTGCGCTCGTACACTATCTTCTTAGTCGAGGGGCAGATGTGAATTTGGCGCCGAGCGACAGCGAGCATGGAGCATCAGCTCTCTATGCCGCTCTTGAAGGCGGGCATCACAAGCTCGCGTATGATTTGGTCGATGCCGGTGCCAATGTGATGGCTGGAATTGGCCGGGCAAATGGAGCTACCATCTTGGAAGCCATGATGTCCCAAATCCTTCCATACCGGACAGTACCTTCCGCCGAGGACTACAACCGCACTTTCAAAAGGCTCCTCGCTCTTGGAGCGCCAGTCAACCGCACGAACGGCACAGCGAGTAGGATACTCCACAACTTGGTCGAAGCTAAGCAACACGAGTGTCTTGAACTGGCACTCCGTGCTGGAGCCCGGACTGAGGACACACTGATGGGGCTGACGCCACTACAAGCCGCAGCATTCCTTGGCGATATGAATTCTGTTCAAATTCTCATTGCCCACGGCGCAAATGTCAATACCTCCGAAGACCAAGAATCTCTTCAACCTGGTTCTCAGATATACCCGACCGTGACCTTCCCAAAAGCGCCAGAACAGCAAAGTTCATTGAGCGGGTATATATTTCATAGCGAGAAACATTATGGGGATTTATGCTGCAGCACACTTCAAGCGGCTTTAATCCCCAAACATACCGATCCTTTGCTCATCAAGTTTCTCCTCGAACATGGCGCAAACATCAACGCCCCTGCCATTGCAGCATTTGGCCGTACCGCACTCCAGGTCGCTACATCTTCCGAAAATCCAAACTTAGAAGTAATCCATCTACTTCTCTGCGAAGGCGCAGATGTCAATGCCCCACCAGCAAAGAAAGGCGGTGTCACGGCTCTACAAGGCGCTGCGATTCAAGGTCACATGGAGATCGCCCGCTTGCTGCTGGCACACGGAGCTCTCATCAATGCATTGCCGGCCCTGGAAGAAGGTCGAACTGCAGTGGAGGGTGCAGCTGAGCATGGCAGAATGGAGATGGTTAGGTTCCTCTTCAGCGAGGGGGCATTGCCAGACCCCTTCTTGGGATTTTCGAGAGCGATCGAGTTGGCTGAGAAGGAGTGCCATCTTGGTATTGTGAAGTATCTGAGAGAACAAAATCCGTGCAATCTCCTTCTAACGGATTCTCTCTCCCAAGTTTAGTCAGTCTTTTTCCTAGGTTCCATTCATGAGATATTCTTAAGATTGAAACAAGGTCATCATTAAGACGATAGACACTCCATAGAACAAGCCTTCCGAAGTTGGGTTGGCTAGAAACAACTTTGAGTGATTCGCGTGGGTTAATAGTGATTGCTAGCCATCACAAGATCGTCGAACTCGCTACACAGATGTTTCAGCGTCTGTAATGTTCTGTAGTATACCAAACTAACTTGACTTTCAATTTCCAGTGTGAATCTTCGGTCATGGTCTTTCAACCCTTCCATCTCTGTCACAAGTACTAACCAGTCTCGAATTAAAACCAACGGGTAGTGGGTAATCCGTCAACCGCCAAGTCGGGTCCAACGGCTCGAACGAAAACCAACCCGCACTTCGCCCACCAGCTCAATTGCGTCCTCGAGCCACTGTCCGTTTCTTGGCTACACTCATCGACAATACTTCTATCTCTAACCTCCGTTGAGTAAACTATTGGGTGGATCAATAGTGCCCCATCGCCAATCGGCCAATTAATTGCACTAGCAGGTACGCTCAATGAATTCGATAGTGTATCAAACAGTGTACAAAATGAGGCAAGGTACAGCCAACACGAGCTTGTCAAGACCAACGACCCACTCGATGTGGCTTCATTTGGATTCAATGAGGCGTCAACTAAATGCGGGTGGATTTTAATATTCTGTTTCACGGTGCTCGCACCTCCTGGCAGCTGCTATGCTCGGGAATCGATATGGGTGTATTAGAATAACATGGCAGCCGACACCATACCCAACGTTCACCCTAACCATTCAGGGCTTCGACGTGACCACCTTCTCAAGAACATAGCCCGGTCAGGTTAACTTACCCCGCGCAAGGTGGCGAAGTCAGTCCGCTCACTCGTCGTCACAAAACAAGTTGGCACAGGCCGCTTTCCAATATTTACTTCAGAGCGCATGGCGTTTGGTAGCTATCGCGATTGTCTGAAACTAGACTTCGGGGAATGGTATAAATGTGCTTAATTATCTTTCTGGCACGACAGAGTCGCTAATACGGGTCTGAAAATAATAGCACACAAAGACTTGTCGCAGTCACTCACGTTGGGTAACATAAAAGATTGACACCCGGCTAAATATTGGTGAAGCTAACAGAGAATGTGGTTCGAGGGCGAGTCCAAGAAGAAAAAGCAGACGAAGCAGACGGAACGAACGAACGTCATCAATCTGACCGCAAACTCACGGAGTCATCCAACTACCGAGCTAAAAACGAAATTTCCCTCGTTCATTGTGACCAAATCAGGGCCGTTCCCCTGCCTCGGTATCGAGCTTGGCAATAGCGGCCTTCAACTCCTGCCGCTTTTGCTCGGGGCCGTCCATCTCATACAACTCCACCTTCATGGTTGCAAGCTTAAGCTCTCTTTCCAACTGCTGAACACGAGGGTTGCGCTCAGGCTCGGCCTTGATGAGGATCGTCAGATTGATGACTTGGATCTTCTCGTTGATGTAGGGCAGACGGCTCTGGGCAGCCTCCTTCTGTTTCTTCTGCTCGCTCTGGTCGTGAAGGTAGGCCTCTTCGCCGGCGATTATATCGTCGAGCTTGTCCTTTTCCTCCTCCAGTCGCGTCATTTTCGCTCGAAGATCGTCCAGCTCACCGCCTCGACCGGTACCCCTCCACTTGAGCTTGTTGGGCATAGTTTGTCGCTTGCGTGTTTAGGGGGTCGATTATAGGCTCTTTCCCTATCGCAGGTTTGTGGGGGTAAAGAATGGAGTGTTTTTTGAAGAAGATCGATATTGGTAGGTCTCTATACCCTTAAGGTAGGTGGAGTTGGGGACACCTGGGCTTGACCCTCGGAACTCGGTGGTCTCCGGAATCGAGGCGTCTCTTAAACTCACACCTTCGGCCCCCAATAAAGAAATCATCATAAACACCGCCTTTTGACCGAAGTCCCTGTTGTCTCTTGTACCTGCTGAGGTGTCCCTGGGCCAATCGTTGCGCTCATCACACCTAAAAAGCAAAACGTTTGGGATGCTGACCGGCGCAATGTATTTTCCACAGCGAGGTACCAGCTCAGCCTGATGGTTCGTTAGTACGGTTCATGTGTTCAAGACCGACAGAGGGTTCCACGCAACGCTATTTCCCCTGGAATTCTAGAGTCACATGGCCGCCCGGGTCAAGGTATGGCCTCCTCGGTGATGCCGAGCGTTGTGAGGCAGAATCACTCGACCCAATAAGCTCTGGTTGCGGTACAGTTGAAGGACGGTATCACCAGCCATCTCATCCGAAAGTCTCGACCTAACAATCGGTCAGGGGCAAACTTGTAACTCTGGCGAACAGGCGACGCGTCCACGCGCCTACCAGCGGGTACATCTGTCTTACCAGCTTGCTAGCATTCCATGCTGGGTATGTGTCTGGGTCACTGTTACCAATTATATATCATTGTTAGGAAGATCGCCTTGACCACTTTTGTTGTCACAACATACCTCGATTCGGACACAACACCACACCACAAGACCCATTCGTGGCTTAAACCCCCTTGCGCTTCAGCCCAGTGACGTTAAATTCCAGTACCCTACTTCCCGCCCAGGTTTTGCGGCTGATGGAGTTGCGAAATCATGGTGAGCCATACCTGCGGAAAGCATGTACCAAAGATATTTAGTGGAAGATGCCACCAGATGAAGAGGACGTGGACTAAACTGGAGGGAGACGGTGTAGTAATATTCTCCTGCAACTCGCAGTTGTCGCAGTGGCCTTACTGCAACTGCAACTCTAAGACGTCGCTCACCCAACCTATCGAGGCTCTGCCGCTGCACAAGTAAATAAGGCTCGCGTGTCATCGCCGGCGGAATTCTTAGTTGATGGTGGTCAGCAGTGATGGGCTAGAGGAGTCTCCCGCATGCCAAGAGGGTGTCGAGTGATCCAATAATCACGCAGCGATAAGGTCGCGGGGGTTGAAAACGCCTTCTCTTACCCGACCCTCCATGACGAGGTTTGGACCACCCAGTCGATTTCTGTGACAAATTGCCCCCATGATGCCATGATAGCAGGCCGCATCATTCGTCATTGTGCAGGTCGGGCCTCAGTCCCCCCAAGGATCCCACCATTCTTGAACTGCGGAGAGGAGACACGAGTAGAGCTCGTCCAAATGCAGACCTTCTCTGACCCGGCCAATTTTCCCTTCATTCTCGGCTTTCTCCATCATTGGTCTGGCGCGAGGCGTCCAGTCTGACAGGCCCCGCCCACACATCACACATGCTGCCATGCATTGTGGAGTGCGAATGGCATCTCTTGTCCACTGGGGATATCCTTGACGGTTGGTTCTTGGTGAATCATGTGCAATACCAGCGATATTTCATTGCCCCCGTACAGAAAGCGGGTATCGCCGTGTGAACTTCGACGCCAACGATACTACTGAATTGTGCGCAAATCAATCCATGTGAATATTATCGGAACGTATATTATACACAGAGCGATTCTGAAATACAGAAGAGAGTATAGAAGCAGGTCCTACGGAATCAAAATACCATCAATCCACTACGGGTATGAGGCCGTCAGGCCACCTGTGTGTCAGAGATGCAGGATGCAAGTGTTACTACCCTATGTTTATCTCGTTGGTAGACACGGAATCGTGGGGACATTACTGACTTTCTCATGCAGTCGAGGCCAATGACATCCCAACAGCTTCTGCACCGCCAGCTTGTAATGCATAGCCAAAGGCCAGTCATACCTTTCCGTCGTGGATGGGGCTCAAGCAAGAGCTGTCGGCATGAAGAGATGGGGCGAGCCTGGGAGCCGCATAGGCCGGGCACGCAGTGCGACTGAAACTCAGGCAGAGCCATTAAGAGGGGAAATATCCGCAGACTCTCCCACGGCCTCGATATTGCTCTAACCTACCGCGGATTCAAGGATATCTGCGAGCCGACTCATCACCATGGCTAGTCTCCCTGTGATCACGCACTGGGACGACCAGTCATCAGTAACAGGCACGAACTCATCTCCATCCGAAAGCCCAGTCTCTGACACCAGTTCCCGGACTACACAAACTTCAAGAACGAACGTGCCTTTGTTCCCCCAAGTCCCCGGTACTACGTCTCAATCGACTCTACGGACTTTGGGAAGCAGCAACGAAGCCGTAACGGGATGGCCGAGCCTGGCGAAGGAGATGGCAGAAGTGCCCGAGTTCGAAGCATTCAGCCGCTTTCGAGAACTGAATATCAAGAATCTTCTCTACTACCAAGTCGAGATTGCAGGTTTGGAAGAGAAGCTGAAGAACCTTGAGGCACGCGACGCAGCCACCAAGGCCACGAGAGGGGTCGAGGCCAACTACTCAAGATTGGCCGAGAGAATGATACGTTGCCAGGACCTCCCCAACACAAAAGATCGCTCGCAATGGGATGTGGTGGCCAAGATACGAGAGCGATTGAAAGAATACAGTAAGGGGTAGATACAACATGGATCACCAATATGCTGACCCGGAGCACATATAGATGCCTCGCTACTCCAACATGCCCAGATATCAGCGCTACCGCAACCCGACAGCGATAATGTCGAGTGCCTACGACAGTGGCTGAGGAAGGCCGATGGGGGAAACTACAAAATCATGGGGAAGGGAAGCGATGCTTGGGGTGATCAAACTCGGCCCACGGAAGAAATACCTCTGTCGAAAAGAATTCTGCCACTCATTTGCAGTATCTTCCATCCACAGGAACTCACCCGGACAGGCCTCGACCTCGTCACGACCCAGCCGCGTCAAAAAGTAGACGGCCTTACGCGCTGGGTGGCTAATGAGTGGATTCCCTTCTATCACGACTGGCGGTACGGAGGGAAGAAGGGGAAGAGGGATCACGGTGACATGTGCCAGGTAGGCTCTTTTGCCAATGGGATATTAACGGACATTGCTAATTCTTCATCGGGATAGAGCAAACTCGAAACGTACTCGGAGATGAAGATGTTGAGGTTCACTTCCGCCGTGGCGACCGTTGTCGCCTGCTTGCTCCCGACTTTGGCCATCGGTGTGTTGACAACAGCTAAAGGGACACTGCAAAAGCTTGGATACATTGCTGGTTTCACAGCCATGTTCTCTATCGGCTTGATGTGGCTCACTGACGCTGGAACTTCAAGAGTGCAAATCTTTACTGCCACCGCTGCGTGAGTATACTGCAAGGTACCTCCTGATGACTCTTCAAGTCGCTGACTGGTGGCATAGGTTTTCGGCAGTGTTGGTTGTATTTGTCCAGGGCCAGTAGCTGGTGAGGTCAGATATTTAATGCTGATACTAGGCATGAAAACTATTCGTCGGGAGGGGGTTCTTGGACATTCGGTGTTTCGAAGGGTCAAGGGGTAGGTATGATGCGGCAGAATGAGACAACGAAACTGCAGAGTGTAGGTTTGACGCTCTCGGTAAGGAACCTGGTTGGTTTATTATACAGACTGTTAATTCATAAGTAATTAAGAACTAGTAATCTCGGCATCCATTTCCTACCCTAGGCCCACCCCCAAGTACCTAGGTACGCGACGGCTGTCCCACATAGACTGTGTTGTAGTTAAATCCCTTTTATCCCCACGTAATGCGATCCCAAGAAAACTGAGGTCTTTTGGCTGAGGCCAAGCTGAAAGGATTGACTGGGCCTAAAAAGGCAGCACCAGAGAGGCAACCTGTGCAAATAAAACGAGATCAAACTTCATTGTGTTGTATGGATCTAGACTGTAAGAATATGTCTTGTCAGATGGCCCAATAACTATATCGCGTAATGAATATGTATATTTACAAGCCGGATTGGAGGAAATTTCGGAACACAGCCACAAAATGGAAATTATCAATGCGCGTTTCTCGGAGTCTTCGGATGCAGGGGACGCGGTTTACGCGTATTACAAAACTACACAATCTTCAAGGTTTCGAGTGCGAATGGGCCCAGTACGGATGCTTTTTACATCCGTTCCTTGTGCTGTCAAGCGATTCAACCTTGCGCCGGCAAAACAAAGCCACATTAGTTGAAAATACATTTTCCATAGACCTATACTAGCCCCGGAGACTCCCTTCACTACCTAAGCGACTATCACTACATACTCAGTGGGTTTCTAGCATTCTCAGGATCTCTTGAAGAACGTCCCCGTGCTCCATAATGCAAGGACCCTCAAACCGGGACAACTCCATGATGGCGGTTGGTTGTGACACATTGACTCTTTGTAATCCGGCATGAAGAAATGTAATGTTTCCGTTCATTTCAAGTCCTGCAATTGTAGAATCGACGGTCCTTGCCGAAAGGAACGATAACCCTTCAATGTCGTTCTCACACCTAGAAAGTACAAATGGATTATGCTGGATGTAATTTCTGGGCATGTGATCGAGAAGTGCCCCGGGTTCCGTTCCTCTCGACGTAGAGCTTCTGGACGAACTCACCGAAGATGGCTCGTTTTTTTGGGACAGCTCTTTTGTTACTAGCTTTCCGATGGCGACTAAAGTTGAACCTGCTTGCGAGCGTTCCTTGATAGTTATGATTGATGATATGGAGGGCTGAGAATTGGTCAAGGAAAAAGTGAGGATGAATAGTTATTATTATATACTAGGGGGCACTTTGAGATTACTGCATGGCTTTGATCTATCTGATGATATTGAGTAGAGCTAAAAAAAAACAAATACTAGGGGGCACGAACACTACCGCAAATACGTCCTCGTAATGTATGAGTGAAGTTCTGCTTGCTTTCAACTCTCTTGGAGGTGAAGGCGGTTCCATGGGTAGTCTTGAATATGTGACGAATTTTACCCAAGCGTCCATAACACAAAAGCAGTAGATTAAGTTTCGAATATGCGAGATTTATTTCTCTTGCTTGAAGCCCATCTAGACTTTGTCATTTCCTCCTATCGTAGTTAATGGAAAAAATATTCTCTGTGTCTTGGATGCAATCTGCAGCACTAGGGTATATCTCCTCAGCGAAATGGCGAGCTTGGTATTTGTTGAACCACTGGGCTAGCGAGACAAAAAGTAGCTCCATACCCATTCCTTATGTGGATGTAGTACAGACGTCTGGTCTCTCCAACGACATTTACACGTGTAGTAGATAAGGTGCCTCTACTATATTCGTAGATATTATTCTATTCCTTATGCGAAATATCTGGTCACGGGTAGCTAATGTCAACGGGAAAACTATAACGGAGTAAACTTGTTGCGTTCCGGAAAGAGGCGGTCGTGTGACTGCATGGCTTATGTTCAGTCGTGTGTGACTCGCTTGACTATGTTTCCCGCTTCATTTTCTCTTCCACCGTATGTGATGCGGCTAACAATAGGCCGTTGTTGAATCCCTCTGAGCTCATATCTGATCTTCCCGTCACATCGGCAATTGTTCATTCTATCAAGACAACGATGTTCAACCTTTTCGTACATGTAATATTGAGTTTCCCAACATTCTTTCGTTGCACAATCCGCCTAATAGGAAAGCGACTCTAATGTTACTAGCCAATATCTCGTAGCCGGCGAGACCGACAAAATTGCCAAATATTGGGCCCCACCCCGAACCAAGTTCGCCGAGAGGCGAACCACATCTTGGAGAGAATGTGACCGCTTAAGGCTATCTGACGTCGGATGAACATGCCTCTTTAGGTAAGTCGAGTTTGTAGTCCGGCTCCATGATAAAACCCCACAGACGGCACTTGTGGGGAACTGGGAACTCGGGAATCAGACCGTGTCTGTATCAGTTGTGCAAACCGTCCAGACAGATCCAGAAGGTCTCATAGTTCTGCCTATGCCGATGCGTTGCTTTGGCATTCCCATTTTTAAACGGACATACTGTGTTTCTTAATGTAAGTAAGTCGCAAAGTACAAATATCCAAACACATTTATATCCGCAATCAATCTCCTATCAGTGTCACTGGATTCACACGTCCCATGTGACTCGTCATGCTGCTCCTCGGATAGGAAGCATCTTGGATCCTCTCGGTTCTCTTCGGACCCCCTCGACAGTAATTGGTTAGACTCTATGTGGAGATTACATCTGCGGGGCCTTGTTAAGCGCTGTTGTGTAATCGCAGGTTCACTTCAGAAGAAGCTTAGTGAAGGTTCATGGGAGGCGAAAGACAAGCCCATGTTGCAAGGGTCAAGCTGACGGGAAGCTCTTTAGCTTCCAATCGGGCCGTTACATCGGGTTGAGCGTGCACCAAAGAGTTCTGTGTGAGGAGAAGGGGGGAACAGGGGTTGGTTGTTGCAGCTCCGTTGACAATATCGCTCTCTTTCCCCTCGTCATGTGTGAGTGATTAGCATCATCATCGACCTCGGATGACTTCGTCCTTTCTCAGCGCAGGAGCATTGTAACCGCACACTGAATGACGGATGACTTCTAGTCTCGGTGCTGAAGATCTATAACATAATAGCCGTGCTGGTTCACGGAACCTCTTCAAAGTGGGCTCCCCCCTGTTTGAGCCAATTCATATTCACTTGGCAGCACAGCCTCAATTGACTCGAGCTGAAAAACGGGTGGTTTTCTGATCATGACCTTGTCAAACGGATGATGGTTTAAAGTATAAATTGACATAGAACACTACCCGGCAGATTTTAGCAGTGTCTCGGTCGGATGCAGAGACGGAGTCGGGGTGGCGAATTGCACTCTCTTCATCGCTGATACCTTGCATGTGGAGGTTAAGCGTTTGCTCGAGTGGAGTACTTACGGTGAACACGGGTGTGGTTTCCTAAAACGCCATGTTGTAGATACTATGTAGGTAATCGTGGTATCGAGGAAAGGTGCCATTGGGTGGTGCTTCGTATAGTATCGCAAGACCAAAAGACGTTGGCCAATAGCTCCGAAGTTAAAATCTGACCATGGTAGCAACACTACTATGTAGAGCGAAGCGCGATGCTGCAGTTTTAGTCCGAGGATGCTTGTCCGCTAAATACGGCTTATCGATCGACAATGGACGGATTCGATTTCTCCGTTAAAATAGGGGCAGGTGAATGGCTGTCTTGCTGAGCTTTGACCTCACCGGATCAATACCGATAGGATGGCCGTTTACAACCCCTGTTTTTGCCACCGGATTTGGCCCGATCAAGCACTCAACGGGTCCTCCCAATGCATCGAATTAGTTCTAACGTGATATTTGACTTTTCTGTAAACATGCTAGTGCTTCGGCCGAACCCGAAGTCGATTCGGACGGGATAGGTAGGTGAGCGCGGCTAGAGGCTACTGAAGCGGCGAAACACCGAGTGTTTCCATCTACCCCCTGGTTCGTTTATACGCAACATTGTAAAACATCTGTGTATAAATAGTCAGCGGTTCGACTTCCTACCATCGAAATCACCATCAACACATCTTTCCAGCCTCACATTGTCCAATCCTCAACATGAAGTTCTTCGCCACCGCTCTCCTCGCCATCCCGGCTGTTCTGGGACTCGCTATGCCCAACGGTGACTCCAGCGCGGCATTGATTAGCCCCAGAGCCGACATCACTGGATCTTCGACCTGGTACGGTGGTAACCTCGCTGGAGGAAACTGCATGTTCTCGGCCTACACGCTCCCCTCTGGAATCTATGGCACTGCCTACTCTGGAGCCAAGTGGAGCAGCGCTGCCAACTGCGGTTCTTGCATCCAGGTTACTGGCCCCAAGGGAACTATCAAGGCTATGGTGAGTTGCTTCGTACAAGATAGATAATACCACGCTAAATTTCATTCATTAGATTGTTGACCAGTGCCCTGAATGCGCCGAGGGCCATCTCGATCTCTTCCCTGATGCCTTTACAGCTGTTGGAGGCACCGACGGTGTTGTCAGCACTTCTTACAAGTTTATTCCCTGTGGAATCACCTCTCCCATTTGGATCCGCAACAAGGAAGGCACTTCTCAGTGGTGGTTCTCTATGCAGGTCGTGAACCACAACCAGCCCATCAAGAGTCTTGAGGTCAGCACCGACAGTGGCAAGACATGGACAGCAACGACCCGCAAGGATTACAACTTCTGGGAGAACCCCAACGGTTTCCGCGTCGAGACGACTCAAGTTAGAGTTACTGCCACCACTGGAAAGTCCATTGTCATCACCAACGTCGGTACCGCCGCCGGTGCTAAGTACTCTGCTACTTCCAACTTCTAGACGAAGAATCGTGTGGGCTCAAGGCATTCCTGTGAAGGGGTTGTCATTCCAACTGGTATTCTTGTTACTTCGTCGCCAGCCCACGACGGCGGTATTGGTACTTGACTTAGCAGTCAGACAATGATTTCCTCAACTATTTTGGATTCATTTTGTTACATAGGGGGATTATACGAAACTAGTTGAGATGGAAAGTCCTGGAAGGTGGTGAAGAACTACCTAGTACTGTAGCTTCGTAGTCAATCATGAACGCTTTCTCGACCAGAAATATCATAGCCGCAAAAGCACATTTGCTCAAGTGCAGATATATTTCCATGTGATGACTGCAGTATGCGCAACAAGCCGATCAGCGCTGACTCAATGTGCTAGACCATGTTGCCTCCTGTTCCTTTTTCCACGTCACAACCCTTGTCATTCCGAAACCACATTACAGGGTAAGTTAATTTCGGCTTCTATACAAAACGTCTAAACGAGGGTGATGTTCCAAGTTGAGTACTATGGCTCGACAAATCCGAGTCCAAGTGAATGATATGTTCACAGGATTTCCCATGGCGTGGCTGTAGATAGTTAGGTGGCTGACACGGCCAGCATCTCTCTGTAACTACCAAACATCCTCCCCACCCATGCACGTATGGGTATCTGGACCTTGGCAACGTGAGCGCTCGCCTCGCTACTGCTTCTGCTGGCGGGTATGTCGACGTTCACGTAGCGCTGCCCTCGCTGGATATTGAAATGGTATTTCTCTGCAAGATCTTCAATTAGATAACAGTTCCATTTGGTAGGAAGGTTCCTTGATGCCGAGTGTACTACCGACACAAGGACATGAAATTCTTACTAGCGTGCTGCTCCTTCTCAATCTCTTCAAGAGTCGAACTTCGTCGAAGATCCGTATCTAGGTCGAAGACGAGGACGCGTGTCCTAGAGGATCGGGTCGACGAAGTAGTTGATCTAGAGATCATTGTCTGAGTTCTTGAGTCGTCCATGGTGTGTTTCGTCGTATTCCTCGCGATATGGGATGAAGACGGTACTAAACCTACGGGATTCCTACGGGCGGCATAGATATTTATGGGTGGGCTGAAAGATCTACCGTATTCTTGGAGGCTGAGTCCTTCAGACCTGCCAGCTTGTGACGACAGGTGCATAACTTGTGATTTCAGCAGCAAAACTGCCTGGCTTATCTGCATAGCCTGCTTAGCCTGACTATGGCATCGTGGCTGTGCGCATCATCCGCTGACCATCTGCTGCAGGACGATCGTATCATGCCCGTCATTGGATGGATCCGCAGCAGCTATTTCAATCACAAACTGCACGTCTAGCGTCAGGTGCTGCTCTCACGTATCAGGCACCCAATCAGACAGCCTCCCTTCCGGCCCCCAAACTGTGAAGCGACCTTCGGCCTCTGAAGCGAACCTCGGATGAGCCAAAATGGAAAAAGGATGGTGTTTGCAACCACTACGGAACGATTTTCATCCATTCAGGTGAGGCGGAGCTTGAGCTGCGGGCAGCCTTATCCATTTTTAGATTGGATTTTCAGGACACCATCGTGCGGACTGTAAGAATGCGGCTCTGTTTAGAGAAAACAGTCAGCCTTATTCTCCATTCAGGTAGCTGATGCGTCATATAAGGAATAGGTTCCTATCCTTCAACTACAGGTGTTTTTCAGAGTCTCTTATCCCACAAGTTGTTCAGTATGCCTTCTTCCTCATCAAACATTCGCCAACGGTGGCGAACTTTCAGGAACAGCAGATCGTCAGCGAGCAGTAGCACTTCCAGTCCCTCGACCATCTCTAGATCCCAAAATGGAAACTCGCAATTCAGCGGTTTGACCGCGAACGAAAACAGCTGGGCTCCTATCGTCCTGTCTCTGGGTGAGTTCAAAAGTTGTCTGCACACTTTGAATCTGGCGTCTAATTCACACGTAGATGGAGGCGGAATCCGTGGGCTCTCTGAGCTCTTCATCCTTCACAGAATCATGGAGCGTATTCAAGAGTTGATCGAAGAGGAAGGCAACGATCCTATTGCGTGCGCCTTGACGGAAGAAAACGGAAACCAGTCGCGGTGTTCTGAACAACCCCAGCTCTTACCATGTTACTTCTTCGACTATATGGTAGGCACGAGCACAGGAGGGTATGCTTGCTCCCCTTGTTGTTAAAAATGTGAGATCCGTGGAGCTAACAGGCCACAAGCCTCGTTGCCGTCATGCTAGGGCGACTCAGGATGAGTGTCGATGACGCAATCAAGGCATATTGGACCCTTGGAAACGACATATTTCGACCTCGTCTATATCGATATTTTCGGCTCCATGGTGCAGAAAGATTGGAGAAGGCAGTCAAACGAGTCACACAACAAAATTGTGGCAGCCATGGGAAGGGGGAACAATGTTCAGGAGTTAGTGATCTTCTAAGGCAATACGACTACGCGGAGGAGGGTGACACTACTTTCCGGGAACATCCTGAGCGTCAGAATTTTACGTGCAAAGTGTGAGTACCTTTTTTCAATTGATCGACTCTGAAGAGCATAGAACTGATAGGGCAACGTAGCGCGTTGGTTTCACAACGAAAGCGTGAACAGTCGCAAGTCACTCACGTCTTCCGAAGCTATAACCACAGCGAACGGTTCGAAAAAGAGCCCAAAGAATACAATCCCGGCCTTTTGGGTCGCTCGAACACCAAAATATGGCAGGCCTGCCGCGCAACATCTGCAGCACCCTTCTACTTCGACAGCATTAGTATCGGGCCTAACGAGTTCATCGACGGCGGCGCCGGTAACAACAACCCCAGCAACATCGCTTGGAATGAAGCTCTGTGGATGTCAAACCCCCTTGACCCTGTCAAGGGCAGAGTTGCTGCGTTGGTCAGCCTCGGCTGTGGCGAAAAAGAGTCCATAGGCCTGTTTGGCAGCCCATGGACTCTCCGCTTTCTCATCAACTTCGTGAAACGCGCGAAAGGGGAGGTAACCAACACAACAATTGCTCATGATGAGACACGCGGCCTTGCTCAACAGAGTGGCTCGGACTACTTTAGGTTCTCTGTTCCGCACACTGAGAGCGGTCGCTTCCAAAATGGTCTCGCAGGGGTGAGCCTTGGTGACTGTAAGCGGGAGCCAAAGAAGAGTGCGTGGAATTCAATCAAGAAGCAAATGAAACCAGTCAATAAGCAAGGTTCCTGGCCTTCCCTACACTCTGAAAGGATCGCTGATCGGCCGGGATGGTATGCCCAACTGCAAAAAGAGGCTACACCGCAAAGACCGCACCGCAAGAAGGGCGACTTCAAACCCGACAAATACACTTACACGTCTTATGACACCATATTCGACGGTACGGCGGCATATTGTGCGTCTGGGGAGGAAAATCTGGGAGTGGCAGAGGAGATTAACAGGTGCGCTGTCGTTCTGCTGAGTCGCGCACGAGATCGCCAGAGACATGACCCTGAAAGATGGAAGTGTTTTGTGAGCCACCCATGCCCACACCACCGATTACACTTGGTATCAAGTAGACGACCAAGAAAAGCGGAATATAGATCATCTGTAGGTGGATGATAAGTTCATGGGATTCTTCATAGATTAGACTGCAAAACCTTTGGGAGCATTTCTGGGAGGCTTAATGAACACCGGAATGGTTCAGACATGTATGGATGGAAAAGCAAAACAACAGAGCAGAACGAATCTCATAGTCGATTTCCTTAATGGGCACTTGTGCGCTGATTATGAAGTCGTCCCGATGCAGCACCTTGAACCCCCAACTTTGGCGTCCTCAACGAGAGCCTCGACGAGATGTCGCCTCACCGACGGGTCGGCATCACTGTAGGGGTAGGATCTGCACGTCTCCAGGGCGCGTTTAGGATATTTAGCCGCCCGTGCCCAGATTCCCACCTAATCTTGACTTTGGAGAAGATGGACAGACCCAGAGAGTCGCGCTGAGCAGGTAGGTGAACGGCAAAGTGGCAAGACGCCGGATCCAACGGCCTCGAGGTACGCCGGACATTGCGGCCAAGGCTACTGCCTGGCACTCGTAGCGGCCCAGAGGCGAGTGTTATACTGTGGCATGCAATGTTGTCCTTGTTGTTGGTGTTGATGCTGTCATTTTCCGTGTTCGGATTGTGGAGAAATACCGACGGTGCGAGCTGTAATGGTGATGTCAAAAACCCATGGTCATTTTTGCAACCTTCTTTCCGATATTCTCTACGGTAGATTGACACATCAATGCCCAAGTATCTGGAAAGGCAAGATCCTGAGTGATGAACGTGGGCGGGAACGGGCAGCTTGGTGACTCCAAAATTAGACGCTATGTGAACGGTTGCTCAATTGAGACATCCCGAATGCACCCGTGCACCGTAATCTGTAGATGGCTGTATACTGATATGTATAATTTAGTGCATAATTTACATATATAGGCCCGAATAAAAATATGACTCCAAGACGTGAGCGGAAACACAGTCACCAGTTTCACCCGAGTTGGTGTTACCGTAACGGTATCGGAGCGGGTTCTTTTTCGATGCCGCTTACCGGGCAACTCTAGTCACTCAAATGCCCGAGCTGAGGCATTGCGTTGCTTTGCTCGGCCTCTCGGAACTTGCGGACTCCGACGACCTCTGAGTAGATGCCGATGTCCGGGATATAAAGCATGCAGGTGAGCGTAAGTTGAGGGATACCCTGGATAGGATGAAACTATCTAAATATGTAGCGCTGATCAAGAAGCTCGAAAGTCCAGTATCATATCTCGAGTCTGGTTCATCGCCGGGAGGTTCTGCGCCACCAAGTCCCAACGCTCACGCCTGTGTTTCCAGGCTGGCCCATCAATACTTTCGACCCTTGTCGCCAGGTCCTCACCAAAGACCGTGATCTCGTCCACACTGCTTCCAGGTGCAAAATCATCGAGTACAATAAAATCGATCCAGTGATCCTGGAGAGTACGGCATAGTTCGAGATGAGTGCGCTTCTTGCCAGTCTCTTTCACGGTTTCTGGAGTTCCTTCGTCCTTTTCAGACCGTGGCTTGACCTCGGAATCGGGCACAGTACTTGTCGAATCGCCCTTCCCACCCCGGACCAAACTGGTAGGTTCCTGATATGGTCTCAAAATGCCCTCGTCAGCCAGGGTAAGAGCATCGTGAAAGGCCTCGAATAGATAAATCAGATCCACGCAGTGGTGGGACATGCCTTGACTAGGCCCAGGAAAAGGGTTACCAAATTCCACAAAGTAGCTGTGCACACTCTTTACCTCAGGATGGCCTGTCACGCGACGGCGATTCCTGAATGAAGTCCTGGCCAAGTCGACTGATCCCTCAAACATGGAGTCATTGAGAAATGTGTACAAGCCTTGAGCCAGGTTTTCTTCAGATGAGGACTCGGTAAGACCGTATACGCGCATGATCTCAGACCGTGCATTAGGATCCGTGTAAGTCTGAGTGAATATAGACTGAATTTGGTCCCAGTTGAGAGGTAGTCCTCTAGATATGCTCATCTGTCGCAGGATTAGAAATGAGAAGCAGCATGACATATATGTAGGTTTACCTCGTTGCCTGTGAAGCCCATTAGTATGTCAGCGCGCAGCTGCGGAAATCGAGATGGCCTATTCGTGAAATCCACTGGACCTAGATCGACCATTGTTCTTTCTTGAACGGAATCGTCCTGGAAGATGGTGAAGTTGTCAAATACCGATGGAATTCGCCAAAGGCCAAGTTTCCATGACGCCTCAACCAAAGCTGTAGCAGGAAGCCTCCGGATTAGGTCAAACCTATCCTGCTCACTGGCTTCACTGTCCACGTTCCAGATTTTACACAGAGCAGACCAAGTTTTTTCGGCTTCTTCCAATGGGACTGGGCCAAGCGTTCCCACGGCTCCAGATTGCATGATGGCTCGTCGGAACAGCGGGGATTCCGTCTTCCCTTCGGCCTCGATCAGATGAATGTTGACGGAGAATGAGCCAGCGCTCTGTCCACCAATTGTCACCTTGCCGGAGTCGCCCCCAAAGGCACCAATGTTGTGGGAGACCCAATGTAGGGCAATTTTTTGATCTCGCAGGCCAAAATTCACACCTCGCAAAGAAGCAGGATTTTATGAGGCCAGGATGTCTGTAGAGGCGGCAAATCCGAAAAGATTCAGCCGATAGTTTACAGACACGGCAATGATTGGAGACCCTCTCTCAAGCGAGCGCATTACTATGCGGGTTGGATCTAGTTATCGAATTTCCAGTCAATAAACTTAATAATGACAATCTTAAACGAGGGACGCAGATGATATGACTGTTACTCACCCCACATCGGGTCTGTTGCAGCGCCAAAGGCCAATCCTCCGCCATGAATCCAAACCAAGACAGGAAGCCGAGACGTCACGGGATCGAATCCATGCCGACTCAAAGCGTCAGCGCTGGGGCGAATGATGAAAAGATTCAGACAATCGAATTCGGATTCACCATCGTCGGGGAACGGGAGGTAGGACTGAAACGTGCGCGAGTTGTTTGGTTCCGACGGCTGGGGACACTTGGGCCTGAGATCTTGATGAGCTCTACCTCACGATTCCAATACCTTCAAGGAAGCGCACCCATTTTTTGTCGCGTCAAAAACATCCCTTGGTAAGCGAGTACGTAGATGCGAGTGTTCCCAACGCGCATTGACTGTGCCGTATGGGATGCCTCGAAATTCCTCCAGATCCGGTGAAACCAGTGAACGCTTGCCAATTATTGTCTGCGGATGGCTGTGAGCCTCCCATGTGGGCAGTTGGACGATTGCAGTCATCTTGTGTGATTTGGGGAGACGCGGGCGAGATGATGGAACAAGGTCGTTGTGATATAGATGCGGCTGTTGAACGGACAAAGAGGACGGCCAAAGAGAAGCTGAATGCCGATACCTTATTTATAATAAAAATAACTCTGCTTATCTCCAAACACACGTCGTGAGACCAAGTTGCCTGCCATACGTAATGGATTCGCAGCCTCGCCAAAATGTCGTGAGCCGCCCCCGCCCAAAATGATGCAATAAGGATCCGCTACCCAAATGGTGAGACTCAATTGGCTCGCAGGGTTATCTCCTTCAACCCCACCGTCATCGGCCCAATTCGTCCGACGCGAATTCGGCTTAATACAACCCGACAGCCGGTACAGAGTATGTACGCCTGACACAATATGTCTCGGCGATGGGATGACTCTCTATGAGTTAGTCACACTCTGATTGGAGAAGAAGATGGATGGATGCTTCGTTTTAGTCGGATAGAAGGGGCTTACTTACATTTGGTTAATGTGTCGATGTCGCTGGAAATGATAAGTGTGAAGACACTTGCGGACTCACAGCTAAGGCTAGCATTAATAAGGGACAGATGCATGATATACTTTAAACAATTCTTCCCAGACCCTCTGCGGGAATCCCTAGGGGTCTTTTGAGAATAATGGATGTCGCGACCTTAATCAAACAACTACTTAATACCCAGTTCAAAACGTTGTCCACCTACCCTATAGTTGTGGTTCAATATACCGTATAGTCTCAATAAATTGCCGACGTCTAGCGCGACATAATTAGAGTTATCCCCCACTACAGAGCTTTAAACCCATTTCTGATAGGCCTTATTGCGCACTAATGCAGCGCTAGACTTAGCCAATTCAATGAGATTATGCGGCATCCTGCCTTTATCTTCTATTACCTAGTCTGCGTCAACTGCTTTTCTAATTGTGCTCACGCCTCCAAGCCCTCATCATTGCCAAATTAGTCGCAGGAAACACTCTCCAACTTGATGAATTTGCAATAACTCCAAGGTTTTTATCATTTCGCTGGTGCTTGGGACCCTGAGGTTTCACTCGCAATTGCTTGCAACGATTAGCTACTACCAATGGTATTACCATTGCCAAGACTCTATATGGCTGGCAAAGATATAGCTATCGTTGTAACAAACCATCTTTATATGCTGCACTTGATTGATAGTGCATGTGTGTCCTATTAGTAGCGTACAGCATATGCGTTACGTCCTATACTAAAAAGATTTCAAGGATGGCGAGCTAGTGCAGTCGGCAGACAGTGAGTGGGTAGAATACAGACTAGAGCCGTGCCTAAGAAGCGGTTTGAGCCTCTCTCGTTACTGTGCCGGCATACTACGCTCATCCGTGGTCCAGCAATTACGAAGTTGTAGAAGGTCATGGCACCACAGATTGCATTCTATCATGTAAACCATCACACAATAGAGACTTGGGATCAAAGCTTGACAGACACGGATGAGTTCTTCATGCCTATACTGCTCGCCATCCAGCATTACAGTGGATGGCTAAATTTCTAGCTAGATTGTTACATTGCAACAGGTTCTTGTTCATGAATGCGTCTAGAGCAACTTCACGAGGACGCTCTTGACTTCGCCAATGCTCTTGTACGCCGCAAGGGCCTCCGCGTTCTTGGGATCCTTGTAAGCATTCTCTGCCTCCTGTGTGGGATTCCTGGTCAGCAAGACTTTTGTAACGAATTTTTTGAATTTTGGGCACGAACCTCAAGGCTGCTCCAGCCCAGCAAGGCGATACCAACGAAGACATCGTCTCGGAGAAGTTTGCCGCCGCGGGTCTCCTTGCCCAGCAGAGTTGCCAGATCGGTCCAGGCTTTGCGGGCCTCGTCTTTCTGGCTGTCGCTGGATAGCGTCGTGCTCGTCAACTGAACAAAAGGCTGCGGCGTCGGTTTGGCGGAATCCTCGGGAAATTCGAATCGCCCGACGGATGGCTCGGGAACTCCCCGGGACTCCAGTCGAGCCTTGTGCTCCTGAGCCCATGGGGACTTGACAAAAGCCTCTTCGTCTTCGGCATTATTGAAAGCTAATCAGAACGTAATTAACACCACTCCAGTACCTCTTGAAGCTTCGAGATACCGGTGACACATACCAACCCACTGGATGAACTTGAATTCATCCACCTTTTGGCCGTCTTCAACGACGACCTCGCCACCTGTGGCATGAAGGACGCCGGGCTGTGCCCGCAGGTCTTCTACAAGAGCGGGCCAAGCATCGAGGAACTTGTCCTTGCTGGCGGCGGGAATGTCGGGTCGGATGATGGAGAGAATAGGCATTTTAGCTGACTGAAAGATACAGGGTTCTGTGAATGGCGATGAAATGGAATGAGTCTGTAGTTTGAGATGATGAATTCTTCAATCAGGCCATGCTGGCAGCCTTATATACCAAGAGTGCCTGACGGGAAAAGCGGTCGATAAATCTAAGTGGGACTCCATGAGTCGTACTCCGGGTGCCATGGCATCATTTTCGGACTTGACTAAGAATCCGACGCCGAACCAACAAGCCCCGGTTCCGTACAGGACTACGCGTCGTGACATACTAGTTTCAAATACATGGGGTCAGTTAAAGATATGAAAAATCGGTGAAGAAACGGTGAGTATCATATCCGCCGGCATAGCCGAAAGCGCCGACGGCCTGGCATGGATCGCGGATCAAGTAGTCTGAGATACAGGCCAGTCAACGAACACTTTACCCCTAAGGCGAGTAAGAAGGCACACATGACGACAATTGAAGAGGAATTTCCAAATCTCAATTCTCTCTGGTATCGACGAGGTCCCCCATATCGTCGTCATGTTCAGTCAGAGCGGCAACAAATTCATGCGATGTGGTCAAAATGGGCTGCAGAGCATTGAAGTGTCATGGAACGAGCGAATCATTGATGAGAATTCAATACACTAGTGGTGAACTTAGTGCACGCTCTCGGAGCTTTGAAGTCCCGGCCTAGCCTTCATTATTCTTACCCCTGTACAAACAGCTCAGCACTGCGCCAAGGAGCTCAGCAGCAAACGAACTAATCCCGGCGTCAATGGCCTTGGCGGAATGTTGTCCTGTACGTCGTATTGGAGAATTTGTGGCTGGTAAAGCTAATTGTGGGTTCGCATGTCGGATTCGCACACCGGATTCGCATGCGGTTTCTATCCGTAATTGGGGTATTATTATAGAGCAATGAGATTGAAGTATGAACTTAGGGGTTCAACTTGAGTCAATATCATCAGATAATTGAAACTCACACTATAATCGTGAACAGTAGGCGCAGAGACCCAGCAGTACTTGCACCGCTATCAAATGCAGTCACTCATATATGAGGGTGTCACGCGCTTACCCTTGCCCTAAGCATTCGCTTCGGCTCTCCTATCCCTAAGCTTCTTAAGTATTGGGAATAACGTTACATTTCAACGCAGTTCTTCTCAGTCCTCCGTCCCCGCTTCGGGCTGGCGAGCCAATCGAGACTCTAGACCCGAATAATACCGTGATGCGTCATGGCATACCCTCGAGCACACCGCCAAGTTGTCTCGACAACGACTTTAGCGGCGGCATCACCTCAAACTAATGTGGCTGTCACAAGATCCAGTGGATATCTCAGGGTGCTTAAGGAACATACCGTTCCCTCAATGCTAAGAACCAACTTCCTCCTCGACATTCCTTCCTAGAAGGGCCTCCATTCCCTGTTGAGTTGCCGCCTACTTTGCACATCTAAAATCATGCGGACTTTCTCTGACGATTAAACGTTAATAGATAGACCTTCAACCCAAGGCCTCGCCGAAACATGGCGAAATGCAGTGTCACCAGAGACCTTGCGCCAGGCCAAAGTCACGTTGGATTCACTGGCTGGGGGATGCTCGACATTGAACTTTCGCAAAGGTGCCCGATACTCTGCAACCACTGATGAAATTTGTCAACTGGCCCCTGCCCATCTACGCCCTATAAGTGCGTATTGTACCTTTTTGGGCTACTGGGCTAGATGTCCAAGATATCGTAGAGCTGCTGTTCGTTAATCTAGCCGTGAGATAGTGTAATAATGCCAGTAGGTATCTGGGAATTTTAATATAGCAGGCTCTTCATACTAGCTAAGCATCTGTTTAAGTGATAGCTCTGCCGGTAACTTTAGCGGGGCATGATTCTTTCATTCTTTAATTTTGATGGTACAATTATTGTCTCGCCTTGTCTCCTTGCATAACATGCCACAGAATTATAGCCATTCTTATGGAACTTATTCAAAACCGCTGTATCAAGTCTTCCCTGAAGTCTACAAACACATTCCGTCTTTTTATGCAGCTGTACATGCCTTACCCCCCTTCTCTTGCTGTTGACGATGACCTCTTCAGCTACCTGGGCATGGCTTGCGCGCCACGTGCCCCCAATGAGGCTGGGGCGTCTCGCGTTATATTGGGAATTAAATATACCCCCCTCTTTCTGTACATCTCTCATTTCTGGAGTCTGCTTCGATGATATTACTGTTATGAGTATGCCACATAAGAGTGCTGCGCTAACAGCGCTGCGACCCGCGCCAATGACCTAGATAAGACGACATTGATACAAGTCTTTAGCTGTAATACTGTGAATACTCAGTGTATATACGACAGATAATTCAGACCACGTAGGGCCCATAGATTCTTCATCCATTTAGACTAACTATTGCAAATGGGATGTTTTGTTTCCCCATCCACACATGTCTCGGGTGTTGCAAGATGGCATTACATCCAGGGCTAAGGAACAACAAGAGATGGAAGAAACATTCCCGTTGTATTTCAGGGGTAATTCAGCTGCCTCTGGTAATCGCACCGACCCTACGAGATCCTGATGACTTAGAATTGCAGAAAACCGTTCGCTGCAACAATAACTGCTCAAATGGGCTCCAAATTACGGGTAGACAGTCACTTTCTAGTGGATAGACGTTGGAACGTGAATGCTCAGATGCCTCTTCATCAGATGAGCTACCGGATACTTTATCTAACACAGCTTGTTATTCTGTTGCTACCGTCCTCTTATGACTTCCCAGCAATAATAGCAGCAGCTTGCTCAGTAAGGGCATAAACTGGTGCTTGGATGTGAGCGCTCAAGGCAAGGGGAATAACCGAAGCATCAACGACCCTCAGACCCTCGACTCCCTTGACCCGGAATTCTGTATCCACAACCTTACCCATGGAGCAGGTTCCAGCGGGATGCCATGTCGTGGAACTGGCAGAAGCTAGCCTGAGATCAAGCTTCTCGTCACTGTCGTCAAGTGTCACAGGGTCAAGGCCGAGGACCGCCGGAACTGATTCACCCTCGATGAACTGGCCAAATTTGGGGCCCAGCATGAACTGGGTTAGCTGCCGAAGACCCTGGCGGAAGACGTACTTGTCTACCTCAGTGGATAAGAAGTTAAAGCTGACTAGAAACAATTAGTTTGTTGAAAATCGCGATAATCCTCTTGAAGGTGTACTTACTCTTAGGCTGATCCTCAGGATTAGAGGAGCTGAGAGATACGCTACCTCTTGAAGTTGGCAAGAAGCTAACAACAGCGGTTGTCATATGCTCAGCGTCGAACTGGACGCCAGCGAAAGGAACCTTGGCATATAACACGATATTCTCAAGGAAAGTACGCGTTTTGCTAAGGAAAGGGTGGGTAGCGGCATCGGGTTCCTTGCCCTCATCCTTTTTGATAGCCTCGGCGAGACCCTCCTTGGGAACAGTAGTGGAGACAATCCAGTCCATGGGCACTCCATCTGAGTACTGCGGTTGGGCAAAGAGGGGATTCGGGGAGCCGAGGGTGTATCCTGCAGAAGGGTCTCGTAGACGCCAGTGTTGAAAGAAAGAAGTATGATCAGTCAGACCCTGACCAACCTCCGGGAGGTCGATGACAGCCTCAATTCCAACCTCCTTCAGGTCGGCAGCAGATCCAATCCCTGAAAGTTGAAGGAGCTGAGGAGAACGGAATGTTCCGGCGGCAGCAACGACGTTCTTGGCCAGCACAATAGTGCCATCGGCCAATTCAACACCCGTAGCCTTGGGTATTTCGCCACTAGTCTCTAAGACCACCTTGTTCACGAAAGTGTTAAAGCGGATCTCGACTCCTTCGAGAGGGTATTCTCCTGCAGACCACGAACGCTTGCCGTTGTTTCTGGCCTGGCAGATGTAAGCGCGGCCGAGGTTGTCGCCAGCATTCTGGTCCAAGCCGGGGAGTGCCTTGACACCGAGCTCCTCCCAACCTGCAATAGCGTGCTCGCTCAGTGGGAATGTGCGGTTCGCAGACTGCGCAGACACAATGTGAATCGGTCCATTTCGGCCATGCTGCTCAGGGTTCGTGTTGTCGAACCAGTGCTCGGCCTTCTTGAACCAAGGGACCTGACCCTCATAGCTATAACGCTCGTCGGATACGAGAGCGGCCCACTCATCATATTCAATAGAGGAACCGCGAGTCCAACCGCCTTTGGATTCAAACTTTTGTTAGCCGGTCCCTGCTTTTTGTATAATGTGCGCACGACGACCTCCACTTACCGGAGTTGATAGATGAGCCGCCACCCAATCCCTTTCCAGCGTTGACGGGGATGGTTCGGTTGAGATACCCGGGGATCGGCTCAGATTCGTATTTCCAGTCCAAGTCTCCGCCAAGGTTTAACGTCTGAGGGTTAAGGGTGTCAGGGCGCGTGCGAGTATCAGGACCAGCTTCGATGAGGACAATTTTGGCATCTTCGTCATATTGGTGCAATCGACTGGCAAGGACGCAGCCAGCGAGGCCGCCCCCTACAATGAGGTAATCATAAGTAACGGAGCCCATTGTGATCGACGTTGTACCAAACTCTGAAAAAGCAACTTTGCGTCAGAGCGCGTGTATAGAGGGAACAGGTGGCGAGGAAAGACTGATGTAAAAATGTGGAAGAGAACCATCCTCCAGGATCCCCTCCTAGATGTGGGGGAAGGGGGAAGGAATCAAGGCCTATGGTCGACAAATGGCCTCATTGCGCGGCCAGTATCTGCATAAACATGGGTCCCAGCAGGTCAAATGCAGGGCCTGCAAACAGAGTCTACCACGCAGTAGTTACGGCCTACCATATTGGTCTCTAGGAATGGCATCCCTGTATTCGTAAAACGTATCGGCTGGTACCCCTGCATTTGGTGTGATGCCAAGCCAACACAGCGTAGCACTGCCGATATCGCTGACTCCGTTGTGCATCCATCAATCACACAACTGCTAATGTAGAGGCCCTTTGACTGTCACTCGCCAAAACGTCGAGCAAATCTTGAGTCCCAAGTTCCTTTCACCAGATGTGAAATGCTTTTTTTGTCTTCATTTAACTCCCAACCTTTTACTGGTCTGGATAAAGCCATTGGCCCATTGGTCTGGAAGCAGAGGAGAGAGGACGGGATTCACATTCACGCAGAGAACACCCCGCGTTTAATAAATTTGTGACCGTTTACCAGGGCTGTGGGTGGATCCTGTGGCTCAAAGGAAGGAAGATAATTGCTCTAGCGCTCGACGATCGCACCACGAATACAGAGTACAGCCGAGATCAGTTAAACAACAGCGCTACATAGCTCTTGGATGGCTACGCCGCAGGCCTCGGTCGATTGTCTCCATGTGACTTCGCCAGGGTCGGCACGAGGGGAAACTCTTCCGAACCCCCCTTGTCGTTGAACAAGCTGCTAAATTAACTAGCTCCCGGACTGCCCCGCGATAATCATGGTGGATTGCCTCCACGTATCCTCACTGGGGTCGGCATGACGGGGGCAGGTTCCGCACCCCTTGTCTGCATCTTACAACTGTGCGCTCACAGTAGTGGAAAGTATGGTGGTGCAAGGGTTTGATGGCTTTTGTCGCCGAAAGAGAGCGCCGAAGCAACACGATTTTGCACCCGTTCGTCTAAAACATTGATGGTGGGAGGTAGTGTATTGATTAGCCACGCATCATGTCAAATAGCCAGGTAATAACCAGTTGGGAAGGCGAAGGGTAACTGAGACTGGCTGCATGCCAAGAACATGATATGCTTGCTCAATGGAGAAGGCCTCTTGCATCACGTCATACCTGTGGAATCACCCTGGTAAGCCCCCAGGTACTACTTCACAAGACCCCTGATGATCAACCTGCGCTGACGAGGCAGAGCGAAAATGCAACCCTGGGTGGAAAAAGCGGCGATTCGTCTACCGCCCTTGGGCAGATGCCACATTCGCTCCTTTCCAGGAACATTTCTCGGTTCTCGGGCCCCAACGGAGAGAAAACGATCAACATATGATGAAAAACACGGTCCTGCCCTTCCCCCACACGTTGCAGTCGAACGGTTCTTCTCAACGGATCTCAAGCCACGCTGCCGGCTCCACGAGTCGCCACGAGCCGCGATGGCGTCTGATACTGACAAACTTACGACGACGGTCGTGCCGCTTAATCCACGGCCAGAGGTTCGTCAAGCTTTGTTGACGGTCATCATCTTCTGCGTCTTGATTGCCGTCTGGTCTGCGCTCCGGTTATATGCGCGACGGGTGCGACATACGCCCCTAAACGTCGAGGATACCTTGTTCTACGTCTCTGTGGTATGAAAACGATATTTCAGCAGGCTTATGGTGATTAATCCACTCACTACTTCAACAGGCTGCCTATTATGGCATGGTAGTGGCGTTTTTCTTGCGTACGTTCTAGAATAAGCCCACCAAGGCTATCAGCAATCCTAACAAATGCATCTAGTGCTGTATTTTGGTGGCGTTGGCTATCATATGAATCAATTGGGCAAAGGCCACGTCGCAAGGTTGACACAAGTAAGTTTCTAACCAACTACTTGAACCACTTGTTGAAGGTATTATGTTGCTCACATTAATGACATCACCACCAGAGCATGTTGGCCGTTCAAGGCTTGTACGGTCTTTCAATGTGCACAAGCAAATGGAGCATTCTCTGGATGCTTAAGCGCGTCTTCGCAGTTCGTATGTTTTGGGTAAGCCATAACTGCCCTCCTGCGCCATCGTAACCAAATGGCTGATCATTCACGGTGGACTTAGATTTGCACTTGGATTATCATCGTTGTCCAGGCAGCGTGGATGATCATGACACTCCTCATCGGCTTGTTGATATGCCGTCCCGTCCAAAAGAATTGGGATCCTACAGCTGATGGCACATGTGGGGATCAAATTGCAGGCTATACCGCCGTCAGTATCATCAATGTCATCGTCGATGTGGCAATGTGCCTTCTGCCTATCCCTGTGATTTGGGGCTTGCAGGTCAAGAAACCGTACAAGATGGCACTTTTTGGCATATTTGGCATTGGCGTTGTGTAAGTCGCTCCTCCTGATAGACTCGTTATAGTTCGCTGACTGCCAGCTTAGCTCTGTCGTCTTTGCCATCATCCGTTTAGTCTCCCTTCGCAAAATCGATTTCGACGACTTCTCCTATTCCGTACCCGAAGTAATAACGTGGACATATGCTGAGTGTGGTGTCGTTATTCTCGTTGCGTGCTCCCCTCTGCTGCGACCAATATTCGACAAGCTTTTCCGACGCTTTTTGTCCAGCGCGAAACGAACCGACCAATATGGACCGTCGTACGAATCGCGAAACTTTCAAAATTCGGCCAACACTGCTCCCAAGATGGGATCAAAAATGAGAAGCGGGTTTATGACCGTGGGGGAGTCCGAAGAGAGTCTGGAGCTCGGTGACATCAGAAGCGAGGGTCGTATCCAGTCAAGGGCGACGGCATCAAGAGAACCTAGGCCGACGGACGGGAAAGTTGGCACTTGGTCACCAGAAAAAGACCTCAAGATGGGTATAATGGTAGAAAAAGAGGTTTCACAGACTGTGAAGCTGGTAAAGTAGGGTGTGGAAAGAAGCCCTGATTATAGATGCAGTGTATGACATTAAGACTTGATATGAATGGAAACGAGAGATAGAGAACCAAGAAGGACGTCTGATTTGGGCCTCGACTCATATGAGGGCTGGACATTCGATTTGGCACTGGAGACTACCACAGAGGACGGTTGCTCAGCCTACAGTTCTGTTGATGTGTTTGGAAAGTTCGCACAATGTACGTCAATGGACCTAATATTTGTCTAGGAAAAACAATCACTGACCTTCCAGCAGGTACCTATGGCTCGCACGCTAAATACAAGACTGGCAAACTGGAGTTCGATTTTGGCACGGCAAAATACGTCATGAACAATCCTGATGAGGAAGAAAAACCCCCGGAAGAGAGGCCAAACAAAGCCCTCAAGATGCAAGGCGACATATGCTACGGTGCTGACGCGTTTGTTGACCATGATGACATGCATGAGAGTTGGGTGCGGCGGTATTCTGGTTGGCCTTGTGCTGGAACAGCTATCAGCGCCGTCAAAGCCGGAGAAGCAGGCACTTTTATAAAATTTCATACCGTTATTAACAGCGTGCCATATCAGTTCAATATAGATTGGAAGGAATATTGTTAATACTATTGCTCGTTTTTTTTTTTTTTAACTATTGACCTTCTAGTCCCCCCTCTGGTTATTTGTGTACTAGGGCACCCTAACCTCTTGATATACTGGAAGGACGGATGCGAGTTCGAGATAGGCCAAACCGAGATGTATTCTGTGAATCCCCTGGGCGAGGAGAATTCAGGATATACTAAGTCTCAAGAGCTCCTTATTGACAACTACAAGAGGTGCGTCAACGGGGGTGTGGGTGGTATCAACCAGGCTAGCTGTTTAGTGTATGAGTTCAAGGCTGAGAATTGAAGTGATTAACTCGCCGAGGTTATATATCTTATTTCCTATACACCTCTACACCTCGTATCCAGAGCGATGGATGGCCGAATAAGAAGCCAAGTATACCATGCCAACAATCAAGATGCAGTAGATCTCTCAATATCGTCTCAAGAAGGGAGACCGATTAGGCCAGCGTCGAACACTTATCGCCGGCGGCCGAGGAACCCCAGGTTCGAAAGCACTCCATATCTCAATAATGAGGTTTGGACTTATGTCAGGCGCAGCTCTGTAAGTTGGCCAGCCGCGGGCGCGAATCGCAAACTGCGGCTCAACATTGGCCACTTCCTTCCAAGCTTCAGCTCTGTTTGGGTTGACAGGAATGTTAACCGTCAAGACGCTGGCTAGCCTCTCGCCAAACTGATACGGGTTTGCATTCCCCCGCATCACCGAGCTTAGAGTGAATCGCCACTCGGGCTCGCTCGTGTCCAGCCAAAGGTCTACCGAGACTAGGTTTTCGGCCCGATCCAGCGCTGAACAGCACTTTCTCCAGCGAGCCATGGTGGCGTGAGCTGCGTCGCTCATTTTTTCTCTTTCCTCTCGGCGGACAGGGAGACGGATGGCAAGTTGAAGTTGAAATCTTTAATTAAGAATATCATGTAGTCTGTTAGCATTTCCCAATTGGGAAATTGAAATTGTGAGCGCGATCCCTTATGCAGCAGGCGGTTAGGATCTATATTATACTATTCCTAATTGGGCTAGATACACAGGGAGCCGAAGGGAGTGCACGGGGAGCTGAAGCGTACTCTGAGGAGAGCATCGATTGGCGGCGAGACCAGATTGAGCACATGCGGGCGTGGTTGGGGATAGGACAGTTATCGGATATACTGCGCAGTTTATTGGATGATGCGAATGGAGGACCGGCACGGGGAGAGTGGGTTGGGTTATTTGTCTTTGCGCAACACCAAGAACGAATGGTGGTTGGAGCCGGGAAAAGGATCGGTAAAGTATCGGGTATTCAAGTCGCAGGAGAGAAGAGTGGCGTGGTTGAAGGTGATCCAGAAGTATTGGGGCGCACGTTCGAAGAGTCCAGGGAGCAGATTTGGATATTGATGCTGCGACCAAGTAGCAAATCAAGTCAAGCCACGTCAACGCTACCTTGTAGCTGAAATGGAAGACAAGTTATCTTCATTTGTCTCAAAAGGTCTGAGTGCAGTCTTACTCCCGCCCCTCGCTCATGGATTTTCTAATGAAGGTGCTATAGGTCATCCTACTTTCAAATTTATCGGAATTCCACCTTTAAACCTTTACCCTTGGTCAAGTAACAACCTTTCTTGGATGAAGCGACGCTTAAACCACTGCCGAAAGGATCACCCCGACTGCAACGAACACCTTCGCAAGCAGCGTCGTAGATTCGTTATACCTAAGCGACTAATCGATGCCGGCCCAGTTGATGCACCTATTGTCCGTCTGGTTACGTCCGACTCTGCAACTACGTGGAAGTATGCCATCGCCAGTTACGCTTGGGGCACTGGCTTGCAAGGAGACGCTATCCGTCAAACTCAAACAACACAGGCGAACGTAGAATCGAGGATGGAAGACGGCATCCAACTCGCAAATTTACCCAAGACCATTCGAGATCTGATTCAAGTGACTCGACATGTCGGCTACCGTTTCATTTGGATTGATGCTTTATGCATTGTTCAAGATGACGACTACGAGAGAAACCATCAATTAGACAGAATGGTCGAGTTTTACAAGCAAGCTGACGTTCTTGTCTCCGCTGCCAGTGCCTCACACTGCGATGAGGGATTTTTAAAACTCAGAGACGCAGATAAGTGCTATGGATCCATCTATGAACTACCTTTTGAATTGAGTCTTGGAGACCAGAATAAGAAAGGCTCCGTATTCCTGTGTGAAAAGAGTCTCGATAGTGCTTCAGACGAGGAGCCTGTGCATATGCGAATATGGACATGGCAAGAGCATTTGGTCTCTACACGTGTTCTCAGTTTTGGCTCGCGGCAGGTTCGATGGAAATGCCTCCGATCTAACGCGGTCGACGGTGGTGACCCCTCTTTCGAAATTGGCAGTCCAGAACACATGTCAGACCAGGCATTCTCAGGTTCCCCGGATTCTTTTGAGTCTAATGAACAAATCAACTGGAGATTCCAAGCCTGGCTGAAAATTGTTGAAGAATACTCGTTCCGCAAATATACCCGGGCAAGTGACAGGCTACTTGCTTTCTCCGAGTCAATATCGCGCCTCGCACCTCTTGTCGGCTGGCCGAAGTCAGAATGCTATGCAGGAATATGGAAAACTGACGCTGCTCGGCAAATTCTTTGGAGGAAAAAATCCCCATTGGATCTAGAACAGATTGATACGGAACAAATTTCCGGACCTTCGTGGTCTTGGGCGACATTACCGGACGGAGTGTGGTATGAAACAGGCGTCGAATTACGGACTTTGAACGACTCATTTAAAATGATAGAGGTTGTTGAGGACAGTGAGGGACATCTTCGTCTTGATATTACGGGATATATCCGGGAAGCATACTGGCACGGCTCTATAGCCGAGCAAGTTATGATGAATCCACCCATCCCATCGCTTAAGAATGGAATATACGTCAAAATAGCATGGGACGTTTATCTACGGCCCCAGCAAGTGTGGTTACTTGATGTGGCACCTTACTACAGACCGCGCATGAGTCTAGGGTTAGTTTTGGTGAAGGTATCTCAGGATCCAGAGCGTTTCGTACGGCGGGGGCTTTTCGAAGCAGGAGATCTTCATCACGTGCCGAACAACGCTTGGGAGGTTCCGATCGTGCTTAGCTCAGATCAAGAAGGAGAGCATCGAAACATTTCCATAGTGTAGTTCTATCCTTCATGCTTAGGGTTCTTGGCCTCCATAGTGAGGCTGATAGTCGAATATCCTCCCCATACTTGACTATTGTTGGAAGATGACCCTGTATTACGAAACCTCTGATAGACTGATAGACTGACCTTAGTAAGAAGGGGGGTCTGATAACCCTCTTCCAGCCGGTCCGGATGACCGGCACAAGCAATCATCACATCATCATACTGCTTTGAACACTATCCATTTGATCAAATTGACCGTGACGGATCCAACAATTAAGAGTCTCATTTGTTTGAACAAGCTAGCTGCGCTAAGATCCGTACGGTTTTTATTCCCTATTTTAGATCAATTTTGCCCCTATCTTCGAACATCGCAATGTCAGACAAAAAGGCCGCATCAGCCGACCAAAGGTCACTCCTTAGGACCTTTGAAGATTGGGCAGATTGGGACATGGGATTTCCAGACTGGGTTAAGCCATGTGGCTGTCTCTCGTGTGAAAACGCTCGAGGGTTTGATGTTGGATGCCCCATTTGATCGCAATTACCTGATTTACGCGTCTCCCCCGGATGGTATGAAGATGAAGATGAGGGATCAGCAGCTTCGGAGTCGACAGGTTCTTACACGGAACCCCTATAAGACAGACCACGGTTCTGCATAATTCTAGGTGATTCTGCTCGCGACGAGAAGAGATGTTATAAAAATTGCACCAGTGCGTAAATATGCAATGGTTGTAGATAATTGCTTGGCCTGGCTACTATTCAGCGGACTTTCAGCCAGAATTACCCAGGGTTACTATATAAGGTATCCCAATGGCTTAAGGGTTATATTGAAATCCCGCTTATACTGAGCTCCATAGATGATTGGTGCTACCACGAGGGCAAGCCAGAAACATAGTAGATGGGACGAGCGGCAGTCGCGTCATTGCTCTGAACCTCCATATTATCGGTGCCTGTGTATATTATTGAGTCACAAGACGATTGGAGCTCTCATAATCTGGCTTCAGCGGTACCATATCCGCGCCCCTTTCCTTTTCCCTGACGCATCTCTACACCTTAATAAAACATACACATTGGCCTACAGTCCCGAGCAGTCGTCCTAGACGCCTAGGTTCCAGGCATAGAAGTCGGCTAAGGCGATGTCGTTGTCATTCACAATCGCCCAGCACCCGTCGTCAGTCTGTACAACGTCGAAGGCGTCACAGCCAGACACCACGCCCGACTGCACAGCTACCACACTAGAAGAGAAAACGTAGCAGTGGCCGGAGCCGCTTTCCTGTGCCAAAAGGAACAAAAGCACATATCTCTCTCTTCACTGCTAAAATATAACCGTTTATCAGCGACAGCGTGTCTTGGGCCAAGGCATCCTCTTCTGTACCACTACTGTGTGGTCGAAACAAGAGGCTTTTCTGACGAGACTGTTCTTCTCTAAGCTCGCCCAAACCGGGCCAGCATATAGTCAAAGCGGACGTGTCAGAGTATTTGCCTAGACCTCACGGAATTCGGCGTTCCGATGGGCTCCTCTGAACGTAATGAGCGTGATATACGGGATTCGAAAATCGGAACCGGATTGATGTGACCTGCGGCGGATAGAATCGGGCACCTGCCGCTCTAATTGTTAAGTTTGTCGTTCATCCAATGAGGGCCCTCGGCGCTAGCATGACCCGCGCAGAGCATCTCGTGCCAGCCCCAAACTGTTTTTTCGCGTCGTTAGGTAATGGGCTTTGGGGGCCTTCCAGCGCATGAACATTGCAATCACCAGAAAGCAGGCCATCTAATTTACTAATTTAGGGCAAGGTTACGTCGCTTGTTTTAAGTAGACCAACATTGTCAAAGGCAAAAGTGCCGGCGGACTTGCAGTGTCCCCAATCACCGGATTGTGCACAATCCATTGGGTCAATCATGGCTAGATTTACCCCGAACTCCATATTCCTTTCACCGCGCTACTCCGAGAGTCTGTTGCAAGCTTTCTGCCCAGGAAACAGCTAACACCAATAATAACATACAAATTATCGGCCGAGAAAATGAGGGGTGGGCTGCTTATAGAATGGAAAAGACTGTATTTATAAATATTTTAAAATTTATCCGGTATCCTGAGACAAAATTCAAGCGACTTAGTCATCATGGGTGGCCGCTTATCCCGCCATAAAACCAACCTCACAGTAGTTAATTTACTGCTTGACTGCATGCAGATAAGCGGCAACCTCTGGACTGAGAATACGATCTGCGACCAGTTGATCGGCGGACTCAACGATCCATGTCTGGCAATTCCTCTGCACAACCCTCTTTTGAGGGACACCCTACAAGTCTCGATGTTAGCCATACCACAGATGGTGATTGGCTGTTGCTTATGGGATGTTGATGGTTATGGAGGGGGGGCTTACACTCTGTCTGGCAGCGTTCAGTGACTTTTCAGGTGCCTTGACCTTGTGTACACTTTTCTCAAAGGGGCAAACAGGAACGTTATCAGCCTTGTAGACGCCGGTGTTAAGCATAGCCCTTTCGTTCAGGAACTTGCCGTCAATCCACTGCAGCGGAATCCTGGATGTAGGTATAGTGGAAGTAACCGCGAAATCATAGTTCCTTTTGACCTCGAACCTGAAGCCGTTCCTGACATCACCAGTCGCGTGGATAATGACGCCAATGGAAGGGTGAAAGCTTGATTGTACAAAGTATGCCCAATGGTCCTTGAAAGGAGAGCCGTTATATACAATCAGCTCAACCAACAAGGCTCCAGCTGGACCTTTGTTGGCAACGACGGGTGGTGCTGGACCAGAGGCAGGAACAGCAGCATTGAAGGATGGTGGCAGAGGAGGAGGAGGAGGAGGAGGCATCTCTATATACTGCTCTATTCGATCTTGATCCAGAAAAAAAGAACCGGAAATGAAAAACAGGAACCGAATTTAACAAGAAGTCGACAGATGGAATATAGTAGAAAGGAAGAGTGTGGATGCTGAGTTGTGAAGACATTTGTCTTGGTTGAAGGGCAGAGCTTTATACCTCTGCCCATTCCGAAATGGAAGGCATCGGGAGCAGAGCATTGTCTAAAGATAATCATACGCTTCTACCGCGCGACAAAATGGAACGGGTGATTGGACTGAATCTCGATTTTCTAAGGTTGTTCGCCTGTTGGCTTTGTGTTTTAGTTCAACTAAGTTTCAGGTGCCTGGCAACCTGGGCAAGTGGGTCGTTGTGGTATCATCAAGGTCGCGACTAGGCGGTCAACCTTGGCAGAAAACCCCAGGCCTTACTCCATCCAACCGACCCAACCAACCAGGACTGCTATCCTTACCGCCCGCAATCCCCCTCATATTTCGTCAAGGAATCACACCTAGCGCTTGGAAACACTGGCCACTCTTCAGCTTTGATGGCGACAAATGATATCCCAGAGCTAAGCGCGTGCTCCGCACCGACACCAACCGCCAAGGTCTACTCCCAGTCCAGTTTCTTCCAAGAGCGCAGAGCGCCCGCGCTACCCTCACCGGCAGAGATCAGAGCCCTGAATGAGGCCTCTGGCCACTACCGTGCCGCATCCTTGAACCATCCACCCCCCGTTATCGTCCCATCCCTGGGACTAGCCGTCAAGTATGGAGCCAACGTTACTATCGCCGAGGTTGAGGCCCAGGTATTGATGCGTGAGCGACTACAAGGCTGTGTCCCAGTCCCTGAGGTCTTCGGCTGGGCTGAAGATGGCGGCCAAAAGTTCATATACATGTCTCTGGTCGAGGGTGATACTCTACAGGCAAGATTTAGCACTATGAATGAAAGTGAACGGCAGGCTGTCTGCAAGGAGCTAAGATCTATGGTGAACGCCTGGAGGGCTTTGACCCAGGAATCAGACAGATATATTGGTAAGTTATCATACCATTGCCTTCCCATCTCCCATTTAGTCTAATACAAACAGGGAGTGTAGGAAAGCGCCCGCTAAACGACATTTTCGTTGCTGGCCAGCCAGAGCGTGCAGGGCCGTTCCTAGGCGCAGATGCGGCACAAAAGTTCCATGATACATGTGGAATCGACATTAGCGACGATATTCCGATTGTCTTTACCCATAACGATCTTTGTCCCCCCAATATATTATTATCGTATGGCCCTAACCCAAAGGTCGTGGGGATTCTTGATTGGGGCCAATCAGGATGGTATCCTTCATATTGGGAGTATTGTAAGGCACGGCGAGTAGGCATCGTGGATGAGGAATTCAATTCTGCCCTTCAAGGGGAATGGCATACCAGTTATCTGCCTGAGGTCATTGATACAGTGGATGAGGAGAGGTTTTACCACCCGTGGCTGTATTTCATGTTGTCTAACATCTGAGGCTGTTGCTTAAGTCATCATAGGCCTGCGAGCAGGTACCTGAATTGTTACTTAGCTATGCTTTCGCCGTTATAGCAATGCTCTCGGCGTGCCGATGCTGTGCTGTATACTTGCTGGCCCTCTAATCGTGATGCGTCAGGAACCGTGTTTCGAGTCTGTTTACTATATCTGCCTTGCTGTAATCTCAGTGGCAAGGATTATGACCCTTCGATCTCTCGGGAACGGCCGCATGAAATTGTTCTGCCAAATGGGCTGAAGGGAGAGATACCCGCTCTTTGCATATTAAAATATTTTGTGTCGGCAGCGTAAAGGGCTTTATTATGCTAGAACTCGCGGTAGGCACATTACCTAGACTGACGGAAGACTTACGTCCACCTCCAACTGAGTTTCGGGTTGGAGGCCCTCTGCCATAGTCGGGGGAGCGTCGGGGCGCTGACCTAGCTACTTAATAGTTTCGTCTGCCATAGGTCAGAACTTTTTATCGACTTGGGAAGGATGGTAGAAGAAGAATCTCGAAGTAACTTGATCTGACGGGACGACCTTCTAAAGTGCTGGTATCTGAATCGGAACCCTAGTGAAGACTTCTGTGCTCATGCTCAAGCTTGGTTTGGACTCTATGCTGGCGGTTATTGTGCTGGGCTCAGTTACCATGACGTCTCGCAAGTTTGGACTCTTCTGGTGTTTACAGTCCTTGATATCTGAGCCAATTGGTCTCGCTGATACACCCATTGCCGATTTTGTCGTGTCAATGGTCGCGATGCGTCTGCGCGTTCTTCGGGACAACAGAACACCTGCAGCCCAGGGAACCATGTCATCATAGGCTAATTTAGGGGGAGAAAGATGTAACTTTCATGCTTAGATTTTAATTGGCTTAACACCCCTGTAGTGACCGCCATGGAGGCTTTCCACAGTTGAAGGGATAGCTGACCCCTCACCTTCTCGGGCGGCTACACCCTCATGGTTCAAGGCTTCATATCCCAGGCCAACTCCAAGTTGAGGCAGGTATCTGCCGCACCAGGGTGCGTGCTGGAGAGTCAGCGACGAATACAATGAACTATGCGCATGAATGGACGGCAGGATATATGACGCATGGTTAATCTGCAGGCAGTAGTGCGGGTCAGGGAGTGAGGCAGGTCTCGGGACAGCCGTTAATCAAGGTGTCGAATATGTAATGAGGAATTGAGATGTTCCTTTCTAACTTGCTGCAAGTATGGGCTATCATGTTATCATTCGGTAGTGTGGTCTGTAGTCTCATCCTGTCATTGCGATTATCGCTATTACCAGTTAGATTACAGGAGAGGTCGAAAGGTATATGAGGCCCGTAGACATCTCACATCCCATTAACCAACTTCGTTCCTCAAGGCCACTTCACGGAAGCCGCCATCAGCTTACTTCTTCTATCTTCTGAATCGTCACTTATTGAAAAGGTGCAAACGTCGCTCCTAACTGCTAGGTTGGCAGTATCCGACCCCAGATACCGGGCGGTGAGGGGATTCTGCCCCACACAAAGGCCCGTGGGGGCCGAAACAGGGGGCCCCAAATACCTGTCGCCAGATACCGCCCCTGAGGAGTACGGGCCGCCCTTCTATCTCTCCCAGCTCTGAAAGAAAAAAGGGGAAAAAAGAGAGAAAGAGAAAGAGAAGGGAAAAAAGTATACTTATAGAAGGAATAAAAAGAAACAAGGAAAAGAGAAAGATGGCAGCAGCAGATTGGC